AATACCTCACAAGTTCTTATAAAAAACACACTTACCATCTTGAAAAAGACGACAACGTGTATGTCCAATTGGAACACACATATAATCCTAACGTTACACACACACAAACAATTGCATTATAATCACCAAACTGGAAGATAAATTCCGATTTCTCACTTATTTTGAATACTAGTTATTTTTTAAACCACTTGAATCGACCGTTCACGACGAAATCTGGTATGTGACTGATATATTGCTTGATTCACCCGATTCACCCTAATGACTAATCAGTTATGTCTTCGTTTAACGATACATTCTCGAGCAAGTTTTTTATCTATGACTAATATGTGACGATATCGAAAGTGAGTGTACTGGGGAAGGTGAAAAAGAATTGGGTATAGCGGGTGACACGTTATAAAGTAACACCACTCGTAACACCCCCTCTGTAACTGTTTTATTGCTGACAGAAGAAAAAAATTAAAAAAACACATTCCTTCTACACCTTTTCCAGATGTATTTCAGAAAGCGTCAATTCAATTTCAGAAAGCATCACTTGTATTTCAGAATAGTCAATTGTATTTCAGAAAGCGTCAATTGTATATCAGAATAGTCAATTTAATTTCAGAAAGCGTCAATTGCATTTCAGAATAGTCAATTCAATTTCAGAAAGCATCAATTGTATTTCAGAATGGCCAATTTAATTTAAGAAAAGGTCAATTATATTTCAGAATAGTCACTTGTATTTCAGAAAGCGTCAATTGTATTTCAGAAAATATTATTCGAATTTCAGAAAGCGTCAATTGAATTTCAGAAAGCGTCAATTGAATTTCAGAATGCATCAATTTCGATTAGTGCACTCCATGTAAGAATGCATAGGATGTTCTGTGCTCTCTGTTGTGATGTTTTCAATTTATCCACCCCAATTTTTTTTATGTACCTTTTAGGTACCTATATACTATTTGATGAACAGATTACAGAATTTCAGGTATAGAGGGGACAATCAGAGATAATAGTAGATTGTTTTATAAGGATCAAAAGTGACACTTTGTTTGACAAGCGAATTTTGCATTTGCGAGGCGGAGCGTTTAGCGAAGCCGAGCGAAAGCAAAATTTGCGAGTTGAACAAAGTCACTTGATCCGAATGAAACATGCTATTTTTTCTGCAACCGAAACAATTAACTCAAATGAACATGTGAAGTAACCACCAATGCCGTGCCATATGTATGCAATGCAACAAATATCGACAAATAATCCATGTAGTGAGAATATTCTACCTGCATTAACAGCAGGTTAGGTTTTCTAGGATGTTCGAATTGTAGTTTCAATATAAATACAACCACAGAGTGACATATTTGTGTATGGACCAGGTCCAGGTGCTCTAATGGCAAATACCGCGCCAGTGCCAGCTATAGGAACAAGACGTGGAAAATGTTAGGTTAGTGAACATATCAACAATGATAATAGTGATTATTTATTCCTCTCCATACTACACTGTGTTTGACTTGATAATCAAATGGAGCTAAACAACATCGTTTTTTGAGACAAAAAACCGATTGCTTGCCGTGATTATTCAAAAACATGTTATCCATCCCGAGAATAACGAATGAAATACAGATCAAGCAAGTATTTGAATCTTGAAGGCTTCCCTGATCAAAACAAAAATACTTAACTGAGATGTTTATAATTCCAATACCAAACTATTATAATGAGGTGTATTTATATCTCCAGCATGGGTATGAAATGCCAAATCTGCTGAAATCGGAAACAAATCAGGTATGCGTCTCAACCCAAATAACCAACCGTCACAATGTTGTTCATTCTCGATGACGTCCAGTACATCCTTTTTAGTTCCTAGGAGCTAAAGTTCAACTTCAGCTCCTAGGAACTAAAATTCAATTTTAGCTCCTAGGAACTAAATATGTTGTCTAGCAACATACCTATTTTTGTGTCAGTAATAGAAACGTCAATTTAAGAGCTTATTTTGGTATCAAAATGGACGACTTTTGTGTCGGTTGCAGAAAAACTTATTTCTATTGCTATGAAAAAGTTCTGATTTTTTCATGTTTGTCCAATCGGAAGTGACTGGCTGTTTGAATGATACTGTAGAATAGGCTCCTTAATAACATTTACAAAATCAAGCTCTGTTGCTATAACGTAAATGTCATAAAATTTTCTAGACTTATGAAGTTGCCTGGCAGGAGAACACCCCATGGAAAGTGTCTGGCAATTGTATATTCTCTATCATGATAGGATCCGATTGAACATAAAAAGATCAGCTTTTGTTGGAATGATGTTTATGCCAGTTTTTTTTTGTACTTTCAACAGCCGGTATCTCTTGAAAGCTCATCCAGTACTGAAGATTTCCAACCCAAAAAACGATTCCACCGAATAAGGTATACCACACATAGAAAATATCAACCTTGTTGAAATGGCATCTGGCGGTCGCTGGCTCTGTCTATAGAGAAAGATTTCTGAAATTCAATTGACTATTCTGAAATACAATTAATGCTTTCTGAAATTCAATTGACGCTTTCTGAAATTGGAATGATACTTTCTGAAATACAATTGACACTTTCTGAAATTCAATTGACTATTCTGAAATATAATTGATGCTTTCTGAAATACAATTGACACTTTCTGAAATTCAATTGACTATTCTGAAATACAATTGATGCTTTCTGAAATTGAATTGACTATTCTGAAATACAAGTGACTATTCTGAAATTGAATTGACGCATTCTGAAATACATCTGGAAAAGGTGTAGAAACACATGATACGTTTCCACTATCTGGGAAAATATACAGTAACCAGCAAAAAGTGTATGAATTTTAAATAGAACGCCCTCTATGTATATTTCTTCACCATTTGAAAGAATTTTCGAAGGGATTTCCAAAAATACCGTACAAATACAGGTTGTTAGTGAAGAAGTGCGACAAACTTCAAGGGGTGAATAAATTTCATATAATTCAGTATGGTTGGAGACTGAAAAAGTCCCAAGAATTGGGTATACCGGGTGACACGTTATAAAGTAACACCACTCGTAACACCCCCTCTGTAACTGTTTTATTGTTGACAGTAGAAAAAAATGAAAAAAACACATTCACAGTTTTTTTTCCTTCTAGAAACACATGATACGTTTCCACTATCTGGGAAAATATACAGGAAGCAGCAAAAAGTGTATGAATTTTGAATAGAACGCCCTATATGTATATTTCTTCACCATTGGAAAGAACTTTCGAAGGGATTTCCAAAAATACCTACAAATACAGGTTGTTAGTGAAGAAGTGCAACAAACTTCAAGGGGTGATTAATTGTGATATTTTAAGATTAAAGTTCATATAATTCAGTATGGTTGGAGACTGAAAAAGTCCCAAGAATGAAACACAGAGGATAGGAAAGTTGATATTTCAATTGTTCAATCTAATTGAAATATGGAAGTCAGAAAAACCAGTGGCGTACAATGATGTTAACCTTAAATATCGATAAATTAACCCACTGTGACGCCACTGAAAATAGTATTTTGAATTCAATCACATCAAAAGATGCTCCATGTTACATTCAACAAAACCACCAAGTTTCATTGAAATTGGTAGAAAGACATTTGAGTAATGATTAAAAACACGATTTTTCATGGAAATATTAATACCCTGTACCTCGAAAACGAAGCAAGTTAGGACACATGTTTATATAAACTTTATTTTCTAAAATATCACAAGGAATGACCCCCTGAAGTTTGTCGCACTTATTCACTAACACCCTGTATTAATCTTCTGTGTTTCTCAATTTATGGGCAATCAAAGCTATCAGAGTTTGATCGATTTTAGAAAAAATGTCATGACAATTATTGCAAATCCAGGTATATTCGCTATATCGCTACCTATGACATTAACTTTTTTTGGCAGTGGTCACTGAAACTCAATATTGTACCTCCTCTCCCTATCCTCTCTAGATAGGCACGATATTCCACGAACATTATAGGAATTTCCTCTCGTGCGCTCCAAGAGATAAAAAAAATTGACAAGGTCTACTTCCGAAAGTCATTCGTAAAATTGATCAAACTTTGTTAGTTTTAAAAGCCTATATTTTGAGAAATACAGGAGATGAATATTTTGGGTGCTGTATTTTTGGAGAAGCTCTCCGAAAGGTCTTTCCAAATGTGTGTAAATATACAGTATGATGCAAATGTATGGAATAAATTCATTTCACAAGACGACTTTCGAAGAGAAACCAAAAACTAGAGTTCAGAACTTTTTTTTCGACGTATTTTTTTAACTAGACGACCCTTCGATGATCAATTCTCAGTAGCAGACCTCTGCAAGATTCAATTAATCACATGATAATCCATTTCAATTTCAATCTTCTTATGCAACATTTTGACTGTTGAATCAATGAATAGACGATCGGTAGACTTTTCAATCAAGGTGTCACATGACCCCTATTTGTATTCGAAAAAATCGTCCATTACGTCTTTACTTCAACACCAGTGACGTAACATCTCTCATATGAATATCATGAGATGAGGCTTCAGAAATTATATAGGGTACTGTCTGTAGGTTAATTGAGGAAGTGAGAGCCTAAAAGAAAAATTCACTAGCTTGTCAGTGACAATTTGTATTGAAAAAAGTTTGGAGAATAGAAATAAAGGTATATAAAAAAAATATCAAATTTTCACTTATCTTTGGACGTTTCGGGACCGATTCTGCTCCCGTTTTCAACATAAGAAAAGATTATTTTGATAGCGAAGTCGTATCTGTCTTGAAGCTTTTCAGTTTCCATTAAAACATGTAATCCGTGCATACATTGAAAGAGATCCTGATATCCTATTGAAGAAATATATTTTTTTTGAAATTTTTTCAATGATATACTCAGCATGCTTGTTCAATCGAAGCTTATTGTCCAAAATATATCCCAAATATTTAATTTTACTTTCAATTTCAACAGGACTATCATCTAATTGAACATCTGCCCAAATTGTGCTTGAAATGGATTTTGTTTTAATGATAGGTTAATTTTGTTCCAGGTATTTATTAGGTAAAGATGGCTTCGAACATTTGGATCCCTTTGTACCCATCAGTGTGCCAGATTATACCACCAAAGAGTTCATAAGCTGCATGGAGTATTATCGTGGAAGAAAATGGGTGCAGCCTTATACAGGCCAAGATGATGAGTTGAAATTCATCAGTGCATCAAATCCTTACAATTTGATGAAGCTATGTAATTCTCTTTAGATTATGATGTAAGATTCTAAGTGAAATAGATTCAATAAGAAAAAAAATGAGTTGTTTATTTCTTCACTCCCTTAACATTTGGTAATAGTTCACTATCAATACAACAGATGATAATAACACTCAATTGCAATACAATTTCAGTCTACCACCGTGTCTACCATGAAACAAGTTTTTCGTTAAAATTATATTTTTATAAACTTCTTGATAGTAGGAGAGCCACCTGCAAATTCCGTCCGTCATCTGATAACGAAATGTTATATATTTTTTTCTGTGACGGGAAAAAAGTTTGGCATTTCATCTCTGTTGGCAGGTTATAAAATGTCACTTTTCATAAATTACTTTTTTCCCGTGGGAAAAAAGTGATTACTTTTTTCCCGGATATATATCACATATATATACACTGTTGATGGCTTTTGTTGTGCTATAGTTCCGAAAAATGAGTCAATAATACCGTCTCCGAGAAAGAACTGCAAGTCCTTTTACCTTCCATTCGACTTCGCGATTTCGTATATTACTAAACAACTACTGAATTCGCAATTTTTTAAAATCAAATCACAGAATTGAACTGACAGAAGTGTCATCAGATATTTGATTACTTCGAAAGAATGATAAAGATGTCTATAAAACGCAGGTGTCCCTACTGTTAAAAACTTGAAATTTCACGTCGATAATTTTCAGATTTCGAAATAATGTAATATCTTCTCAATATTGATTCGTCCTTCCTTCTGTCACAGAAACAAACAGTGTATTATACACGGGAAAAATATTAGATTTTAGCTCACGGTTTTTTGTCTCCCTCCGCTACGCGTCGGGAGACAACACAACCTGGAGCTAAAATCTACTACTTTTTTCCCTTGTATAATAAATAACTATTTTTCTGTGACGGGAAAAAAGTTTGGCGTTTCATCTCTGTTGGCAGGTTATAAAATGTCACTTTTCATAAATTACTTTTTTCCCGTGGGAAAAAAGTGAGTACTTTTTTCCCGGATATATATCACATATACTATATACTCTGTTAATGGCTTTTGTTGTGCTGTTCCGAAAAATGAGTCAATAATACCGTCTCCGAGAAAGAACTGCAAGTCCTTTTATCTTCCATTCGACTTCGCGGTTTCGTATATTACTAAACAACTACTGAATTCGCAATTTTTTAAAATCAAATCACAGAACTGAACTGACAGAAGTGACATCAGATATTTGATTACTTCAAAAGAATGATGAAGATGCCTATAAAACGCAGGTGTCCCTACTGTTATAAACTTGAAATTTCACGTCGATAATTTTCAGATTTCGAAATAATGTAATATCTTCTCAATATTGATTCGTCCTTCCTTCTGTCACAGAAAAAAACAGTGTATTATACACGGGAAAAATATTAGATTTTAGCTCACGGTTTTTTGTCTCCCTCCGCTACGCGTCGGAGACAACACAACCTGGACACAGATTAACATAAGGTTTGTTAATCTGTGACCTGGAGCTAAAATCTACTACTTTTTTCCCTTGTATAATAAATAACTATTTTTTTATCGTTCGAAAGGGAATCCCTATAATGTTCAAAGAACATCGTGCGTTCCTAGGGAGGATAGGGATAGGAGGTAGGTATTGGATTTTTTTTTGAACTTCTGGAGATTATATGTTGTTGGGAATACTTCCACAGGCAATGAATTCCAGAGCCTAGCCGTTCTATGGATGAAGGAGTTTTGATAAAGTGCTGTTCGACATCTTTCGAGGTTGACAATGAAAGGATGTGCTGACTGGGCTTGTCTAGTTCGTCTGACTGGTATTGCTAGTGAAGGGATGATAGCAGAGATTTCCGAAGAACATTTCCCGTGGAAGTATCGATAGAAAAGTGAAAGGTCGCCGACCTTTCTACGGTGTTTCAATGATGTCAAAGAGTGAGTGAGTGTGGCGTCACCCACCAGGCGGATGGCTCTTCTCTGGATGGAATCTAAGAGCATCAGCGTATGTTTTGGTGCTGAACCCCTCCAAAAGCATGTGAAAACATTGTATTTTATTGACCAGCACCTGTGCCAATCACTATCTAGAGCAAAATGATTGAAAAATGTCCCTTTCCTGTGCGGTAATTTGCACTTGTATCTCGCAATCTGATAACTAGATGAGAATTATGCTATCTGATACCAAGATCTCAGAAACCTACCTGATGTGCAACCACTTAATATGAGTCAAATCCACGCCATACTTCCGTCATGTGATAACGAGTTGCAACAAAAATCAAACGAAAGGGGATAATGTCACATTTGCGAATATCCAAACGTGCCACGATTCAAACTCAGCTGAGTTAGCGGCAGAGCCTCAGTATTTCCGAGAATATTTCGTCCCTGTCGAGATAATATCCGATGGACTAGTGTGAAACTTATGTGGTGCTCGAACTACAAGCATTCGAATAATCCACATGTGAAGTAAAATATATCATTATGACGTCAGACTTTTTTGGGACACTGTATAATCGAAATTATTTTTCTGGTATGCGCCCTATGGGACAATTGAAGTCTGCAAAATATCAAAATGCTGACATTCCTGAATCAACTGATAACTGAGCTATAGAAGACGGAAGGTGAGATGCAGGCGGACCCTATATAAGTGATAAGGGATAAGGGTATAAAAACACAAAGGCATACCGGTTGCGTGAGCCAAAAAGGTAATCATCAGGGTCAGTTCATCGGTTTCAAACAGGCTTCCTTCAAGAACCTAGTTAGGTAGTTAGTAGGCAGGAGCTATAATACCTCCTCGCACTAGGTCGCCTACTAGGCTTTCATTTAGATCGACAATGGTTGGGTATTCTGTGTCCAAAATATACAGTATGATGCAAATGTATGGAATAAATTCATTTCAAAACAAGACGACTTCCGAAAAAAATCCAGAAACTAGAGTTCAGAACTTTTTTTATTGTGTATTTTTTCAACTAGACAACCCTTCGATGTTCAATTCTCAGTAGCAGACCTCTGCAAGATTCAGTTAACCAAATGATAATCCATTTTAATTGCAATATTCTTATGCAAAATTTTGACTGTTGGATAGACGATCAGTAGACCTTTCAAACGAGGTGTCACATGACCCCTGCTTGTATTTGAAAAAATCGTCCATTACGTCATTACTTCTACACCAGTGACGTAACATCTCTCATATGAATGTCATGAGATGAGGCTTCAAAAATTAAAACTCACGTGTTTTTGGAATTTCTTCAAATGTAGCCCATTTCTGAAATAATGAATTTATTCCATACATTTGCATCATATACTGTATATATACCTACAAATGATATCCTCCAAAAGGCATACTGGGTGAAAACATGTCCGAAAATCTGTCACTACCTACCATTTCAATTGGATTTATTCAATGAAAACATATTTACAAAGCAAGGTGTAAAGGATAAATATGTAACACTTTACATACGCCATGCGCCACAAGATCACCCTCCAAGTCGCCATATCGCCATCAGACGAGGTGAGGCGGCCGAATATTTTTTGTCTAACAATAACAAAACAACAAACAACTGAACAACAACATGCAAACGTTGCCAGCCCAGCAACTCAAAAACTCCGGAAAAAGTACTAGTTTTTCGAGAAAAGTACTATTTCCATTTTCATTCAAACTTCCTACTATCATTGAGTATTCATTGAGTAAGGATATGGGAGGGGGGGGGGGGGGGGAACAAGGAAAACAAATAATGAAAACTGAATATATTGTGAAAATCTCATTTCTCATGAGTCAAAACACTTCCAAACGAAAATAATAGGTCTCGCAGAGATAAAGGAACTTATTTCTGGTACCGGTGGCATTTGCTACTCTATAATATTACAGTTTTGTTCCACAGTTGAAACAATAGCTTTCATCATCTTCCAATAGATGTCCCAAGGTTGGTTGAATTGATATTTAATTGTAAAGGAAGGTTTTGCCGAAATTAGCAAAACGCGGTGAGGGGAAGTGGTAACTCTCGTGACGTAATCCGTAATAGCATCTAGAACTGTCTTCAAATAAATCTACTTATCCAGCTGTGATCTACAATTCATACCAAATATTATATACATACATTTCTTCACTTCCCCTCACCGCCTTTTCTGATCGAGGCAACCTTATTCCTGCAAATAATCATCAATTCTACCAACCTTATGAGACTGCCTTGGGCATATTATGTGAGGTTTTCATAGAAAATTGCTCATTTCACGTATCAGAAACGGTTATATTATAGTCTAAGAGCCCGCCGCAAATTTCGACCGTCATCTGATAACAATAATTATAATGTGTCCCAAAGGCATGTAAAACCATTTCAAATGAAATGGGATGAGGTCACCTTTGCGAATATTCAAACGTGCCGCGATTCAAACTGATCTACAGAGCCGGACCGTGGGCGTGGCGAAGGAGGCATTTGCCACGGGCGCAAACGACCTAGGGGCGCAAAATGTGGAATATAATATATTCCATTTTAAATAAAGATTGACTACAAGCTCTATATTTCAGAGTGGCGTATTTACCAGTTTACAAAGTTAAGTGACACGTAGTTAACGAACTCTACCAAAACGGAACAAAATCCTAGAAAATGATACATGGCGCGAAACACGACAAAATCAATCTGGCACTACAGAACCAAAGATCAAATGTTGAGGATGGTGCAAAAATGATAAAAGGACTATCTGAATAAACTCATAATTATATATCTGATTTCTTCGAGTCTCTATTAGAATCCTCCAAATCATTCGCTGAAACAATCAATATTGGAGCGAATTTTGGAGAGGAGAGGAAACGTAAAATTAAAAAAATGCCAGGAGAAGAAACTAATGATGAGGCTTCCATTACGGATAGGAAAGGTCTTTTGAAAAAGGAACTCCTTCAAGTATTGGACTCCATATCGATGCAACTTGGAGAAAGATTTACTGCGCTGTCAGAAGTTTCTGAAGACTTCAATTTTTTGAAAGGAATATCTATAGAAGAGGCTTCACTTGGTGAATTGAAGAAGAAAGCTGCGAATTTGGCATTGAAATATAGTTCCGATTTGGATCCGTATGAATTCGTCAACGAATTAGAGAGCTTCAAATTTTAAGCATGTGCAATGCTTACGGAATGAATGCTCTTGATATTCTTCGGAAAATGCGTGAATGTCGCTTCAAACAATATATCATAATCTGGACACAGCTCTCAGAATATTCTTAACGTAACCAGTGACCACAGCAACAAGGTAACGTCGTTTAGTAAATTGAAATTAGTGAAAACTTACTTAAGGTCCTCGATTGAGTTTTTGTTCATTACCTTTTAAGAAATATGGGAGATTATTGTGAATAAAAAAGTTCTTCAAAATATGTTCAATAAATGGCAATTATAAACAACATGTATTTATTGAAAACTGAATTTCTACAAAGGCGCATTTTGAAAGTTTGCCACAGGCGCTAGAATCCTAGTTCCGGCTCTGCTGATCTAAGTAAGTGGCAGAGCGTCAATACTTCCAAGAATATTTCTCCCCCCTCTAAAGATAATATCCAATGGACCAGTGTAAAAATCAATATCGATATCCGACTTCAATAGTGTAACAACTCGAAAAATAATCATTTTGAGTTGCATACGCTATCTGGTTCATCACCTTGTTAGCTTTTACGTGCTTTACTGCAACAGCTGACAGTTTCAGTAGAGCCCAAGAGATGGTGCTAGTTACTCTATCGAACTGAAGGAAACTTCATTTCGATAAAATTCCATACTGTAATAACTTGATACAAGAATCAAGACTTGTTACAGTTTTGAACTGTGTAATAATATTTTCAGTGATTCAGAGTTGTTACATTGTATAGCTCGAAATAGTAAATTTCAACACACAAAACAAACTTTTAATACGTTGTTATATTATATCATTGCTTCTGTATAGTGATTGTAGTTATTGAACTTACTACTCTAATAATAATTATGATTTTTGATCACAGAGCTCCATATTTTCAATTATTTAATTTAGATCAATAGTGTAACCGTATAACGTAATAAGTTCGAACCAAATAATTTTTTACCAAAAGATTTTTCTGAATTGGTTTAATTTAGGAAGTGAATAGAAAACTACGACTGAGGTAGGGCGAGCTATATCATTTCATATTCTTGAGACATATAATCTACAAATTTAGATTCAACTTATTATGACTTGAATTTTCAATTGCGATTTTCTCGAAACTACCATTTTTGAGATGTTACACGACTATTGAACTCGGGTATCGATATGTGGATTAAAATACTTATTGTAGTGTGAGCACCACAGGAGTTTTACACTGGTCCATCGGATATTATATCTATCAACGAGGGCGAAATATATTCGAGGAAATATTGACGCTCTGCCACTGATTTAGATCAGTGTGAATCGCGGCACGTTTGGATATTCGCAGAAGGGACATTTTTTCCTTCCACTTGCTTTGTGTTACATCTCGTCGTTATCACATGACGGAAGTATATGTCCGAAATAATAGGAGCAGATAAATTGCTGTGCCAAAAATGTATGATATATTCATAATTACTTCTCTGGTCTTATGAAACTTTTATAGATGATGGCAACCCTCCAACGAATTTGGAGGATTGCACTGCTTGACTCTCATATAGAAGAAGAAAATGAGAGTGATGATAAACCAGAAAATTAACTAATTGAAGATCAACATGAAAATGAAGAATCTGATGAAGATGAAAATATTTCGGTGGCAATCTTGGCTGAAAGATTGTCAACGGAATATTATTATCCGGTAGTCCATTATTTCAGTATAGAAGTCCGAGGAATTTGTCCCTGGAAGCTCCAGGAGTTAACCAGTAAGTACCAATCAAACGGCAAAAACACAGATAGTTCCTGTCAAAGATGTAAGACGTGATAACCTTGGCCATTTTTATTTTTCAAACGCTTGGTGCGCACGGAAGTGTTCGAGGAACATCGTGCATATATATACAGGGTGTAAATTCGAAAACTTTCAATGCGAATATCTCGCGAAATAAAAGAGTTAGAAAAACGCCGCTTGGCAAAAATGCTAAAGAGTTAAGGGGAACTAGAACCACCATATTTCAGTGAAGGGATGAGTCACCCTGTCAGCGCAACACAGCCCAACTTTGAAATGTCAAATGGCACTACCTCTTTTGTGATACCTCAAATGAACGGTCTCAGTTAGTAGTATTCACCTGTACAAGACTTTTTTTCCACCCACTACAGGGTGTACGAAAAACATCAATTTGAGGGTCTACATTTGAAAACTTTCAATGCGAATATCTCGCTAAATAAAACAGTTAGGAAAACGCCATTTGGCACAAATGCTACAGAGTTAGGGGGAACTAGAACCACCATACTTCAGTAAAGGGATGAGTCACCCCGTCGGCGCGACACACTCCATCTTTGAAATGTCAAATGGCACTACCTCTTTTGTGATACCTCAAATGAACGGTCTCAGTCAGTAGTATTCACCTGTACAAGACTTATTTTCCACCCACTACAGGGTGAACGGAAAACATGAAGTCGAATAAAATAAAATGCAGAATGCCGATATATTCCAAGAGATGTGTTCCAAAATGTTAGAATGGCATTTGAACATCGATTATACTATTGCTCACAATAGAATGGAATGCATTTTGAACATCTGATCAAATAAAATATCCTTTTGACACAATTCATTTTATTTTATTCGACTTTATATTTTTCGTACACCCTGTAGTGGGTGGAAAAAAAGTCTTGTACAGACTGAGACTGTTCATTTGAGGCATCACAAAAAAGGTAGTGCCATTTGACATTTCAAAGTTGGGGTGTGTCGCGCCGACGGGGTGACTCATCCCTAGACCGAAATATGGTGGTTCTAGTTCCCCTTAACTCTTTAGCATTTTTGCCAAACGGCGTTTTTCTAACTTTCTTCTTTCGCGAGATATTCGCATTGAAAGTTTTCAAATTTACACCCTGTATACATATATACCTATGACCTATATGGAAAGGGTAGTCGTTTCTGACTAGTTAGGAATAAACAAGGGAGTATTGGGGATGCAGCAAAAGTCAAAAGAGTACTCTTTGAAGTTTGTCCAAGCTTTCGAAAATCTTTATTTTCATCTTCAGGGAGACTGTAAAGAGATTATATTCATGAGCATCATGCATTCAGATTTGTGAAAATTGTAAGATGTAAGTAGGCTCATCGACTCGTTTCTATCGATGGAATCATAGAAGAGATTTCTGAAGAACATTTCTTGTGGTCTGTGATTGTATATCTATAGTAAAGTGAAAGGTCGCTGACTTTTCTACGGTATTAATTTCAATGATGCCAAAGAGTTATAGTGAGTGTGGCATCACCCACCATGCGATTTTCTGGATGGAATCTGTTAGAGCATCAGCGTATGAATTTGGGTACATATACGTGAATTTTTTAGTAACTTCCAAACGCTCCTACGTTTATTTTCGAGATATTTTATTATGTTTGTTCAATTTGAACGCGATACCCATCAGTTACAAACTCGATATTATCAATCCGATATATCTTCATAAATCATAAATAGCTACTTCACAGTTGATTATTTCACTTCTAGATCAGGTTATAATCTTAATTTATCATCGAGAATCAGTCGAAATCAATAATATCGAGTAGAGGTAGAGTTATGCTTTATATATAAATAGTTTGAGATCCGTTTTGGTTTTGTTGCTATTTGAATTCAAAATGATACTTAAATTTGTGATCCTTTTATTGACTATCTATGTTCATGTGGTGAGTCTGTTTTAGTATTTTAGGCAATATACTATCTATCAACCCTAACCCTACACCTTCCTATTTTTATATTTAATATCAGTACAAAAAATACATACGGAAACAAACATGCTAATTTCAAAATATGTATAGGTCCTTTTCTAGATTTCTCGAGTTCTTTCTCCTCATCCATAGAAAGTGGGGACGTGAAAAGTACATCCCCCCCTTTATATTTTTTAATAGAACCAGCTAGCGAGGGCTAGTAAAATTCAGATGAAAAGGAACCTGTTTTACTACTTTTAACACTTTGACCGCCACGTCAAGTCAGTGCAAGGTTACAACAATTATATTCATATCACTTAGGTCTATCTCATAGATGTCCATTACTAATTCAGATCTAATTCTAAAAAGCTTCAATCTATGTTCGGACACAAAAAGAAATCATAAATTGATACTTTCGAAATCAATATTGCAAATTGAACACATTAATAATTGCTGCATGTGGATATCTTATGATATCTACTAGAGGATATCCATATCGAATCCTGTGATGAATATCTCATGGATGTCCATTTCAAATCCATTGGTATCCCGACCAGAATTGGACATGCAGAGGATATCCATAGATGTATCTGGGGCATGAGTCTGTGTCACCCGGTATCCCGGTATACTATATGTATATATATGCCAATCTTTTTATTTTCGATAACTGAACACTAATAATCATAATCCCAGTGAAGAATATATCGGAACAAATGAGAAACAAAACGTATAAGTATGGTGAAGAAATGAGGATGATTCTTGACCTGTGGTGCTTCCAATAGATAATTTCATCAGGGCCCTATATATATCAGATATGGTTCGAAAATAATAACAATCAGTTCAGTCTCGACTAGTATATTCCTATTATATGAACTTCCAGACATTTTTCTCCTGAACCCTAAACAATTCATATAGTTTTAGCTTTAACGTCAAAACTCAGGATATTTATACAGAAAGCTCACATTCATAAACGAAATACAATATGATAGAGATACTCGCTATCAAATGCAAATGATATACCTCATCATACTACAAACAGTACAAACTTCTTTGAATGTAGCTTTCCATATATATCTCAGAACATAATGAATCACAACTCAGTTTCCAAGCTTCCAGAAGAAATTTGAAATCTAAACTGTGATATAAACGTAGGCCATTACTATTGGTGTGAATACTATTCCTGTTCTTTTTCAATTTTTTATATCTCTTTATGTTTATTTCATTTTTATCTATTGTCTTTGATACATAAATTTATTGTTAACAACTGTTTTATCATAACTCATTTGACATTGAGAAAACTAGAAATTGAATATACCTGTTATATTAATTATTCGCCCACGACTGTTGTACTTCTTCAAGCAGAACGATAGCCATTATTCACACCAGTGAATAAAAGCAGTGAATAACCATTATTTACTGGTCTAAAGTTCCTTATATGTTATACCGCGTACCCTAGGAACTCTAGACCAGTGAATTATGGTTATTCACTGCTATTATTCACTGGTATGAGAAATGGCTACCGTTTTGCTTGAGGAAGTACATGTATTATGAATATTTTATACAACAGTCGTGGATGAAAGTAAATTTATTTTTATTTTATTTATTTATGATTCGATAACATATCGATATTTCCTTTTTGAATTTCAGAATGCAGAAGTGCTCGTTACGATACCAAATAAAGGCACTATCAGAGGAAGGAAGGAATATTCTTTGAGGAACATCTCATTCTACGCATTTCAAGAAATACCCTTCGCGAAACCGCCTGTAGGAGAATTGCGATTCAGAGTAAGACCTGCAATTTTGGAAATATACTTTGTACAGGGTCTTCGACATCGTTTCGAATTCTATATTTCGATTGGAAAAATTCCAAGCAATCTAAATCTAAAATTTGAAAAAAATACTAACGCCGTCGTCGTACCTATATATCGGGTGTAACAGTTATTTCATTTTTCATCTCTTGGAGCGCGCGAATGGAAATTCCTATAAGGTTCGTGGATTGTCGCGCGTACCTATGGAGGACAGAGAGAGAAGGTAGGTGTTGAAATTCTTTCTGAACGTTTGGAGGTTATAAAAAAGAATTCCAAAGCTTCGCCGTTCTAAAGACGAACGAGTTCTGGAGATAAGAGATTGAAATTCGGAATGACCCATCAACTTGATGAACGTCATGTTTCGACATGAATATGTTTTATTTTCTACTTCCGGTGTCATCGGAATTTATAATAACTTTTGATTTCCAAATGGAATACCCTGTATATCATTCTTGAATTGTGCATCATTTTCTGAATCCAGTGATACCACCTTCCTTGCTGTCTCAGTCAATTTGCTGAAGTCATTCTGCTTATTTGGTTAAGTAGAATGGCTTTAACTAAAATGATGAAAAAAGTATTGAAAACTCAATCGAATAATATCACATATCATTAAAACGAACAAACATTGGAATAGGAACAAAAAAAAACAAAATATAATAAATGAAGTTATTGAAAAATTAAATTAAAATAGGTAAGAAAGATTTACATTGTGGAAATATTCAGGTAGAAGAAAAATGAATACGAAATATATTATCAAATTACATTATACATTATCATCGAATCGCAGGAGAGTCATCAGGATGAAATTTCATGTTTACAAAACGTTCTAACGTTCGATATTCATTCCGAGATTCTATAACAAATAATTACAAATCGAATTACCGTGATATTTCCTATACTCATGTACTCAAGTCTATTTTTCCAATATCCAAATCGTTTACCATATTCTTTTGATTTTTCACACCCCATGAACCTCCCCTCTATTACGCCACTGGTATATTATATCATTGACAGAATCTCCATCGAATTCTCAACAACTGTTCTTGATATTTCTATGTACCTTATTTCGAAATTTTGGAAACATGACATCCAAAGGAGTTGGTTGAAATTTTGGCCTAATCTTGTTTACTTGGATCCTAAATTACAATAAACTGAGTAAACCATTGATTTTCATAATGATTAGATAATAGCGCATTTCAAAAGTAAGTATCTAGTTCCCTTGGTTAGTACCTAATTTTTATCTCAGAAGTAGATAAACAAAAACAGATATCTTGATCAAGATACATGACAAAAGACCATACAGGAGATTAAATAGTTATTCAGCTAAAATATTATACAGCATGTCTCACTTTGAATGGCTTCCCCTGCGATTTCAACTATTTTCGAACTGATTTTGCAGAAAACATCTGATTTTTTTTCTTTTCAGAAACGAACATAATGTCCGGCAGTATCGTGCGTTTTCATTGAATTATTTGATTTTTGTATATTTTTTGAAAAATCGTATCATAAAAAACTAAACCTCACATTCATATTTTCGTCATCTTTTTGACCTATCCCATAATATTAATTTGGTCAGTGAATTACCAGTGCAAAAATGGACTTTTCAAAATACTTTCTCGGATTATAATTTTTTTTGAGTTGTTTTAAATCGGCTTATTTTGACCTTAAGAATATGTGCTGAGATTTTGCACAGACCATTCAGGGACACCCTGTATAATAGGGTATTATACAGGGTGTCCGGAAATTATGCGCAAACAATCATGGGGGTGATCTCACATAATGAAATAAGAAATTCATTTCATATGAACCTAGGTCCAGAAATGCATAGTTTTCAACATACAGTGTGTTGAAACTTTTAAAAAAGATCGGTTTTTTATGAATATCTCGAATGTCTTTCCACCGATATTCTTGAAATATGGCAATGCTATTTTCTGTCATAAGGGGCTGATATACCCATAATTCAATTGGAATCTTGGAATCCAGTGGCGTCCCAATGGGCAACCCACCGAATATTATTGTCAATAAAATGTGCGCCACTGATTTTTTTGAATTCTGTATCTCCATAACATACTGACCAACTAAAAATACAACATTTTGGTCTCTTGAATTGTTTTGCTATTTTCCTGCGTTTCCATGGAAAAAAATAAATAAAAAACAGGGGTGAAATTAAATGTGTGATCCATGTCCATAGACGTAGAATAAGAATGAAGAATAATTATCTTCATATATTTTATAATATATGTTTGACACACTCTACACTCAGTATATTGAGAACTATGTATTCTCGGTCCAGGAAGGCGTATAGTTTTCGATAATACAAAGTGTGTCAAACATGTATTATAAAATATTTGAAGAAAATGAATCTCCATTCTTACTCTACGTCTATGAACATGGATCACACATTTAATTTCACCCTTGTTTTTGAAGCTATGTTTTGCGCAAATCTATTACAATGAATTTGTATTCATTTTTTTCCACGGAAACGCGGAAAAATAGCAAAACATTCAGGAGATCAAAATGTTGTATTTTTAGTTAATCATCAGAATATGAAGATGACGAATTCAAAAAATTCAGTGGCGCACATTTTATTGACAATAATATTTGGTAGGGTGCCCCCGGGACGCCACTAGATTTCACAATTCCAATTCAAATTATGGTTGAATCAGCCCCTCATGGCGAAGAATATCATTGCCAAATTTCAAGGGAATCGGTGGAAGAATATCTGATATATTCATAAAAAACCGATTTTTTCTAAAAAGTTTAACACACTGTATCTTGAAAACTATGCATTTCCGGACCCAATTATATATGAAAAAAATTTCATGTCTTCACATGCAGAATCACCCCCTTGATTTTTTGCGCATAATTTCTGGACACCCTGTATATACTGTGTGCGATCTCAACCCGCAACACCCTCCTAATTTGGAACCCGTCGACCGAATTTAAAATACAAAAATTCCATGATATAGTACTCAAAGAGCTCTATTCGAAAATGTGGACAAATCTGAATTGTTCAGATTTTCAAGGCCTTCTTTTGCTTGTTGAAGGAGTCAAAATCTCAAAATCGACTATTTTGCGTAATTTTTTTGGACAGAGTGACTAACCCGAGGACGAACCAATTCGATTCAAGCATAGCTGAAATACCCCCATACGAAATTCGAGTGCAAAATCTCATATAGGGTGTAAGTCATTCAATGATTGCAAACTTATATATTTCTGATTTTTCGATGCACTCTGTATAAAGATTTGAGAGGTGATATAACCGGTGGAGTAGTCATTCAATGGAGAAACACATCGAATTCTTTGATAAGAAGTTTCCAGGAAAAAAGATATGGATCGTAATAAAAAATAATTCAACTTCAATTTCTTTACTTTTTTGTTGACCTGTAGATGTTACAACGATTAAACTTCGTTTCTAAGTATTTGATGTGGTCCTCCATTAAATGACTGCTTCAACGGTTATATCAACTCCTTAGATTTTGATACAGGGTGAATCGAAAAATCAAAAATATCCAAATTTGCCATTGAATAGCTAACACCCTATATGAGGTTGTGCATTCTAATTTCGTATAAGGGACTAGGCTAGTCACTGTTTCGGAAAAAATTGCCTAATAGTATTTTTCGAAATTTTGGCCCTTCAACAATCAAAAGTAGGCCTTGAAAATCTGAACATTTCAGATTTTTCCACATTTTCGAATTCAGCTCGTTGAGTAGAATTTTTGTTTTTGAAAATCGGACAACGGGTTCCAAATTAGAAGGGGGTTGCGAGTTGAAATCGTACACACTGTATATGAATTTGAATAAAAATCATGAGAAGAATTCCGAAATGTGGTGAGATACAGGGCGTTCCTTTGAAGATAACAACGATGACGTCACTTCCGGAAAAACCGGAAGCTTATAATACCGAAAATATGTTAGTTAAATGTGTAGAAAAAAAGACAGTGTGAAATTACGAATAAGCCCCATCGAAATGAAAATGGAAATTTCTCAAGTGATAATTTCTCAAATTCCTATTTTTCAGGAACCACAACCAGATGAAGGATGGGAAGGTATCTTAGACGCAACAAAGAACACAAAAATATGTTATCAGCAGAGTAACATATACAATACGGATATAACAATTCTAGAAAATGAGGATTGTTTGTATTTGAATGTTTATACACCAAAGGTTAGTAGGTTAAACCTGAAAACCTAAATACTCAAGTTGTTGTTAGATGGTAAAACGGAGTTATAAATATAACTACTTTATTACCTACCTACCCACATATACCCACAAGATAAGATCCCAGATAGCAAACAGTGCATGTTCTTGAGACGTCCATCAGAAGTACAGTCAGATGCAATGAACATGTCACATCTGACATGTCAAATGATGCATCTCTGTGACACATACACGAAAAAAAAAGGAATTGTTGAATCAAGCAAAATTTAATTGGATGGAGCAAATAAAAGTGTCATATATGCACGACAAAATATAATCTTGAAATGAGTGAATCTATATCTTTTGATTACTTGATTCAAACTTCAAATTCGCTCTGAGACATGTCTTGCATGAACTCTGGATCTTCTTCAATCAAGCACATCCATGAATTGTTTATGAAGAGATATTGAATTGGCTTAAACAATCATTTTGTTTGATTCAAAATAACAAAGATATTTCTTCATTCAAATATTTAGTTGATTCAACGAAATATTTGGTTGATTCAAAGAAATATTTGAATGATTCAATGAAATATTTGTTTGATTCAATAAAATATTTTGTTGATTCAAGAGAAAATATATATCCAATCGACAAATTGTTTTATTGAACCAAATTCAATATTCGGGAATTTTCTGAAATTTCACATCAATAGAATAAACAAAACTAGGAAACAATTCGACTCCTAGCATAGATCTTCAGTCTTTACTTCTCTTCAGCCATAGATTAACGACTCCCCTTCAGCTGATGGAAAACTATTTCGGATTGCTAATCATCCTAAGTTCGATTTATACAGCTGATATTTCAAACACGAAGAATCAGGCTTATTCACGTATATAATGAATTCGAGACAGGCATAGACGAGGCGAAATGATAGCCATCTAGAGGCGAAAATTTAAGTTGATGTAGAATGAACAAAATATTTCATTGATATTACATATTTCGTTGCTCTATTCAAGCATATAGATTAATCTATGATTCAAGCAAATGATCCGTTCGAAACAAGTTCATTGCTACATCGGAATAAGAAAAAACTTGTATGTTGTTTCAAAGATATATTCCCATCAAAAAGATCATTATTTGATCACATCAACAAAATGTTTGAAGTTGAATCAACATCGACATTATTTTGGATCAACATAATTTGTTTTTGATAAAACCCTATATTTTGTTGATGGAATTGATACTATACTGTTGATTCAATTAGACTACATTCTTGATTTGTACTAGCTGCTTCCTTGAAATAATCATGTATCTGGTTGATTCAATAAAAAATATCTTAGTCCAACAAACATACTTCAAGCATAAATAATTAATTTGTTGATGCAAAATCTCCTTTTTTTCCGTGTATATGGCATGACCACTGATCACCTACCTACGTACAACCGACATATTTTGAATTTCAAATGAATTTTACTTGATTATTTTGGATTTCCGCTCCTTGTTTCTATACAATAAAAATATTAGTATTATTTCAATAGGGAGCCTAAAAGAAAAATCCTATAGCTTGTCAGTGAGTCTTTGGTTGGAAATATGTTTGAAGAGAAGGAATATAGATATATTGAAAAATATCGAGTTTTTACTTATCTTTGGACATTTCTCAGTGAGAAGTATCAAACTATAAGAACCCAACTTACGGAAAAATAGTATATTGTGCAACAAGTGGGGAAAGTTCACCGTTTCTCACGAGTCTGAAAGTTTGTGGCACGATCCAGAAGGGCGAGTGATGCAAAGACACGAGTGAGAAAAGTACTTTTCTCCACATGTTGCACACTATTTTTTTTCTACAGCTGGACTCATCCAAAGAATGAAGTAATGAACTTATTGGTATTCATTTTATAATGTGGCACTATGCCACATTGAATATTGTGACCAAAGAGTAGACGCCTTTCCTAGTTCCTCAAAGTATTTAAAAAAGTACACTTTCCGTAAAAGATTTTATTTCTGTATTTTTTTTAGATTCCATACATTTTCGTATATGCAAGTTCATACTTTTCTCTTGAAATTTCCGGAAAAGAAATTCAACTTTCGCAGCTTCTTTCATTATCTCTGTCTCTGGCGGTGTATTTATCAAAATCGTCACATCTCGGCATATACATCATATCATTTATTATGAATTGTTGGAATAATATTTGATGGAAACTTTGATTTCTATCAAAACAAAAGCACTAATGAGAACTACCCTGAATAATTTAAGAAACTTCTTCTGACAGTTGTGACAACTATTCGATTTTTGTTGATTCTCCATGGAAATGTATGTGGTGTTGGGAAGGTGCCGTGAGAAAAAATATTTCTCACAGTATGAGCAATACATGGTTTTGAAACTAAGTGAGCTATGAGAAATTCGCTAATTTTCATAGCAGTAGTAGAAAAAAGAATTTAAAAAATTTCTTCTGACAGTTGTGACAACTATTCAGAGCTGAACAGCAGCCAATTAAGTTTTGGTTGATTTCTGTTGATTCTCCATGGAAATGTATGTGGTGTTGGCAAAGTGCCGTGAGAAAAAATATTTCTCACAGCATGAGGAATACATGGTTTTGAAACTAAGTGAGCTATGAGAAATGAGCTACTTTTCATAGTAGTTGAAAAAATATTTTTGCATTTTTATATTGAGAACGGGAGCAAATTCGTTCACGAAACGTCCAAAGATGAGTTAAAATTCGATATCTTTTCAATATATCTGTCCGAAATACAGATCTATAGAGATTTTATTTCTAGTATTTCTGCATGTGCATATATTTTAGTATCCTACATCAGAGCAGTCTCTACTACCCGTGATTTTCTATATCTATGGAGGAGGATTCGTCAATGGAGGTGCCACTTTTGATTTTATGGGACCCCATTACTTCATGGAACACGATGTGATTCTAGTCACAGCGAATTATCGTTTAGGACCTTTCGGTAATTTTTTATTATTAGTTTATACAGTGTGTGCGATTTCAAATCACTCTACTCTCCTAATTTGGAATCAGTTGACCGTTTAACAAACACAAAAATTCGATAAAAGTAGTTACTCAAGGAGCTTTTTCTCTCAAAATGTTGGACAAATTTGAAACGTGAAAACTTCACAAACGATAAGATTTCCATAAAATGATTATGTGGAAATCTTATCGTTTGTGAAGTTTTTACATTTGCCTTGGATTTCCATCAAGTAACGGCCGAGTCAATTCAAAATTTGAAATATTGAAATTTTCATTGCCTAGAGTGGCATGGCACTCAAGACTTGAATACGGACCTGATATCCACATCCATTACATGAATATGGAACCTACTCAGTGGCGGATTTTCACATGAGGCCCAGTAGGCCCGGGCCTAGAGCAGCCAATCGTGACGAAAAACTTCCTGATTACAAGTAATAACTTAAAGAACCAAAATTGGAAAAAATTAAAATTTCTACTGTCGACACTACGAGTCCAGTTATGTTGGTGATTCGAAAATGTTAAAATCTCAAATTTTTGGTAATGATTGATACACATACATGGCAGCAATCTATTGAAAAATATGGTGAAACCTCAGCCGTGGCACATATCTTCAAGGCATTCGATCGAGTCTGGCACCACGGACTCCTCGCCAAGCTTCCATCTTATGGCTTGCCTCCCCAGTCATGTTCTCTGCTGGCTAGTTTCATCTCGAACAGGTCTCTCCGTGTAGTGGTCGACGGAGTTTCATCTGACTCTCTTATCATAAATGCTGGTGTTCCGCAATGATCAATTCTAGCACCAACACTATTTCTACTACATATCAACGATTTGTTGGAAGCAACTTCATGTCCAGTATACAGCTTCGCTGATGATAGTACTCTCCATACCGCCTTCTCTTCCAGGGCTCCAGCCAGGCAAATCAGAAACGAACGGGGAAGAAATGTTGAAAACATAAATATGGACTTGGCAACGATTACCGTGTGGGGATTCAATAACTTGGTAGATTTCAATGCAAACAAAACACAAGCATGCCTTTTGTCTAGAAAAACCGATCTCACTGTGCCCAACATAAGCTTGTCAGAAGCACTCAGAAGTAACCATACCTTTGAAGACATCTATTTCGATGCTGGTATTGCTATCAGCAATAACCTTTCTTGGGAAAATCACGTGAGATCAATTGCTAAAAGTGCATCCCAAAATCTTGTTTTTCTGTTTCGGGCCAGGAGCTATATCACTTCCTGTCAGCTGCTTATGATCTATAAGGCACAGATTTGACCTGTCCTGGAAAACTGTTCTCATATTTGGATAGCAGCACCCAACAAACCCTGAAACTATTGGATTCTGTCCAAAAAAGAGCAATTCGTCTCGTGGGTAATGCCTCGCTCACAAACTCACTCACTTCTCTGGAACACCGTAGAAAAGTTGGCGATCTGGCTCTATTTTATAGATACTTTCATGGACGATGCTGAAATATCAACAATTGTTCCTCCCCTGGCAGTCTCCGCGAGATTAACCCTTCGAGTTGAGGCTTCGCACCCTTTCGTGGTCACTTTGGAGACCTGCAGAACATCTCTTTCCAAAGACTCGTTCATCCAACGAACAGCGAGGCTCTGGAACACATTGCCAAGGGAGGTGTTCCCCGAGGCATATAACCTCCAGAAATTTAAGAAGAACACCAACTTCTACCTTATTTCCCTTGGTTCTCACGTTGTTCTCTGAACATGACAGGATACCCCTTTTCGTGGGAACCAAAATAAAAGAAAGAGAACTTGTTGGCATGCTTATAAATAACATAATAAATATAATTTTATTTCAAATATAAGTTCGCCAGAAGTCCAAAAAAAGGACAAAGCGTAACAATAGTTGGATTAATCTACTGACTTAAACATACCTAAAAATTCCTCTAAATGAAGCTTTTATTTTGGTGCTCACTGCAATATAAAATATGGAGACCTGTTGTTGGATAAGATAAACCTAAAACCAACTTGAAAGTTTAATTCAAATGTGCAATTACCTATATCTTAGAAACCTCTGGCTGTTATAGCTAACTTGATTTCTGAATTGTTTTCGTTAAAAGTTGGCAAGAAAAAACTTTCATGGGCTGTGCCCTAGGGTAACACTTTTATAGAAAATAGATATGTATTTCGCATAATGCATCAACGAAAGGAACAAAAGCTCTGAAAAGTAATGTGATTTCGAATCGGAGGTTTGCCCTTCTAGTAGGACAAAACTCATTTCATCATAAATATTCGATCAACATATATTAATGGAAAATTTTCAAATTCTATTTCGAAATATGAATATAAGGAACGTCTTATTGTGGAAACGGGAGAGCCAAATTTGACTATAAGTTTTGATGTATAAATGTACAGTAGTTTATTTGAAACACCAATGTTACCAATAACTTGCTTGATAACCAAAACAAACAGCTGATAGCTTATGAAAGATTCTTATAGGAATAGTTAAACACTTAGTCATTGAAAAGGAATATTCTCAGATAAAATCATGATAATAAATTAATGAATACATATACATATCTTGGTTTATTCAACAGAAAACAACTACTTTCCTGGCTATATGCCACGTCGAACATTTAATTATATCTGTTGAACAGCCAAAAGGAGAAATTGAGAATTTACATTCTCTTTCAAATCGGGCAAAATAATATGATGCATTATGATATAAAAATATAACTTAACTTCCCAATATGTTCAATATTGAAATGAAAATTGAAATGTATAGGAGAAGTATACTTGTCTTGTATAAACTCCAAAAAAAGAATCATTCGTATCAGTGATATGGAAATTATTTGTCTCACATAAAAAAATTAGTTATTTTTGTATCTAGAGCGCGAAATGCTACTTTGGTGATCGAGATCTGATTTTTTTAACGAGGCCTAGCCGAGTTGAAAAAATAGTCGAGATGACCAAAGTATTTCGCGCTCGAGTTGCAAACAAAATTTTTTCTACAAACGTCAAAAAATATAGTTCTAGAGTAAAAATATGCTTAACTTTATATAGAAAATAGTGTTGAACTGGCTTGAAAGGTCTCCCCCTATCCTCCCTAGGTACGCACGATGTTCCACGAACATAATAGGAATTTCCTTTCATGCGCTCCAAGAAAAAAAACAAAGTTATTGTTGAACATTCAGAAATAAATGATTTTGTGGATGTCTGCTCGATTGAGGACCATAAAGTTGGAATATAAATATCTCATTTATTTTACATAACAATGCGCGAAGTAGGTACTTCGCGCACTGTTTTACTTCGCGCATTGTTTTGTGCCAAGAATCATGGTAACGTAGGAAACTGAAAAAAAGTGTCACTTCGCAATTTGTTATCAATGCGCGAACCTTGTCATTTTTTGACGTTTGTAGAAAAAAATACTTATTGTTCAAATGAGGTCTTCTATCTATTGTCAAGTTTCTGGTACTGTCAAGTGGATCAACCTGTTTAATAACCAAGACCAAGGAAGTTCCAAAATATAATCGATAATTATCTGTATTTTCGAATATGGTGTTGAAATAGTATGAATAAATATCGAAAACTTTTTAGGTTTTCTAGCAACCGGTGACCTAGTCATTCCTGGAAACTACGGTTTGAAGGATCAACTCATGGTCATGAAATGGATCAACCAAAACATCAAATATTTCGGAGGTGATCCTGAAAAAGTGACCATATCTGGTCAAAGTGCCGGAGCAGCATCTGTCAACTTCCATTATATGAGTAAACAATCTGAAGGTAATCTCAAAATGAAATTTAAATAGATATCGTCCTTACAATCATTTCGATTTTTTACTTTCCCAAATGAGAAACATGATTTTCCTTGACAAAATATCCTCTTGATCAATGTCGTCCAAATTATGAGAAACAAACCTATAATTACTGCAGTTTCAATTATGTATAGAATATTTGTATGTGTGATAGGTTCATCTTTGTCTGGGTACAGTTATGCAGTGACGTGTCACACTTTCATTGATGTAAATAAGAATCAGATGGCACCCAGAAATGAACCTTGTGGTACTTACATTAGTTCATGATTTCCAAAATGTTTGCAAATAACCATAATAATGCATTTTTGGAAAACCAATTTCAATTTCAATGACTATAACTCTGTTTCATGCCGCATTGGATTTTTATTGAATTCAATAAATTTTTTTCCTCTTGTAAATAATGTAGCATTGGTCTATTTCAGGTTTATTTAGAGCTGGTATTTCACAAAGTGGATCTATTCTGTGTCCATGGGTTTACCAGAAGGAATACAAGAGCATAGCCTATGACCTTGCTTCTTACGTCGATAGTGAATTCCAAAGAAACTCAAGCTCAGAAGAACTGCTGAAATTTTTGTGGAACGTATCTGCTACTGACCTCAGCAAGGCTGCAGCTAGTTATCCGGTAAGTTTCTCTATTTTTAAATGAGATTTAGAGTGGGGCCTTCAAGCTATCTGCCTCCACACCACGACCTCTTCAGATCTATGGTGTCTGCCCTCAAGATCATTTAGAGTTTTTTGGCTAGCCCCGCCATCTCTATGAGACTCCATAGGCTAGCTGTCAGATCCCCTGTGTAACATTGGGCTCTTTGTTTTTCCTCACCCAGCGTAAGGAACCTCAGTCTTGACAAGCCCTCACAGTGGCAAAGTATGTGTCCTGCTGTTTCCTCTTCTTCCTGGCAGAACCCGCACAGCAGTTCTGTGAATGTGTACGATGGTTTTTTAATCAATTCTTTGGCCTGTCTCATTCCTGGCGAGTTGTTCCACCATTCTTGAGATTTGGTTTACATCCATAATAGGGCTTCGCGAGACCAAGAGTCCAGTCTTGGTCTTGTCTTGGTCTTGATACAACCCTTTTGAACCTTATTTCTGGCTGTCGGGCGTCGGCCTGTTTGCTGTTTGGGTCTCATCTAATGTTTATTTAAGGTTTCTCAGAAATTAAATTCTTAGGGAGATACGGAATACCTAATATGTGCATATAAACTGTTGGATATTTGAATTGAATAATTCTAATTTCTAGACGCATTTTCATCCAAGACCAAGACTATCAAGACCAAGACCAAGACTGAGCCAGTCTCGTCTTGGCCTTGAAACATCAAGGCCCAGTGCCGGATTTAGGGGAGGGCATCCGGGGTACAGCCCCGGGACCTCCACTAGGAAGGGGCGCTCACGATAGAGACAAAAAAATCTTTCGACTTTCGACGAAACAACTTTTTCTTCAATATTTTTTAGGGAAAAGTTGAGTTCGTTGTTTCATCCCGAGTTCAACCCTTAGTACTTTGTAGAAACATGATTGTATTATTCTTAAATATTGAAGAATAATTTAATTATATTTGTTCACTCCAAACTGATAAAATATCAATTTGTTAAAATGGCCCTGATAAGCAGTTGTTGCCATTTACTACCCATCTTGATAGAGTATCCCAATGTGGGGCAATACTTGTCCGTAGCCTTAGAGAGGACTATGGAACAAACCAATCTACTGAGACTGAGGTATTTTATTTAATACGACACTCTTGAATATGAAAGTTCAAGAATTACATTTCCGAACATTGAAATTGCACTGAGAATGTATTTGGTTTTGATTACATCGAATAGTACTGGAGAACGCTCATTTTCAAAAATGAAAATTATAAAAAATAGGCTTCGAACTTCGATGGGACGAAACCTCCTTTCACATAATTCTTGTTTTTGACAATATTTCTACTGGGTGTTTCCTAAGTACGGGTAAAAATTACAGGAGCATGTTGCTGACGTCAAAATGAGAAGAAAAGTCCATTTAAACATATGTCCGCAAGTTATCTATTTCTGAGATACAAAATGTCAAAGGTTGATTTTTTTTCGGTTTTTTTTTGTGGGTAAATTCAGGAATGAACGTGATATTAGAGTGAAACTTGGTATCTCACCCGATTATCTGGATTATTTAAGAATTCATTCACTAAAAACCGAAATAACAATCCAAATTTGACACTCTGTATCTCATAATGAGTAACTTCCGGACATATGTTTGAACAAACTTTTCTCCTTATTCAAACGTCAGCAACATGCTCCTGAATTTTTTACACGTACTTAAGAAACACCCTGTATATGTTAAAATAATTTAGTTGGTTTCGCCATAAATTATTGACCAAGAAATTTGTTAATTTCATATGGAAAACAATTAGGAGCCAGGGGGCCTCTGCTCTTTTGTTGTCCCAGGGCCTCCAGACCTCTAAATCCGCCTCTGACAAGGCCAATACCAAGATCAATGCTACATCCCTATGCGATAGACGCATAATAATTTGTTCGAAATGAAAGACTTTTTCAATGAATACGCGATGAACTATTACAGAAATCAGAAATATTATAAATTTCATTATTCATAACAGTTGACAAGAAAAAACTATAAAACATAGAATATTGGTTAATAATAAAGGTATTTTGAATTAGTCTGGGGTTCCGTGGCTTTTAGCGTTGGGCTGATTACGAGCTCTGTTTCAGAACTTCCGAATAAATAAAGTCTCCATTCAGAACATTTCTTTGAAGCTTCTATTTTGAGTGGTTTGTCATACGTATCTTCAATTTTGATATGAATTTGTTATTCAACTCTTTTATACATTTCAGCATGTATTCGGACGGATGAGATGCAACAAACTGTGAAAAATTTCTTTCATATTAATTTCTCGTCCATATTCCGCTTTTTTTTTATCTCTTGTACTATCTGAAGTCCGCCCATTTTCAGCTATATTTCGGTTATTAATGACGTTCTTCTTCAAGGTTCATATACTTCCATCAACGTCATCACCAAGTACAAACTTTCCAAGATCTACCCGATTCTGAAATAACAAAATCAGCGTTGTTAACAACTCGACCCCAGTATTGAAAACAGCACAAATATGTTTGCAAAACTGACCTCCTGCTCCTGCAGGACAATCACACTGTTCTATATTCTAGATGTGTATCAACAGTATAGACATACAAGATTGTCATTTTGGGATGACTGACCACAAAATGTGTACATACCTGTTTTTTTTTTGTCACAAAAAATAAGCCTTAAAACAGAATTTTCTGAATCAAAGATCTATCTTAAACCGACGATCATTTGTATATGAGATACATTTTTGTTTGCAAAACTCTTTCAGTGAGTGTATTATAAATCCTGAGAGAAACATTGCATTAACCGTTCCAAATCTCCGTAAAACTAAATTCTTCATTATGCGAATTGACACTTCAATTGTTGTCACAAAATCAGTGCGGAAACAATGAGCCCATTGTGGCGTTCGAGTCCAAATATTACTCTCCAGTGATTTTTGAAACTATTGTTTTATCATTAGAAAATGTGAGTCAACCGGATAGGGCTTGTAAAATTTCAATATTTTACATATCCTATGACATTAGCGCTCCGCGTAGCTCTACTTGTATGGGAAACGAAAAAATGCATCCCGGACCAGGAAGCCCCAGACTATATCAGGTTCCAATATTTTATTCATCGAATGAACAGTTTCATTATGTCATTCAATTTCAGCCGGAACTTTTAGACGATCAAATCACCCTAGGATTTGTGTTTGGACCTACAATAGAGCCTGAGCACGAAAATGCCTTCATTACTGAGTCAATGTATGAAGCTGTGGAAAAAGGGCACATCAATCGTGTTCCCATGATGATTGGTATGTGCTCGGAAGAAGGATATGCAATAGGTTCCTATAGTAAGTCATCTTTTATAATTATCAAATGTAATATGCTTGAAATGAATAAAAATACTTATTGTATCTTATCTACAAAGCCGTAGAATAGATGCGGTATTATTTGTCGTGATTTCGAGCTAAAATTAACAGTGCTTTCGTTCCCGCACCATATATTTCATGAATCTACCCATCATATTCCTTTTGGAATACTTCAATAATAATCTGGAATGTTCTAGAACATCTGTGGAATATTCGCCGAATATGCGAATGGGAATTCCTCAGATATTCATAGAATATTCTTTTGGTCATATTCAGAATTGAAAAAAGGTGGCCCGTGACTTCCAGACTGTCTGTAAAGGCTACCACTAGACAATTAATCGAATTGGATACCTAATGTTGTACACAAAAATTCTTGAAAGAGCGTTGTTCAGAATCGGATCAATTGGATCATAAACACTTCTCGTTTCAAAATCTCGTAACATATAATACCCAGTACTCTAAAATAATTATTGGTGAGAAAAATATGGGAATTCTGATAATATTTTGAATATTCCTGCTGGAATATTCCTTGTAAGTATATTATTTTGGAATATAACTAGAATATTCACATTGGAGTAATCCTTGGATGTTCTAGATTCATGTGTATATTCTGGGAATATTCGGAATATATTTCTCCTTTTCAACATATTAAGAGAATAATCTTTGGTAGAAGTCCATATTACTCAAAGTGGAGTGAAATATTTCAAAGGAAGGAAGGAATACTCGAAGTCATCCCTACAAATGATGTTGTTACATAATCATAAGGGACATGTTTCGGCTGAAGATGGTCTCTTATAAGACCGAAACACCACTCCAACAGCCGCTTAGAGGTCCTCTTGAACTTACCAACACTACAAATATACAGTCTGTCCAAGATAAGGTTGAACAGCATGGGGATCTCGAAAACGGTAGGAGATACGAAGTCGGTTAAATGGGGAAAAAGTTGCGCATTCGGAGGCTCATATCAAGAGCCTTCGAAAATTTTTGAAATTATTTTTAGTTTTTTAGTTATATCGAAAAAAGTGAATTTGTGAATTTTTGGAATATCTATTTTATTTTTTTTCTTCGTTATTATAAGAGATACAGAAAAACTAAAAATACTTTTTCATAGCAACTTTTAATGACGTTTAACGTGGTGATACCAATTTTTCTATGCGACGTTTCGTATTCGTAGAACCATCATCAACTTTTGTTTTTCAAATACGGTCCTGATAATTTTTTTACAGATTCTGAAAGGTTTTTTTATTTTGAATTCAACCATGTATCATACAAGGTGGTTTATGTGTGTTTTGACCTATTTTTAACCATCATCAATGTTTTTTCGAAATTCCAAAGGAAAAATGCCATCAGTTCCACTTATTTTGAAGAAAAATCAGTCAACACACTAATACCTCATCAACTGGTGACAATCAACAACCCATTTCATTTTTCGGAAACAAAAATTCCATCCATACAAATTCAAAATATGTCAAGCGCTAAAACCAGGCGATGACGGAAGGCGCAGGACATTCTGTAAGTGCGGTATACCAGGAAATGTCAAAATTTTGCAGATTTCCCGCGAACAAACATCTGGACTGATGAAAGCATTGTCACTTATCATGGTATATTTGATAGAAAAAATACAAATTATTGTTCACGAGAAAATGAACATTTATACATTACAGCGAGACACCAACACCGTTTCGGCTTTTATATGTGGGTTGCAATATTTGGTATACACGAATTATTGGTCCTTTTATTTACCATGAAACACAGACTTCCTTACGTTATACAAATTTGCTTGAGAATCATCTTGAGGAAGCTCTGGACACAGTTTAAGGAAATACCCATTCCTTAAACTGTGCTCTGGATGATTTACCGATTGCGGAAGTTCAGAACTGTTGGTTTCAACAAGATGGCGCTATCCGGTACCGGTACATAATTCCAGAGAAGGGACAGTGTCATCGAAGCATTCAATAGAATAACCCCAGAAATGCTTAGTAATGTCTTAGAAGCAACTGTGAGAAAAGGATATCTTTGTTCGGAAAATAATGGTTATCATTTTGAACATTTGTTATGAATATTTCTGAAGGTATTGTCAAAGTTAAGTTGTTGAAGTCATTCGTGAAAGAATTCATCAACAATTTTAAGCGCTGCATTGAATGAATGAATGATGTAGTGAAATATTTGTTATTCACTTTTCAGAATTGAATAACTAATCCATCAATTTTTGACACTGAATGATCAGAAATAAATGGAACTGATGGCACTTTTCCTTTGGAAGTTTGAAAAAACATTGATGAAGGATAGACATAGGTCGAAACACATTCGAATCACCTTGATGTATAATACATGTTTGAATTGAGAATAAAAATACCTTTCAGAATCTGTGAAAAAATTATCAGGGCCGTATTTGAAAAACAAAAGTTGAGGATGGTTCTACGGATACGGAACGTCGCATAAAAAAATCGGTATAAACACGTTAAACGTCATCAAAAGTTGCTATGAAAAAGTATTTTCAGTTTTTTTGTATCTCTAATAATAACGGAGAAAAAAAAATAGATATTCCAAAAATTAACTTTTTTCGATATAACTAAAAAACTAAAAATAATTCTAAAAATTTTCCAAGGCTTTTGAAATGAGCCTCCGAATGCGTTTTCTTCTTTTTCCCCATTTAACCGACTTCGTATCTCCTACCGTTTTCGAGATCCCCATGCTGTTCAACCTTATCTTGGACAGACTGCATACATTCAAGCAAAGCCAGAGCATTCCTTCCTTCCTCAGATATTAAGAGACTATTCTAGGAATATCCACAGTGCTGTCTGGGTGAAGCACTGAACACATTATTTTTTGCCAAACTATTCAATTCTCCAAGAACAGGTCGATTTTTCATCTCAATTTGCCACACTTACAAGGGAAAATTGAATATACTGGGTGATTCATACTTAAGTAACGACGTTCACGACATGAAGACAGCTATTGTATTCACCATTCTCAATCCTTTCTCCGTTGATATTTTAAGGTATACCTGAAATCCAAAAGTTAGCATCAAAAATTGACAACGACCCTTCCCAACTGGTTAACCCAAATATGCACTTAACTGATCCAAACGAAATAAAGGCAGCAGCAGAAGCCATCCACAGAATTTATACAGACGGAGCATTTGCTGATAATTTGGACAAAACTGTCAAGGTATATATAGGACTGTTTCAAGAACTTGCATTCAGTATCCCTCGTCACATGGTCAAATCTTATTTCAGCCATTTTTCCTCAAATTAACCACGCACAAACCTGATCGACAATAATATCCATTCACATACATACAAGTATATACCTGTATATACCAATGAAATAACTGAGCTATATCAAAAAATAATATTCGAAATTCATATGATTCGATATACTTGCACAAAAAATAGCCAGTGCTGTAACTTGTGAATTATTCGATGTCGGAGTTTGAAATTTGGTGGACATCTAGACCAAATTGCTTATTCTTCGAAGGAACATATTTATTGTATATCACTCGCTATATAATATACCACCAAATTACAACACTGGTTGTTTTTTTGCGAAGTTTTTCATATAATATTTATTCCTATATTTCACTTTCGGGAATAGAAAGAATACATTTAGTAGTTTACACAATTTTTTATTTGACCTTGATTTTTGTTGTAGCATTTATATGTGGACTGTTACGTTTTCTATACTAATTCAGCTTGTTCTATAGTTTTACAGTGACACTGCTTTCAATAGGGGAATAATTCGTTATGCTGAAATGCAGTCGAATTTCAGCGATATCTACTTCTACCAGTTCTCTCATTATGGCCCCATCCTTGGAGAACGACCAAACCTTGATGGTATGTGTTTATATTGAAAATAATATTCCTATTTGAATCCATTTATACAGGATGTGTTCCATTGGGAAACAGAAATATGCTGAGATCAGTCAATTTCACATTGGTCCATCGGCTATTATCTCTATCAGAGGGGCGAAATATTCTCGGATTTAATGACGCTCTGCCACTAACTCAGCTCAGTTTGAATGGCGGCACGTTTGGATATTCGCAAAGGAGACATCATTCCCTTTCATTTGCTTCATGTTTCAACTTGTTATCACATGACGGAAGTATGTCCGGAATAACAGCTGCAAATACATCGCTATGCCGTGGATTTGGCTCAGATTAAGGAGTGGCACAGAGGCTTTTGAGATGTACTATTCAATTGGTATCGGATGACATAATTCTCATCTCGTTATCAAATCGCGAAGTTAAGTGCAAATCATCGCACAGGATAGTGCCATTTTTAAATCATTCTGCTGAGGATAGTGATTGGCACAGGTGCCGTTCGATGAAATACAATGTATTCACATGCTCTTGGGACATATATCATTTTGTTATCAGACGACTGTCGAAATTTGCACCCGGCCCTTGGACTATAGTGATTATTACTCAATAGTCTACACACCTAGTTGGAGTTAAATATGACTGTTCAAAAATCTTTCATTCAGACTTTCAAGGCCTTTTCAGGATATATTATTTGGGAATATTTTTTATGCAGAAAGGACATAATTATAATTTCCTTTCTTATTCTAATTAAGTCTAGTCACCATGACAGTATAGTACAAGTCGTTATTGATGAATACCTACCAGAGATTCGAATATGTCTTTATTGACTAGTGGTTCATAAAATGAGGAAACCTACCCTAGTAGTAAAAACACACTTTATGCATCGAAAAGATGTAAATAATAGTTATTTAACCAACTAGTTTATTAATCGCTTTTTAATATACAAGTTGGTTACAAAATCTTTCCGTCGACTATATTTCCCATTTCTCCTGCAATGAAGAAAACTTGGTTCGCGAATTCATCATTCATCTGGAAACTGCTAAGAATCACCCAGTAGCCTTGTCACTGACATTAGTGTCATTTGAAATTCGTCGAAATGATCAACATAGAAAATAAATTCCTTGTGTTAGAAAACAGGGATTAAAATCGTGTCAGAAACTTGGAAAGGTGAACCCGTTAACAGAAAATCTTCAATGAAATCCATATTTTCGATTTAAATGCAGATTCCGTAAGTTATAGCATAAACAATGAATGCACGCGGTGTATGTTTGGTTGCCTATAAAACAATCGTACATTAATAGACAAATCGTTCATTAATAGGGGTCATTAATGATTGATTTCATATACATTAAACTTAGTCGTTAATACGAGGTCGACGGAAATGGTATGTTTCATAGCTAGTGGTGGAAAAACAATATCATGATGTTTTTGGTTCTGATTGTTCCGTATTCAGATTTCATAATATTCCTTATTTTATGTTTCACTTCATTAATCTCTCTATTTTATTTTTTTCAAGGAGTTTATAAAGTGGGCCATGGAAATGATGTGCTGTTTTTATGGGCATTCAGCAATTATAGTACGATGGACACTCAGAGGGCAGACGATGTTTTGACATCAAATCGTTTATTGACGTTGTTGACTAACTTCGCGAAGTATTTGTAAGTAAACTCCTACTCGCTAGAAATCTAAAATGTGTCTGGCTTCAGCTTCCGAATTTGAATCCTCCCGTCTAAATAATAATAGTACATACCTAGTATAGTAATAATCAGGTTCATTCGGGTTCGAACAATTACTGTTCTAGAACTGTCAGGAGTTTGCGCAGTAGAATCGATCGCGTTCGGGTTTTGTGCAACTCTTCTAGGACTGACTCTTTACGCGTTCGGTTTTTTTCAGTATCGTCAAAGAATAGTAGGTTTCCTGGGACGGTCCTTAAACTATCCGAAACCAGCAGGGAGATTCTATTTCACGAATCGAGTCGAATCGGCCATCTTTATTCGATAATTGGTATTTTGTTTCTCAAATGAATCGTGTTATCTCGACTCGATTCCTCGATAGCTCAAGAGGAGTCGAGTCGATGCGTTTTGTCAATATATCCTTATCTATCGTCGAATATTTCTTTTCATCTTTATCCCAATTTGAGGTTAGATCATCTTTTTTATGTGAAAGCACAGCTTCGAAAGTGTGTAGGTAATCAACTTATTAGTTCATTAATATAATATGTAGGTATATAATTCATTTTCGATGTCGTTCAAACTCAGAGATGCCCACTGGGAAATGTTAATAACATTTTTAGAACAGCACAGAACATGGCCACGGCCACAGGATGATTTTCAGTCTAATGGTCGTGGCATCAATAAAATACTGTGAATCAGGCTAAGCCAAGCAAATTCATTGGGGCTTGGCGAGTGAACTCCTGAGAAATGACATAAGGTAGCATCTTAAGGTGCTACCTTGCTATGATTCAGTTGCATAAAACCTCAATGCACAGAATATTTGAGATTCTGTATACCTATTCCATTCATAGGTATCATCAGATAATGAAAATGGATTAGGTAGGTACCTACCTACTTCTGTTTCATAATTCTTGTTGTCGACGAATTAGATCCAAAATTTCTTTGCCTATCTTTAGCTGCTGCTGCTGAAATACCATCTCGAACAATTAGAATTATTTTTATTTTTGTCTTGGGATTGGAAAAATTGAAATTCATAAAAACAATATAACCACCATAACCTCAAATTTGTGATGGCTTTTGGGGCTATGGCCTCGGTGCTCGTTTCATTGGATCAAAATCTCATTCCATTTAGCCAAAAAACCGACGATTTCCGAAGTCGAATTCGATCGCGACTTGATCGTGAAACAAAATCCCCCAGCACAGTACCTGATTTCGAGCATGAACCGTTCTAGGATTATTTTTGGCGCATGCTCATTTCATTTAGTTTTCGATTCTGTCTGTTGTAGCGTAACATTATAATGATATATTTTCGTTCATTCTACTGTTTATTGCTCTTTTCAATATTTTCTCAATATTATTTGATAATGGTAGATCTTCATCTTCAGGAAGCAGTGGTGAAGGAGTTACTTGCTGAAGTTGCTGAAAATATTTCACCTAATCTGATAATTCTCGAACTTTCATTAGATAAACCGAAAAATGGAGGATAATGTTAATACACAATTCATTGAACATTATAGGTGGGTGTCGGAATTCATGTGGGTATACAAGGGACAAAACATATTGAAAATCTAGCTACGAATGCTATGATGGAATATATTCACCATTCCTCCACAGAGAATTTTCAGAGATATTGTGAATAGACTCAAAGGAGAGTTTGAAGCTTCAGAATATTATTCGAATCAAGATATAGGTTCCAAACTATTGTTTTTTTCGTCAGTTGTCAGTTCAACACTATTTTTTATATCAAGCTAAGCCTATTACTTATTTTGGAATATTTTTTCACGTAGAAAAAAAAATTGTTTGTAACTAGTGTGCGAAATGTTACTTTGGCGATCTCGATTATTTTACAAAAATAATTATTCTGGCGTGAGGTTCCCAAGAAGATGTCGTAAATTAGGAATCTCAAATTCGGAAATGGGGGCTTTGGTTTGACGGCTGTTACACGAGAATAATTATTTTTATATCCATTATGCGAAATGATACTTTTGCGTTTTGGAATGGAAATGTTTCTGCAGAGTTTTTTTGCAGAGCTCCATATAATAGTCATTCGATAATGCAAAAGCATCTCGCATTCGAGATGCAAACAATATTTTTGGGACTACACGGAAAAAAAGGATTTGTTGCATCAACAAATTATTTATGCTTGAATTATTTTTGTTGGATTGAACAATTTTTTGTTGAATCAAACAGATACATGATTATTTCATGGCAGCAGCATGTTCGAATCGAGAATGTAGTTCACAGTATAATATCAATTCAACAAAATATATGTTTATCTCAAAAACAAATTATGTCGATCCAAAATGATGTCGATGTTGATTGACCTATAAACATTCTGTTGATTCGATGAAATGATTATCATTTCGATAAGAATAAATCTTTGAAACAACATACAAGTTTTCTTATTCCGATGTAGCAATGAACTCGTTTCGAACGAATAGAGCAACGAAATATGTAATATCAATGAAATATTTTGTTCATTCAAGATCGAGCTGAATTTTCTCCACTAGATGGCGATATTTTCGCCTCGTCTATGCCTGCCTCTGATTCATTATATACATGAAGCCTGATTCTTCGTGATGTTTGAAATATCAGCTGGATAAATTTCAGAAAATTCCTGTATCAATACTGAATTCGGTTCAACAAAACAATTTGCGATTGTAAATACAGTTTCTCTTGAATCAACGAAATATTTCATTGAATAAACCGAATATTTCGTGGAATCAACAGAATATTTGATTTCGAATCAAACAAAATTATTATTTGAGCCAATTCAATATCTCTTCATAAACAATTTATGGATGTGCTTGATTGAATAAGATCCAGAGTTCATGTCAGACATATTTACTTGATTCAAACTCCAAATTCGATCTGAAACAAGAGAAGAATTAGAAATACTGATTTCAAGATTATATTTTGTCGTGCATATAATATGACACTCATATTTGCTTCATTCAATTAGATATTGCTTGATTCAACAATTCCTTTTTTTCGTGTATTCTATTCATCTCATAATCTGACCAATCACAAGCCAGAGACAACGTGTGTTTATCGCAAAAACATTAGCTGTTCTCTCGCTGTTCTTCAATTCTGATTGGTCTATCAGCGCTGATGTTTTCAACGATGTAACAATGGTGGAAGTAAGATATGGCGTAATTACTGATGCGCTTTTGTTTCAAAAATTTTACTCGCCCTCTCGAGAACAGCGAGAGCAATGGTTTTGTCGATCTTCTAATAGATGGCGACATAGCACAATTATGAAATCTGTCAGTTTTGAAATTGTCGCAGATTTTTCGAATTCAGAGTTGAATAATCCCACTGTTACATATGTTCCGCGTACCTAAAATGCCATTGGCCATTTTATTTCCACTCGTCACAGCAGCAATAGCAGTATCACCATCGAGCAGGAAAATGTAGAATCAACGTCTCGCTCGTTGTGACATCGTGTTGTGACGTGAGAAATCATAGCAGGCGGTCGAGTGATTTTTATGAAATTTTCAATACGGAATAATGGCCGAATACGCGCACTATATCTTACTCCCATCATTGATTTATAACCATGGATAGCCAAGCAAAGTGTGTATAACCATGGACTCGTGGTGTTGCTTGGCAACACACTTTCTTGAACAAACAAGCGACAGAATCATCTCGAATATTCAGAACATCGTGATATTACTTATGAAAACTGCATTGAAATTAATATGAGGATGAAGGAATAAATATTCAAGTATTTGTCATTGTTAACTGACATTTTGTGGATACTTATCTGACCTACCCAGAATTGACATCTGTTAGCTGTGACAGAACTGAAGAGCGAAAACTTGAATAGGAAAATAGTGGAATCTGAAAACCAGCAACCATCTGAAAACTGTGGAGTTTGCGAATTATGTATAGGTCCACGATAATATTTCATTATTATTATGTATTGAAATCAATGTATACTCGTATGTTGAGTATTCAATTAAAAAATTCGTAAATAAGATCCCTACATATGACCAACTGAACGCAGAAGTCTTTCAAGTTCTAACTGAGATTTTACCGAGAATATCAACATTTGATGACAGTTTTCGAAGAAAATATTCTGAGATGATTCTTGAAATGAGCGCTCGCATCATACCAATTTTTTGAAATTTTAATCCAAGCTCGGTAACATTACGAAATTTGATGAAAATTGATATCTTCAAAAATATTATTTTTCTTGCGAAAATTGTTTTCTTTCATTTCGTTTTGTTCGTTCTTTTATTACCCAATTTATTTATCGCCGATATTTCGGAAAAAAACTACTTTTTTTCTGTGACGGGAAAAAAGTTTGGCTTTTCATGTCTGTTGACAGGCTATAAAATGTGACTTTTCATAAATTACTTTTTTCCCACGGGCAAATAGTGAGTACTTTTTTCCAGGATATATATCACATATATATACACTGTTGATGGCTTTTGTTGTGCTATAATTCCGAAAAATGGGTCAATATTACCGTCTCCGAGAAAGAACTGCAAGTCCTTATCTTCGATTCTACTTCGCGGTTACGTATATTACTAAACAAGCACTAAATTCGCAATTTTTTGAAATCAAATCACAGAATTAGACTGACAGAAGTGACATCAAATATTTGATTACTTCAAAAGAATGATGAAGATGCCTATAGAACGCAGGTGTCCCTACTGTTAAAAACTTAAAATTTCACGTCGATAATTTTCAGATTTCAAAATAATGTAACATTTTCCCAATATTGATTCGTCCTTCCTTCTGTCACAGAAAAAAATAGTGTACACGGGAAAAATATTAGATTTTAGCTCACGGTTTTTTGTCTCCCTCCGCTACGCGTCGGGAGACAACACAACCTGGAGCTAAAATCTACAACTTTTTTCCCTTGTATAAAATAACTATTGTGTACTAAATATGCAATTGTTTTTACAGAGATCCTACTCCATATGCATCCAGTCTGTTGGATGATGTTGATTGGCCCACAGTTCGCCCAGATAATTTCCAGTATCTGGATATAAACGATACCTTAACCATCAAGAAGAATCCTAAGGGCGAATTTTATCCAAAATGGGTAGAAATTTACGAACAAATGGCTATCAAGCCATATACAACATTCTGATTACTGACTTTATCTGCACATGAAAATTAATAAATCATTTCCAAAACATGGTGTTATTTTATATCTTCGTGCGCAGGACAGGAAATCCCTATAATATTGAATTGGAATATTCTCAGATGAAATTATGAACATGAAATGGATATATACAGGGCTTTCATTTCAAAACTTACCACCCTGCATATCTTTTGATTTGCGAAGATTACAGTTTTCGGAAAAACAGGTCGATTTAGATATCGAGGGGGAAGTAAAATGCCAGAATCTATTGAATCCTATGTTCATCCCCTTCACCCCAGACACCCCTACTTTGAAATCTCAAATGGCACCCCCTTCTTCGGAATACACGAATTTGAAGGACTATCAATAAAGAAATCAATCAGGTGAAAAATAATGTTTTTTGCATACAGGGTGGGTCATGCCCCTGAGGGAAATGCAGCATGGCCATCCAAAATGTTTTCTCCTCTTCTACAATAATATACAGAGTGATCCATAGGATTGAGCAAAACATTATATTCTTGTCATAACTTTCCAACAGCTTCTTTGATTCATTTCATTTTTTCATGGAACATCATGCACCCCAACACCAATAATAGACTAACGTATACAGAATTGAAAAAAATTCAGGACCGTACTTGTGAAGTGTTGCCAGCTATCAAAGAGTTCGATCACTCTGTATATATGATTTCAGTGAACAATGACATCTTTTCTGTCAATCAGAACAGAATGTGGGTATAACCTACTAGTTCCTTTCATTGCATGAGGAAGTATTCCCAACAACATAATTATAATGTCCAGAAGTTCAAAAAAAATTCCAATACCTACCTCCTATCCCTAACCTCCCTAGGAACGCACGATGTTCTTTGAACATTAAAGGGATTCCCTCTCGTGCGCTCCAAGCGATAAAAAAAATGCAATCTTTCAGAGTGGTATCAAGGCAATTGCACAAAATGTGCTTCATTATTCTCTAGACAATTATACAGCTCATTTTCGAATTCTTCAAGAACTTTTTAAAACGTTTTCCCGATATTCTCCTCAGGGGCCTCTGTTCGTGGTAGGAGTATGTAAAGTACCTCATGACTTACCCTGTATATGGAATGAATATTTTTTCACTTGTTGGTTGTATTCAACATAGCATCCAATTGATACTGTTATTTTACTTCCCCCTCGATATCTGAATCGACCTGTTTTTTTCCGAAAATTGTAATCTTCGCAGATCAGAAGATATGCAGGGTGGTAAGTTTTGAAATGAAAGCCCTGTATATATTGAAATTTGAATACTAGGAGTTCGGGCTGAACTGCGTCTATGGAATCTGTAAATGTTCGATGTTTCGGCTTCGATTTTGAAGCTATTTTCGAGAACTGTAAAATAGAAATGATATTGATGATAGAAAAATATAGGGAGTGATTTTTCACTGAAATCTCGATCTGCCTACTCCCCAGTTAATATCACGCAAGGTATATGACTTGACGCCAGGGTTTCAATCTGCATACTCCCCAGATCTCGTCACTGGACACTGCCTACTCCTTCGAGAGAACTGAGGGTGTGTGAGTGGTGGAACGGTATTTATAGTGGATGTGGTGGTCAGTGAAACAGAACTAGGAGCGTGGTTTGTTATGGCGCAGGGTGTGGAAAGGCGGGAAATGAGAGGTTTCCAAGTGCCAGAAAGCCTGCTGCGGTCGTCGCGAGTATTGAGGAGCTATTTCACTACCAGTCAGCTGCTTATAATCTATAAGGCACAGATCCGACCTGTCCTAGAATACTGTTCCCATATTTGGAGTGCAGCACTCAAACCTACCCTGAAACTGTTGGACTCTGTCCAAAAAAAAAAGGCAATTCGTCTCGTGGGTGATGCCTCACTCACAAACTCACTCACTTCTCTGGAACACCGTAGGAAAGTTGGCGATCTGGCTCAATTTTATAGCTATTTTCATGGACGATGCTCTTCTGAAATATTGAGAATTGTTCCTCTCTTGGCAGTCCCCGCGAGATTAACCCGTCGAGTTGAGGATTCGCACCCTTCGTGGTCACTTTGGAGACCTGCAGAACATCTCTTTCTAAAGACTCGTTCATCCAGCGAACAGCGAGGCTCTTGAGCACATTGCCAAGGAAGCTGCCCAATCAGCACAAGTATGTCTTATGGACGTTTCAAAAACGTCCACTCTGGACATTCAGGACGTTTTGGGGACGTCCATTTCCGGACGACGGACGTCTTATGGACGTTTTGAGGACGTCCATTGTTAATAATCAGGATGTTTTGGGGACGTCCAGTTTAGGTCCAGACTAGGACCTTTTTGGGATGAAAAATGGACGTATTGAGGACATTCAGAAATATTGATTATCGATTTTCTGACCCATCTGAAGAGTGAAATACTTGAATATTAGTTAACATTTATTCGCAAACAATAATATGAACAGAGATTCAGGTAGTTGTTTCAATTTCACTCTTCCATATCCTATATCAGCAGCTGCACCACTAAAAACGTCGCGTGATTCATCCAGGTACGCAGGCGCGATGATGTATTTTTCTAATTGGCAGCCTTCTGTTGTCTTCTTCACTGGATCTGTAAATAATAATAATATTCAATAACATCTTCTGTGAATACCATAAACCATAAACACACACCCACTTTCAACGTGTAGTAGTCAGTATAGCGGAATACTTCATTATTTTTATTTCATTGAGAACTTATTCCATACATAAACTGATTCTTAGGTAGGTACCTATATAACACCTCTATGAACCTTGCACGAATTATATTATGTTTTAACTATATACAAAAATATAAACTTTGGTAGATGATGGAAATAGGATTAGGTAGAGCTCTGCATGAGATCGAATTATTTAGAAAGGTATCTAATGTTTTCAACTACAGATTTGATGTTCTTACTCAAGCATCTTCATGCGAATGAAAATAAAACGATAGCGTCGATAGCCATACTTGCCTTCAAATAAACATCTCGATGGAACTCGAGATCGAAGTTCACCAGTTGATAGATGATATCCGCAAAGATTTCACTTATTCACTGCTTTTACAGTCTAATAACCCAAAAAGTTCAGAATGTCCTTGGACCTGAATCACAGTTTAATCGGCACTCGGCAGTGGTCAACTGACGGACGCCATCTTCCTACGTTTTCGTTTCACAGTTTCACACGTAACACGCACAGTGTTGCCGGATGAAAATTTGTCGGAGCAGTAGATGGGTGGGGAAAAAACAGTAGATCATCAAAACTGAACAGAAGATTTTGATAATCATCACAATTGCTATCGTAAATGAAAAAACATAGTCACCTATATAATAAACGAAAAAAAAAATCATGTTCGGTCTCTATACCTATCAAAAATCGAACGAAGAATAACAAAAAATAATGAAATAAAAAATAAAATTTGTGAAAACCGCAACCAGATTGGAAATAAAAGCTAATAATTTTCACTAATCAGACTGAATATGATAGTTGCAGTATATTTTTATCATACATCTTCTTACTGTGATGTCCCATTAATTTTTCATTGTTGCATATTGGGTAGTTACGTCATATCAAACTTGACCAATCAGACCATTGCTTTGAATAGTTGAACAGTACAACGGAGACAAAAACAGTAGATCTACTGCTAAAATAGTAAGTCTGGCAACGCTGGGCACGCATGCGTTCTAGGGTTGCTTCACATATTCAGTGATTCAATCAAATCTTATTATAAAAGCGCGGCTTGTATGAATACTTCAGTGTGGGTTTAAGAATGGTCAAACTGTATAGGTATTATGTGATTGAAGGAATATGATTCAACATAACTATATAAGTTGGTACAAATCAGTTAAAATCATAAATATTTCAAATTCATAATATTAATAATAAAATGAAATTCAATATTATATTGATACAGCTGATATATAATATATTTTTTGACATTATTCATGTCCATATTCAATTCAATAATTCTAATTTCAAAATTTATATATACCTACCTACTTATATCAATTTAAACTGATATACCGTGAGAGTCTGTAAATTGGACGTTTTAAAGACGTCTTTTTCTGGACGTCCGGAGTATGTCCAATAATGGACGTCTTAAAAACGTCCATAAAAGGTCCTGGACGTTCAGACCAAAAATGGACCTAAAATGGACGTCTTCGGGACGTCCCGTGCTATCTGGGTGTTCCCTGAGGCATATAACCTCCATAAATTTAGGAAGAACACCAGTCCCTACCTTATTTCCCTTGGTTCTCACGATATTTTCTGAACATGATGTCATTATCAATTTTGATTATCAATTTGATTCAAATTATTACTTGGATCGTTGCTTAGCAACAAAATTTTTCTGCCTAGACAGAGAAAGTACACCTATTCTGCATTCTGCTTGTTAAGTGTCACAAAGAAGCCACTTTTAATGTAATTTGGATAAAATAGTTATTTGTTCAACTAGGCAGCATAGTTGTATGAATTGACTGCCGCGGCTGATAGTTCATAGCCGCGAGCTACTTTGCTGCCATGTGAGGAATATAATTTGCCCTTCAAATGTTATAAAACCAATTTTGTGTGCTTTTCTATTGAAAACTTCGCATAGCAACAAACTTTTTCTGCCTAGGTAGAAAAAGTACATCTTTGCTGCCTAGGCAGGTTTGAATAAAAATATGTTTCAAGACTACATTTTACAATGAACTAAGAAACCTCTGGATATAGCTATTAAAAAATCAATCTATACAAGTTGTGGAACACATTTTGAATATCGAAATATGAAGCTAACAAAAAAAACAAAATCGAGTTGCGCTCATGAGAAAACGACGGCATGTAAGATATAAAGGAGAAAATTGTTTTGCGCAACGAAAATTTCTGATGAAATAATAATTCATTTGTGTCGAGGAATTGGAACGTTCCAATTTAATTCACGTTCACGGTTGAAACATATATTTTGAATAATGGTGGCGGAACAATTGAAATTATGGTGAAGGAACATCATTCACCATTGACAGCAACAATGACAAAATGATGTATTAATTTTAACGAATTTGGAGAGAAATGGTTATTTATTATACAAGGGAAAAAAGTAGTAGAATTCAGCTCCAGGTTGTGTTGACTCACAATAGCCATCAACAGTGTATATATATGGTATATATATGTGATATATATCCGAGAAAAAAGTATTCACTTTTTCTCACGGACAAAAAGTAATATATGAAGAGTGACATTTTATAACGTGTCAACAGAGATGAAATGCCAAAATATTTTCCAGTCACAGGAAGAATTATATGTTTCACTCGGCAGAAAAAATTATTCAAGGCCTTGGTTGGTCTCCTAGGCATTAAATCTTGTGCTTTTCTGCGTAGTGAAACAATACCTACCTCCTATCCCTATCCTCCCTAGGAACGCACGATGTTCTTCCATGTTCGCTCCAAGCAATAAAAAAAATAACTATTTTCTCCGAATGACATATAAAGTGCCTACAAATATTTCATAGTCACCTTCATAAGGACTGCATATTTTATTATCATTTTTTGATAACGAAATATTATATAACATGTGGCCCTTTTGACAATAAATCATCTATTATACGATTTCAACATTTCAATAAGATTTGTTGTAAGTTATAGCTATCTTATTACTGAATATATACAGGGTGGCATTGCAATAAGTATAAATATTTCAAACTCAGAGAAAGCTCGACGTATACTATCGAATGACACGGATAAAAAAATAAAGGTAGCAAAATAGAATTTGGGGCAAGGCCCCTTTTTCTACACTGTAGCAATTCTGACGTCACCTCTGTTCAAATTTCTGTGCTTGATATTCTTCCCGTTTTTTGTCAATTTTCAGGATGAAGTTTCTCGTTAATTAAAGGAGTTAGAAAAAATCTGACATCATGGAAATGTTCGTTAGACTATATCATATTAAGGTGCTTGATAAATGTACTTCTTCCAAAAACACTTCGTGTTTATATATTTTAACGTTTCATGGTGTGTTCGATATGGATATCAGTAGAAATCTTGTTATATCTATACTTTGTAGATGAACGTATTATAAATACTTCAAAAATGATTATTGTACTTTCAGATGAGATTGCAATCTGAACTTGTTGATTAAAACTAATGATTACAAATCAACTATATAAGTATGTATAGGTGAGTATAGCTTATTCCGGCATCCTTTGCTCTGGTTGCCAATTGAAATCAAGATGTTGCTGAAAAATGTGATCTTCCTTTTTACTATCTACGTTTATGTGGTAAGTTTCTGTTGAAACGAAAGCTATCAATCATGAATTGGTTATTGATATTGATAAATTCTTCAAAGCTATACTTGGTGTTAAAAAATTAAACGACAAGTTGATTTGAATTTGATTTTTATGACATGTAAGTTTCTTTCTTGAATTTCAGAATGCAGAAGTGTTAGTTACTATACCAAATAAAGGCACTATCAGAGGAAGAAAGGAATATTCTCTGAGAAAAAACTCATTCTACGCATTCCAAGAAATCCCCTTCGCTAAACCGCCTGTAGGAGAATTGCGATTTCGGGTGAGTGAATGAAAGTTTTGATTATTCCAGATTTGAAAAATATGAGTATTATTTCAATATACGTGTAGTGAGGACAGATTATATGAATTGCCCCAAAATGTCACTGAGTTGAAGTTAAAACGTCTGTCAATCAGAGAGCCTAAAAGAAAATTTCATTGGATTATCAGAAACATTTTGTTTTGATCAAGGCTTGGAAGAAAAAACATATCAAATCTTGAATATCCGAAATTATTTTCATTCTCTACACGTCATTCGCTATATGACCTGAGTAAGTGGATCCACAAATTTGTTTTGATTTGGAAGTTGAGCTAATTTCCAGATTCATAATTTCGAGATATAAATAAATTGAGGTTCATATAAGCTCTTTTCACTTTACCGCACGATTTTTGCTTTTCAGCACGATACATTGATAATGATGAAAGTTAATTTTCCGCACGATCTTTGTATTGTTGAAAATTACGATATTTAGGACTACCTAAAAATGAACTATGTAACCATTCTGTCTCATGTGTTGTTGTGTAGCATTATAATCTTGTTTATTAATCTTGTTTGTTTAGGAAAAACATTGTACCATTGCGGAAAAGTACTACTTTTCGCTCTTGTGGAAAAGTACCTACTACTTTTCGCACTTGCTAGGTGAATAACTATTTCTTCTCTAATTGAGAACCAGAAGTAATAAAGGGGAAAAGTACGAAGGCGCTGAACGACATAGCAAGAAAAACTTTTTTTTTGAATATAATTGCAAGATATTTCTGGCATTTGAGCTTGTTGCAAGATTTATCTTGCAATTGAGGTTTGATTGACAGATTTATCTGGCATTTATATATGGTAATTGCAAAATGTATCATGCAATTAAGATTTGATTGACAGATTTATCGTGCATTCAAGCTAATTGACATATTTATTCGGTACTAAAGCTAATTGTAAGATTCATCTTGCAACTTCAACCTAAAAATCGCTGATGTGTTTATGTGTGTTTATGTAATATACAGGGTGATTTATTGGGAAATCCGCACACAGTATGGGTCGAGGTAAGGGTCAACAGAGGACACCAAGGTGCTGCTAGATAATCCATCTTATATGGGTCTATCATTCTTGATAACCAATATAAAAGGTGATTTATTAATTTTCCCCATGTTCTCAAATAATCCTAACTCATCAATCACCCTATACATTTTTGTGATATTTGGTTCGTAATTTTAAGTTTCATTCCAGGTCCGGCTTTCGAAAAATTATTTTGGTATGAAAAGGATTGAAAAGGAATATTCTCAGATATAATTATAAACACAAAAAATGGATATACCTATATGAAAAAATACATTGAGAATTCGCATTCTCCAAGTGATGAAAATATTAATTCTTTCTCGGTTTATACAACGGGAAACAACTACTTTCCTGGCTATATGTCACGACGAACATTGAATTATATCTGTGGAACACACACGATGAGAATTTGAAAAGAAAATCTTCTGAAGTAGAGAATTTTCATTCTCCTTCATGTAAAGATATGCACATATCATTCTGATTATTCTACAGAAAACAACTACTTTCCTAGCTATTTTCCACGTTGAACATTGAATTATATCTGTTGAAAACAAATGACAAAAATTTCGCGAATTTCGAAAATCTGAAATGATAAACTCGGTATAAATGAATAGGGAGTAATATAATCTATATACCTGCTCATCGGCATGTTATGATTATCAAATTTTTGATTGAATTGCCCTTACAATCAAGGTCACATCAACAGGAGTTATTGACATACCTTGTTTATTAATTTTGTTACAAGTGCTATAAATTCCAAGATAATCCTATCTCAAGTAGTAGGTGGTGTTTTCTCAGCATTAGATGAAAACTGTTATCTTGATCAAGATAGGTATACTATACATATCAAGAAATCATACAGGGGATATGAAAGATATAGATATTGATATATTTTTCGATAGACCCAGAGTCCGTATATGATTAGCACAGGAATCAAAAATGCTGATTATCAATTATTGAGCTCAGAGAATCGAATATCAATCCGAGTTTGATTTTATAATTTTGAAAAGGACCAGAATTGATATTTTTTTGGAACAATTTTAGATATTTGTGTACAAAATTCGAAATATTTTCAATATCAATCGAAAGTGAGTTGAAAAAATTCATCTAGATTGAAAATGTTCATCAGGTTTGAGAATGCTATTACACAAATATTTTTGATGGCCCTTATGGAAAGCGATTCTCACATAGCAAAACACATACAGGGTTTTCCAGGATGGGCGTTAAATAGACTTTCTTGGCAAACCAAGCAGAAGATGAATCTGGAAATTTGTTGGTATGCATAAATTGACATGATCTACACGTCAGAAATATTTAGTAGCAACTTTGATTTTTCAAAAGGAACACCCTGTATTTAATTTCATATCTTGATTCTCCTTGGAGAGCTGATTTTATCAATACATCACACTTGGGGTCTAACGGGACTGATTACGGAGATATATATAGATAGATAGATAATTTCATTCAACCACTTTACATACAATTAGGTACGTTTATAGCAGGTCATATCGGGCAAGTTATTTGTCAACAATTGATGAAACTTTAGATAGTTGAATGAATAGGTACATACCTACCTATAGTTATATGGTACACTACAGTTATGGTATATTATATATATATCGTATCTCTGATCCATCATTCCACTAAAAAAATCTGAAAATTCTCCATAATCTGTTCTCACAAAATACATACCCTTCATCTTTATATACTCAACAGGATTATACCGGGTGTGACAGGAGCATGGTACACCTCCTTTTCCTCCATTAGTTTTAGAGATAAGTGATTGAAATTAGGAATGACCAATCAACTTGTTCAACGTCGTGTTTTTACATAAATATGTTTTATATTCCACTTCTGGGTTCACTGGAAGTGATAATGACTTTTGATTTTTGAATGGAACAGCCTGTATATCATTGCATTTTCGAATTCTTTATCCTTTTCTGAATCCAGTGATACCACATAATTATGTGACATTTCAAACTTCTATATTGATTTTATTTTCATTTTTGTTTTTCCATCTGAGTGTGCCATGACTATATTTTGATCAAGTCTGACGTACTTATATCGATAGGTGTAAGCCTAAAGAAAATTTTAGCCTGTCTAAAATGTCAAATTTCTTGATTTATCACCAAATTAACTTCATCAAAATGATTTGGTGTACCATGATCCTGTTACACCAGGTATATAGCACACCGTCTACTAACCAGTTGACTAATCAAATAGTTCCTGAAAATATCAATAACATGAGCAATGATATCTCGCAAGATAATCTTTTTTCTATCTTTTTAAACCATTTATTCCAGAAATCACCCCAAAATTATCTAGAATCTTCAACAAATTGAGAAATTTGAAAATCTCACAAAAAACAGTCTCAACCATAAACTCTTTATTTTCTGTGGTCAAAGACAAAGTCCCAATACCACATAAATCGAATTTAATATGTTGTATTCCTTGTTCAAACTGCAACCATAAATACATAGGCCAGACTTCTAGAAGTGACAGCATCAGACTGCACCCTGAAAGATGTGCTCTTAGTGAACATGTTTTCAAAGAAAGTCACAACATGGACTATAATTCCACCAGAATTTTAGCAACATATTTCGAAACGAATATTCTTGGAAATCATTGATATTCCAATCAAACAATAGCTTAAACCAAAAAAAAAACAGATCTTGTTCATTTAAGTGAGCTTTATTCTCAGTTACTTATGTAAGACAAGAACCCGAACGACATTTCACCTTCGTAGTTTCATTCAGAATGTTGTTCCTTTTTCAAAATTCATAACAATCAATAATAACTATATTTCAATATAATACAAAATATCTCATCTTTAGAAGTAACTGTAACTGTGCCAAATTGTATCAGCAGCCTCGAGGTACCCCAATCAGCACAAGTACGTCTTATGGACGTTTTAAAAACGTCCACTCTGGACATTCAGGACGTTTTGGGGACGTCCATTTCCGGACGACGGACGTCTTATGGACGTTTTGAGGACGTCCATTGTTAATAATCAGGATGTTTTGGGGACGTCCAGTTTAGGTCCAGACTAGGACCTTTTTGGGATGAAAAATGGACGTATTGAGGACATTCAGACAATATTGATTATTGATTTTCTGACCCATCTGAAGAGTGAAATACTTGAATATTAGTTAACATTTATTCGCAAACAATAATATGAACAGAGATTCAGGTATTTGTTTCAATTTCACTCTTCCATATCGTATATCAGCAGCTGCACCACTAAAAACGTCGCGTGATTCATCCAGGTACGCAGGCGCGATGATGTCTTTTTCTGATTGGCAGCCTTCTGTTGTCTTCTTCACTGGATCTGTAAATAATAATAATATTCAATAACATCTTCTGTGAATACCATAAACCATAAACACACACCCACTTTCAACGTGTAGTAGTCAGTATAGCGGAATACTTCATTATTTTTATTTCATTGAGAACTTATTCCATACATAAACTGATTCTTATGTAGGTACCTATATAACCTCTATGAACCTTGCACGAATTATATTATGTTTTAACTATATACAAAAACATAAACTTTGGTAGATGATGGAAATAGGATTAGGTAGAGCTTTGCATGAGATCAAATTATTTAGAAAGGTATCTAATGTTTTCAACTACAGATTTGATGTTCTTACTCAAGCATCTTCATGCGAATGAAAATAAAACGATAGCGTCGATAGCCATACTTGCCTTCAAATAAACATCTCGATGGAACTCGAGATCGAAGTTCACCAGTTGATAGATGATATCCGCAAAGATTTCACTTATTCACTGCTTTTACAGTCTAATAACCCGAAAAGTTCAGAATGTCCTTGGACCTGAATCACAGTTTAATCGGCACTCGGCAGTGGTCAAGGTGGTCAACTGACGGACGCCATCTTCCTACGTTTTCGTTTCACAGTTTCACACGTAACACTACGCACAGTGTTGCCGGATGAACATTTGTCGGAGCAGTAGATGGGTGGGGAAAAAACAGTAGATCATCAAAACTGAATAGAAGATTTTGATAATCATCACAATTGCTATCATAAATGAAAAAACATAGTCACCTATATATAATAAACGAAAAAAAAAATCATGTTCGGTCTCTATACCTATCAAAAATCGAACGAAGAATAACAAAAAATAATGAAATAAAAAATAAAATTTGTGAAAACCGCAACCAGATTGGAAATAAAAGCTAATTTTCACTAATCAGACTGAATATGATAGTTGCAGTATATTTTTATCATACATCTTCTTACTGTGATGTCCCATTAATTTTTCATTGTTGCATATTGGGTAGTTACGTCATATCAAAACTTGACCAATCAGACCATTGCCTTGAATAGTTGAACAGTAGAACGGAGACAAAAACAGTAGATCTACTGCTAAAATAGTAAGTCTGGCAACGCTGAGCACGGATGCGTTCTACGGTTGCTTTACATAAGGCGTTTTCGGAAACTTACTCTGGGTTGTTGACTCGATCTAAACGGGTCACGTGATGGATCAGTCGGATCACTTATCCTAATACTATAGTTTACGAACTTATCAGGTTACTATTTTATTGAGTTAGCTTTATACCTCTTCGAATAGAACTTCTTGATTTCTTACAGCTGTATGCAATTTTTTCAGTTTGCTATACGATATCAATATTTTCGGATCAATTTCTCCATATCTTTAAAAACATACCACTAAACTCTTAAAAGATACACGTTGTTATTGTTCTAGAAATGATGAATATTGCTTCTGCTCATGATGTTGGTGTATTTTCATCATCAAACTAATGCTATTCAACATAATTCACTTCTTGTTCAATTGATGAAATCAAATAATATCTGAAGTGACCTTAGAAATAAATGAATCGTGAGTAGTTCTGTGGTAGTAAGTGTATGATCTAAGGAAGTAACTCTGGCTGTCCCTGCTTTGGAGCAGGGTTGTGAAACATGAACCCGAGTTAGTGATCGAGTAAGTAACACCGAAGTTTCCGAACATGGGTATGTTACTCGGGTTAGGTAAACGAACGTGCAGGTTAGGGATCGAGTCAACCCGAGTAGGTTTCCGAAAACGCCTATATTCAGTGATTCAATCAAATCTTATTATAAAAGCGCGGCTTGTATGAATACTTCAGTGTGGGTTTAAGAATGGTGAAACTGTATAGGTATTATGTGATTGAAGGAATATGATTCAACATAACCATATAAGTTGGTACAAATCAGTTAAAATCATAAATATTTCAAATTCATAATATTAATAATAAAATGAAATTCAATAAATTGATACAGCTGATATATAATATATTTTTTGACATTATTCATGTCCATATTCAATTCAATAATTCTAATTTCAAAATTTATATATACCTACCTACTTATATCAATTTAAACTGATATACCGTGGGAGTCTGTAAATTGGACGTTTTAAAGACGTCTTTTTCTGGACGTCCGGAGTATGTCCAATAATGGACGTCTTAAAAACGTCCATGAAAGGTCCTGGACGTTCAGACCAAAAATGGACCTAAAATGGACGTCTTCGGGACGTCCCGTGCTATCTGGGACGTGACCTATATGTCCAATTAACAGTAACAATCGACAAATGACTGAATCATTGTCAATTGACAATTTAACCTCAATAAAAGTTTTTCCACAATGTTTCACTAAATTCTAGCATGCTTAGTGTTTCGGCATACTAATATAGTGAGAAGAAATTTCATCTTGCTGTTACAATATTGATTGGATCTCAAATTGATTCATTGTTTAAATGTTTTGGATCACACGTTAAAAGGTAAGGCCCCGTCATTCCTTGCTCGCACAAGACTCTCGAAGACTTCTGAGGGTTGATCGTAAGGGGGCAACCGAATGACGAATAGAACAATTTTAGAACAACAACAATTTTTTTTTCTCACAATTTTTCAATGTGTCTTGTGTATCAACTCAATTTACTATTTTTCAACGACCATTCTCACTGACATTGTGAGTATTTTAGCTAATAATTTTATCAATCAATTGATAAAAAAAAGTTTTTTAAAAATTTTGTAGCTCCCTGATGATGACAATATTCATTGTCGAAATATTGGAAATATAATGTTATAAAAGTACACCTTCGTTTTGCTGCAGTCCCAAATAATTCAAGAGCTTTGTAACCAACTAGTCAGCAAAAGACTAGAGAGTTCGAGGTGTACCGCGTCTACAATCTGTAGATGTTCGACGTTTCGGCACCGATTTTTGAGCAATTTTCAAGAACTGAAACGATTGCCTCAATACTCGCGACGACTGCCGCAGACTTTCTAGCACTTGAAAACCTCTCATTTCCCGCCTTTCCAGACCCTCCGCCATAACAAACCACGCTCCTAGTTCCGCTTCACTGACCACCACATCCACTATAAATACCGCTCCACCACCCACACACCCTCAGTTCTCTCGAAGGAGTTGGCAGATTAAGACCTTAGAGAGAACCAGTGACGAGATCTGGATAGTGAGACCCTGGCGTCAAGTCACATACCTTGCGTGATATTAACTGGGGAGTAGGCAGATTGACCCCTCAGGAAATTATCGCTCCCTATATTTTCCTATCTTCTTTTTGTTTCTATTTTCAGTTATTGAAAATGGCTCCAAAATGGGCGCCGATGAATCGTCTCATTGGTCTTTTTCCGTGCGTTTTTTCAAAATACTAGTGTACAGTTTCACATTATATTACATAACAATAAAAAGATGCCCATTTCTTTGGTACCAATCAACCAATCATTCTAACTTTCCAGGAGCCACAACTAGATGAAGGATGGGAGGGTATCTTAGACGCAACGAAGAACACGAAAATATGTTATCAACAGAGTAACATGTTGAATGTAAACCAGACCCTTCTGGAAAATGAGGATTGTTTGTATCTAAATGTTTACACACCGAAGGTAGGTCTGAGATTATGTATATGTATATACACCAGGTGATTCACCAAGTTTTAATATTCGCACCTTACATCGAAGAATAGGTATATTTACCTGATGATACGCACCAACTAAAATATTATAGTCATTTTTATTGATGAATTTATACAGTGAAGTATCTGTATCGTTGGAACATCGGTCAACCAGTACCTAATATACCGTTTCAATGTTCTTTGGTAAATAGATAATAATTCTATCCCCAATGCCAAAAAAATTATGTAATTTCGATTCATGCATTAATCTGTACAAAATATAATATTATTCCACAAGAGAACATACACAATGAGAGAGAAGATATGTACTATAGGTACAGCAATGAATAAGTAGATGTAAAAAACTACACAAACGATAAGATTTACACAAAAACCTTAATCACACGACATGATGTTTCGCTAACACGGTAGCTGCTTCTGGTGAAATACTGAAACAATACACTAAACTCACATTGGCTTGCCTTACTTTCATATCCTACTTTCCCAACCTGAAGGATTAGAATCACCTGTGGAAAAGTTCGAAAAACCATCATTTTCGGAAAAAAGGCACAATATCTATATCAAAGGGCTGATAGCAAATATATATTATCACCAACTAAGGAAACAAATTCAACAGTGGTGAATTATAGAGGTCTAGTCACCGAAGTCTAGTTGATCGTTGAGTGAAATGTCAGAATTTTTATCTTCGTTGATTTCTGATGATTCAAAATGATTGAGTTCAATTCCTTTATCTTCTACGTGTATGTTGCATTTGTTTTCCTTTCAAAAAATGCATCCTATGTTCATGAATGCGGCGATTAAACGTTTGTCCTGTTTGACCAATATGTCAAGTCAAGTTTGTATACCCCTGATTTTTCGAATTTAACAGTCTTGCCTTTATTATTTTGGATAAACCTTCCCAGCCGTGTTATTTGTTCTATGGGCATATGTCCTGTTTATATATAAATAAAGCTTGCCTATGTATTTCCATCCAAGTAACGGCCACGAGTCAAAGAAAAGAACAAGAATTTTTTTCTTACCGACAAATAATAGCATCAGAAGTTTCTCATCGATTTATTCAATTCAGAAACCAGGTGTCATCAATAAAGTAACATGAAATGAGTAAATGTACTTGATAATAATTGAGAAATATCATTTGATCATTTACTTCATAAGTTGAATGAGGTTGTCCCCTTTTTTGACAGTTATAGGAAAATATTGTAACACGTGCGTAAAGTGCCACTTCACGCACTCGTTGTATACATAAATAACTATTTTCTAATTCATAGTCTGTAGGTACTTCTTTATTTTAGTATCCAACAGCCAACCAGGAATTATTACCCGTTATGTTCCATATCTATGGAGGAGGATTCGTCAGCGGAGCTGCCAATTTTGAATTCAAAGGGCCCCATTACTTCATGGAACACGATGTGATAGTCGTCACAGCGAATTATCGTTTAGGACCTTTCGGTAATGTAACTATATTATAGATAGATAGATAGATAGATAAATAGATTTATTTGTTTCAAAAACATACAGTTTAAGAAAAAAACGTCAAAATTAGGCTGAAGTACATAAATAAATAAATATCGTAGGTATAAAATAAACATAATAATATACAAGATTCCACAGGTACATGAACATAAAAAGTATATAAACGTCTACTCGAAAACATTATTCATCAGTCAGCGATGATTGGATCACAGAAGAATTCATCCAAGGTGTAATAAGATTTTTTCAGGAGCAAGTTTTTCATTTTATTCTTGAATTGGAGTTTATTTTCTGATTCTTGTATAGATTTTGGCAGGCAATCGTATAATTTACATCCATTGTAATATAAACTTTTCTGATACCGAGCAGATGAGTGTTGAGGAGGCAACAGATAATCTTTGTTCCTTGTATTGTAATTATGTTCGACTTTTTCAGTCTCAAAATAACGTTTATGATCATATACAAAACAGGATACTTCATAAATGTAAAGGGAAATCATTGTGAAGATACCCAGTTTTTTTAAATATTCCCTGCATGAATCTCTTGCTCTCAGATTTCCCAAGATACGGACTGCCCTTTTTTGTAAGGTGAAGGCCCTATGAGCTTCTGCGTTATTCGCCATTTTGAATTTGAATGGAAGCATCCGAAATAGAATGTTTAATTATTTCTCAACTACATTGTTGTGATGAAATGAAAAGGGCATAGCATATCCTAGCTAGCTCCGAACACAAACTATCTACATGTCCATACCACTCCAGGTTACTTTCTAAAATAACACCAAGCAATTTAGTATTCAGAGCGCAGTTGATTTCTGTATTATTTAGAGTTATGCGGTTAGGATATTCTGAACCAGAATATTTGAAAATAACACAGGTCGATTTATCATTATTCAGACAAAGCTTGTTCACATCAACTCACTCGCAAACATTCATGTAAACTAGTTCGGCCTGTTTTTTAGCATTATAAACAGTGTCTGAAATGAACAGAAAGTTTGTATCGTCAGCATAAGCTACTACTTGAGTAGAGTGTGATCTCATATGGATCTCATTGATTCAATTAAATCTTTGATATATATAATAAAGAGTGTTGGACCAAAAATGGACCAAGAATACAGGGTGGGTCACGGTTGATGGTACCAGACGTTAATTTTGTACATTTGATTTGGAGTAACTTTCGGTGGGTGTGTTTTTCAGACCATCGAAGAAAGTCCGCACTGATAGATGCGCTTTTTTGTCGTAACGTCACCAATTTTCTGATGTAATTCAGGATGGAATCGACGCTGCAATGGAACATACAATAACACATTGATGAAAAAACAGATTTTGTTTGGTGTCAGTCTATCATTTATTTTCAGAATCAGAAGATTTTTTTGATTAACACTAACTCCATTTTCAAAAACCTCTCGATAATCTCGGAAATCCTTAATTTTTTTTTGTTTTTCCATATCAAATTGAAGAAATTTACTAAAAATGTGTGAAAATGTATCAATTGTAATGCCAATCTCTTCCAAACCGCTGGATTCCCTCGAAACAGATATTGAAAGTGCGCATTTTATAACAACAGTTTTATGGATTTCCATCAACATTCCATTGGGAATTTTGCAACAGTTTGATGGTTCCTTCGATTCATGTGCATCCCAAAAACTATCAGTCAGCTGCTTATGATCTATAAGGCACAGATATCCGACCTGTTCTGGAATACTGTTCCCATATTTGGAGTGCAGCACCCAAACGTACCATGAAACTGTTGGAATCTGTCCAAAAAAGGGCAATTCGTCTCGTTGGTGATGCTTCGGTTACAAACTCTGGAACACCGTAGAAAAGCTGGCGATCTGGCTCTTTATTATAGATATTTTCATGGACGATGCTCTTCTCAAAAATCAACAATTGTTCCTCCCTTGGCAGTCCCCGCGAGATTAACCCGTCGAGTTGAGGCTTCGCACCCCTTCGTGGTCACTCTGGAGACCTGCAGAACATCTCTATCCAAAGACTCGTTCATCCAACGAACAGCGAGGCTCTGGAACACATTGCCAAGGAAGGTGTTCTCCGATGCATATAACCTCCAGAAATTTGAAAAGAACACCAATTCCTACCTTATTTCCCTCGTTTCTCACGATGTTCTCTGAACATTTCACAGGATATCCCTTTTCGTGGGAACCAGGACATAATAGGAAAAAAAAATGTTGCGTTTTTGATAATAACTAAAAAACGATGGCTTTCACGACAAAACATGTCTCACACAAAGTTGAGGAAGATGAAATTTCCTACATTTTTCGTTGTCAAAAATTTTTCGAAGCGCACATATATTAGGAGTTGCAGCTCCGTGAAATTCCACTATTTGAAAAAAATGCAGAAACTTCATTTTGGTTGAGGTTGATTTTATTAATCTCATTATAGATCATTGAATTTTCACAAAATTATGAAAATAAAAGAACTAGAAGGCACATTAATATTATTAATTGACAGTATTATACTTTCGTGAACAAAGTTAAAGGCGAAAAGTAAGTATATCACATTTCTTGTTCAATCCGGGAATAGTTAATTATGATTTTAGAGCGTTTCAACAATTGATTACTATTATTGATTACAAAATTTTTATACGTTTTGATTGTCCGGGTTGGTTATCGTCGGTGTCTTGGTCGTAGTTGTTTGTGTCCAAATCGTATAGTTTTGGTCCGGTTCATTTTATGTGAAGTCAATTCAGGGAACGTTTCAGGATATGGATTCATTGAAACTCTAGTTTTCCTCAATTACAGTATTGTCTAAGAGATATCAGGAATGTTAATTAACTTTTTTCACATACTAATTGATGAAAATCATAAAGGGGTTTCAATAGATTCAAAGAAAGTCGGTGCCCATTACAAGATATATATACATGACCCAAAACTCATTCATTAAAAATCTAGTTTTCACAATTTCAGTATTTCCTAAGAGATATTAGGAATGTAATTTCAATTTTTCACATATTTATTGATGAAAATCACATAGGAGTGTCAATAGATTAAAAAAGTCGGTGCCAATTACAAGATATACAGGGTGGTCCGTTTTTAATACGGAAAATTTAACAGCGCATAGTACTCGTTGAAATAATAAAAAAACTTCTTATGAACATATACTTTCAAACGCTTCGTTTTCGAAATATTGGGTGTCAAAAATACGCTTCTGAATATATTTTTTTAATCAAAAGTTAGAAACGGTAGATAAATTAACGAAATTTTTCACAGATACTAAACTTTTTGAGCTTTATAACAATTTATTAACAATACAGAAATAATGGCCCACTGAACAATCACATTCTCAGATTCTTTGATAGGCCAATCAAATAATTATATTTTGAGGAATTAATTTCCAGCAAGCTGGAAATCATTTAATTACCTTCATTCGGTCCCAAATGCGTGTAATCTAAGTTTGCACCATTCCAGGAGTTGAGCTTAACTTTTGATAGCCAAAAAACCGCCAAATTTTTGCACTTTTTTTATTTTTTTGCTTATAGCTGCAAAATGGTTCATCGGTCGAAAAATATCATTCTATTCAATAATATAGAAGGCAAAATTCTGCGTCGAATGACATCTGAAAACATCAAATTCCGTTTAGAAGTATAGCCGAAATCGAATGTTAAAAAAGAAGAAAATTTCGTAGTTCGGTGCAAGCTTACATTTTGCGGCTTTCCAAGACGACATATCGTGAAAACAGATACTCCTATTGAAAAAACCCATGAAATAAAAGTTGTAGAGAATAAAATTTTACGCTATATAGATAGATGTCCAAATGTTTAAGTTTTCTTGATTTGTCCAATTATCCGGATATCTGAATGCCCGGTTCAGCTTCGGTCCCAAATTTGGCATCAATTTATAATTATTTTTCATCTAGTGCGCGAAATGCTACTTTGGTGATCGAGAGCTGATTTTTTTAACGAGGCGCAGCCAAGTTAAAAAATAGTCGAAATCACCAAAGTATTTCGCGCACGAGTTGCAAACAATTTTTTTTTACAAACGCCAAACAAAATTCATTGTAAATAATAAATAAAATTAGGTAGTGTAAAATTTTGTCACAATTCGAAAAGAGTTTAAAAGCCTTAATTATTGTTACCTAAACATTCAGAAACAAATGATTCCATGGATTTTTTGCATTGAGTACCATAAACCATAAAGGTTGAAATATAAAAATCCCACATAGTTTACATGCAGTGTGCAAAATACCTATTTCGCAATAGGTGCCTATTTCGCACAATGCTTTGCTACTTCGCGCACGGTGTCATGGTAACGTAGGACAATGAAAGCCGCAAAATGTAAGTTTGCACCGAACTACGAAATTTTCTTTTTTTTAACATTCGATTTCGGCTATACCTCTGAACGGAATTTGATGTTTTCAGATGTCATTCGACGCAGAATTTTGTCCTATGTATTATTGAATAATGGAATAACATTTTCCGTTCGACGCACCGTTTTGCAGCTATAAGCAAAAAAATAAAAAAAGTGCAAAAATGTGTCGGTTTTTTGGCTATCAAAAGTTAAGCTCACCACCTGACATGGTGCAAACTCAGATTACACGCATTTAGGACCAAATAGAGGTATTAAAACGATTTCCGGTTTGCTGGAAATTAATTCCTCAAAACGGTTTTTTTCGATTTAATTTTATTAGCCTTGGTTCCCTTTTTTCGTTTAATACTAGTTATCAGTTTATACTATTGCACGCATAAATAAAAGTGATAGTTCCGAATTTTTTTCAGTATTCAAAATCGAAAATTTTACGAACACTACATTTAGATCACAGGAAGCCTTTTCATTTGATGCCGGTACACCATTTACATCCGGAAGATCCTGAGAAGAGAGTGTCGGAATTTATCTCAAATAAAGTTGACAACAATAACGACATGAATAACATGAAGTCTTATGGACTTGAACACCCTATATCTCGAAAACGAAGCTTTTAAAAGTATATGATCATAGGAAGTTTATTCATTATTTCAACGAGTACTATACGCTGTTAAATTTTCCGTATTAAAAAACGGACCACCCTGTATACATATCTCAAAACTCAAATTTAGTTATCGTATCTTCAGGGGTGCCTAAGATATCTTCATATTTTCATTCTAGACGCGCGAACTTCATAGCGAGTTTCAAAATTCACCTGTCTGAGAATCTTATTTCGCTAGCGTATGGTAGGAAACATCGAAATGACTATGAAATCATAATCATTTTTATATTTTGGTTTTTCAGGCTTCCTTGCAACTGGTGACACGGTAATTCCAGGCAACTACGGTTTGAAAGATCAAGTATTGGCCTTGAAATGGGTCCAAGATAACATCAAATATTTCGGGGGGGATCCACAAAAAGTGACCATGTTTGGTGAAAGCGCTGGAGGAGCATCTGTCAATTTCCATTACATGAGCAAAAAATCCGAAGGTAATGTTCAACGATTAGAAAATTTCGCTCCTACGGTGTTTTTTCGATAATTCATTTATATTAATTCATGTCTATCCATATCTTCATATCAGGACTATTTTTACCATGTTTTCATTAGGGCTCTACTGATCAAATCAAATCAAATTCTTTATTGTCAGAAGCAATGAGATTCTCATCGACAAAGTCATCATACTTAGTAATAACTCGGAATAATTATTGTAAATCATTAAGGTGTAATATACAAATAACAATTTCGAGATATTCACAACATAAGAAACGCATACATCAATATACAAAATATATAAAATAGATAGAAAAGTGAACATGAAAAAATAAAGGCATAAAAATGATAGATACAATTAAAAAATGATATTTTTCCAAATTAAATTCATCTAACGAGTACTAATCAGTCAGTATTTCGATCTCCTCTGGCAAATGATTGAATGATTTTTTCCCATTATAAAAGGAGGAGTTTTTGATAAGAGTAGTAGATGGTATTGGTACCGATATATCCATAGCCTGTCTCGTATTTTAACGATTCGTTTTTTTAGAATTTTCATTCATGTATCTACTGTGGATAAGACGCACTGTTTCCAAAATGAAGATACATGGCAGTGTCAATATTTTATTTTCAATAAACAAAGGCTTACAAGAATCTCTAAGATCAATTTTACATAAATACCTTACTGCTACACAAATATCATTTCGAACAAAAATTGGCTGCAAGACCCCCGTTTTTGCCATATCTTTACCAAGTTCTCGAGATGTTGTTCTAACTGCAAAACACCCAGAAGCTAACTTTTTCCTCAATTTGTCGATATGTTCTTCAAACCTCAATTTATCGTCAATGTGTGAATACAGAAATTTCGTTACAAACTTATTTCTTATTACTTGATTACCAAGGAACAATTCTTCTTGCAAGTTGCAATGAAAAGTGAGGATATTTGTTTTCGAAATATTCAATGAAAGTATATTGGAATCACACCACTCTTTGACTCTTGTAATATCATCAACAGTAGTTTGTTGCAATTTTGATATATCTTGATTGTGCCACAGGATCGTCGTGTCATCTGCAAACTGTGAGAATTTTTCTCGAATATCAATAGTTGCTGCTCATTTAAATAGAGCGGAAAAAGAACTGGGCCCAGCGCTGACCCTTGAGGTACTCCGCACTTAACCTTTAATTTATCCGATACAATATAATTGATAGATACACTTTGAGTTCGTCCAGACAAATACGACTCAAACCATTGTATATATCTCTGAACCCATATATTTTTCTATTTTTTCAGCAGAATGAGGATGACAACTTAGTTGTCATAATAATCATTCAGGTTTTTTGATTATTGTTGTGCCAAAAATCACTTTGAGACATTAGTAAAGGTGAATGAAATCTGGCACCGCGTCCACATTTTTATATGAAACCAGTTTCACCAAAAACCCTGGTCCGTGCGGAGAGTGAATTGACAAAACTGTCATTTGCTATTGTCATTGTTGTCAAAAAACTGCACCTCGGCAACAAACTGTCTATTGTCTCGCCTGATATTAAATTTTATATTGGTCTTTTTCAGGTTTATTCAGAGCTGGTATCGCAGAAAGTGGATCGACATTGAGTCCATGGGCCTATCAAAAAGACTACAAGAAAATAGCCTATGACCTTGCTACCTATGTCGATAGTAACTTCCCAAGAACTTCAAGTTCGGAAGAACTGCTTAAATTTTTGCAAAGTGTTCCCGCTGGTGACCTCAACAAGGTTGCAGCTAATAGTTACCCGGTGAGTTCACTTTACCCTACAGGGTGAGCCAAAGTGATAAAACATGAGAGGGTACTTTGAAAATGTTTACAAAATTGCTTTTTTGAATAATCGTGCATCTAGATCTCGTGTCATGTACACGTACAGGGTGGGTCAAATTGGACACTTTCAAAGGTAAAGTCCTATTCCTGTACCAAATAGATAAAGAAAAACTGATGTCGGTGCCTGTTGATCAATTCACATGATGAACTCATTAGTGACAACCGTAAATCGATATATATCTTCATTTCAGAGTTACAAGGTGTTTTTCGAAAATGTGAATTTTTCAGTAGTCGAAGTTTTGCGTTGCGTTTTGTTGCGTTGCAGGCATCTTCATCATTCTTTTGGAGTGATCAAATATCTGTCAGTCTAATTTTGTGATTTGATGTTCAAAAATTGCGAATTTAGTGATTGTTTAGTAATTTACGTAATCGCAAAGTCAAATGGAAGATAAAAAACCTGCAGTACTTTCTCGGAGATGGTGTTATTGGCTTATTCTTCGGAGCAATAGCACAACAAAAGCCATCAACAGTGTATATATACAGTGTGACCCACTTCTAATGGAAACACCCCTGTATCTTACGTAATCGTTGGGAGAGGATCCTGAAATTTGCTGGAGCGAGAGATATACCAAAAATGCACTCTATGAACAAGTGGGGTTTTCTTCAGTGATACACTGCTTCCCAACAGCCATGGAACCACCCCAATTTCCAGAAAATGATATTAGGAGTCGAAATTGGTTGAAAATCACTTCATAGTTTTCCTAGGAAATTTTCAGTTCAGAAAAATTTAATTTTGTCTCATTTCTCATGGAAGCACCCCCGTATCTCACGTAATTATTGAGGTAGTGTTCTGAAATTTGCAGGAGAAAGGGAAGGTCCAAAGATGAAGTCAATTACGTGAGATACGGGGGTGCTTCCTTGAGAAGTGCGACAAAATTCCATTTTTCAGAACTGAAAATTTTCTAGAAGAAATATGAATAATTAGTAAATGGGGGAGACCACTGATTTTTTTAAACAACATTATCGTGAACTCTTTACTGAAAAACTACCAGTGAATTAATTTTGAATTTTTTCAATCATGTTAAGACGATGAAAAAATAAATTAGAATTTGTCCATTTCAAAACACATACTTCCTGCGCCATTTGAAATATTGTCAATTCATTGGTGAGACTGGTGCAACGTCTTAGTCCCAACACGCCTATTGTCCTTGAACTCACCAATCACACTGCAACACTGCAGAATGACGAGGTATCAGAGAGAGATAGCTACAGTGCGGGACTAATACGTCACGGCTCCACCATCATATTTGGCTTTTCGAAATAACGAATGAAATATGGTGATTTCAGAACGATATAGATTCGATTCCCTTCAACTCCAACTCATAATATTGATTGTAGATCAAACGTAGATCATGATTCGTCGATTGAAAGAGGTTTGCACGGATTTCGACTCTTAATATCATTTTCCAGAAATTGGGGTGGTTCCATGACTATTGGCGAGCAGTGTATATCACTGAAGATGACCCCACTTGGTCATAGAGTGCATTTTTGGTATATCTCTCGATCCAACAAATTTCAGGATCCTTACCCAACGATTACGTAAGATACAGGGGTGTTTCCATTAGAAGTGGGTCACACTGTATGTGATATACAGGGTGTTATTTAAGTACGTGGCCAAACTTGAAGGGGTGATTCTTTGGGTGATTCTAAGACGAAAAGTTCATATAAACATAGGTCCGGTAATGCTCCGTTTCCAAGATACAGGGTGTCAAAATTTTTAAAAGAAATCGGTTTTTTCGTAAATATCTTAATAACCCTTCAACCGAATTTATTGAAATTTGGCAGTGTTATTCAAGGTCGTAAAGGGCTAATTCAACCCTAACTATATCAAAAATATTAGTAAGAGCCCAGTTTTTGATGGTTTGGTAGTTGAAATGTTTTATTGTGTTGTCACAGGGATGTGCAATGAAGTGATTTTTATGTTTTTTCTCAAGAACAGAGCAAGATACGAAAAAAATTCTAGAAATGGAAAAGTTGTAATTTGAGTTGCTCATTGTGAAACAAATACAAAAATTGCAGAAAAATCAGTGGCGCACATTTTTTCTGTCAAAAATATTGATTACAGTGCCTTCCGGGACGCCACTGGACATGATAATTTTGATATAAACTACTCAACACTAATTTCGTCGCACACCAAAATGTCTCCTCTGTTATAACGTGAATAACTTTTTTCAGTTCAGAACAATTTGAATTTGGTTCACACTGTTCGATAGCCCAGTCCTTCAGCTATAATCTCGTACTTCATTGAAACATAAGGGTATTCACATAAATTCTCTCCATGGTGTTTTCCGACACTGTACGAAATTTCGGAATATTCAAAAGGCTCTCAAATGGTTAAAAAAAATTTTTCCTCAACCTCAACGATAGAGGCATGAAGATGATCACATTACCTCGAGATATTTCGCGAATCAACTTCCTATCTTCCTTATTTACAGAGTGATCTCAAAAAATCAATTTTTTGGTTTTGCAGCCATAACTTTTTTCCACATCAACCGATTTTGGGAATCTTAGGCTCATTTTGAAGATAACACTTCAGATGAAGAGATCTGAATATCAGAATTGACTCAATATGGCTATCAAAGATCTAGAGTTTTCTTGAAAGTGACTCAAATCTGGAACGCCCTTCGAATCTCGGTTGGGAGGAGAATTGAATGAAAATCAACTTGTTCTCGGAAAAACAGTTCATTCTGGATGCGTCCATATTTTCCTCGCTCTCAGTAGTCAAGAATTTTGCGTGAGATAACACAATTGAAACATGTCTTGCAAAAACATTAGATCATTTCTCCTCTGTAATGCATGGCTCGCCGTAACCAACGTTACAAGAATCACAATGAGTGACTGACGAACCCGACCAGCTGAGACTCATCATAAATCGGATTTTGATTTTTTTAATAAATTGATTTTTTTCAGCAGTTCTCACGTACATAACATGCGATTTAAGAATATGGAAAAGTATTCAAGCGAACAACGTTTATTTATTGTAAAAATGCATTTCAAAAATAGTGGAAGTTTCACGAAAACAGTTTGCTAATTACGTAAAGTTTTCAGTCGCAATAATGCGCCGAACGAATCGACAGTAATAACCAAACAATTCGTGTCGGAGATAAGCCCTTTGAATGGATCGGACTGTCGTGTTTAGCAGATCCGCGATTTGGAGGGAAGATAACCCTTGTTTCCTCATTTGTGGAATCAGTTCCAACTGGTCGGGCGTTAGATGCGGCATCAAAACTATCAAAATCTGTTTATGATTCGAAAACGACGTCTAACCTGACTTGTCAGTCACTTACTGTGATTCTTGTAACGTTGGTTACGGGCCATGCATTACAGAGGAGAAATGGTCTGATGTTTTTGCAAGAACATGTTTCAATTGTGTTTTCTCACGCACATTCTTGAGTACTGAGAGCGAGGAAGATATGGAAGCATGCAGAAAGAATTGTTTTTCCGAGAACATGTTGATTTTCATTCAATTCTCCTCCGGCGTTCCAGATTTGGGTCACTTTCAAGAAAACTCTAGATCTCTGATAGACATCTTGAGTCAATTCTGATATTCAGATCTCATCATCTGAAGTTTTATCTTCAAAATGAGCCTAAGATGTCCAAAATCGATTGACGTGGAAAAAAGTTATGACTGCAAAACCAAAAAGTTGATTTTTTGAGATCACTCTGTAAATAAGAGAGATAGGAAGTTGATTCGCGAAATATCTCGAGGTAATGAGATCATCTTCATGCCTCTGTTGTCGAAGTTGAGAAAAACATTTTTTTCACCATTTGAGAGCCTTTTGAATATTCCGAAATTTTGCACAGTGTCGGAAAACACCATGTAGATATTTTATGTGAATACCCTTATGTTTCAATGAAGTACGAGATTATAGCTGAAGGACAGGGCTATCGAATAGTGTGAACCAAATTCAAATTGTTGCAAACTGAAAAAAGTTATTCACATTATAACAGGGGCGACATTTTGGTGTGCGACGAAATTAGTGTTGAGTAGTTTAGTTAGGGTTAAATCAGCCCTTCACGACCTTGAATAACACTGCCAAATTTCAATGAAATCGGATAAAGGGTTATTAAGATATTTACGAAAAAAACGATTTCTTTTAAAAATTTTGACACCCTGTATCTTGAAAACGAGTCATTACAGGACCTATGTTTATATAAACTTTTCGTCTTAGAATCACTCAAAGAATCACCCCTTCAAGTTTGGCCACGTTCATAAATAACACCCTGTATATCCGGGAAAAAAGTACTCACCTTTTTCCCGTGGGAAAAATGTAATTTATGAAGAGTGACATTCTATAATCTGTCAAAAGAGATGAAACTTCAAACTTTTTTCCCGTCACAGAAAGAAGCATATTTTTGACTTCCCTCAATTCAATGTATTAGGGCCACATTAGTGCTGATGACGGACTAAACATTCTAGATAAAATTGTGAGGATCGCTAAATCATAAATCATATAATAATATCTGATTTCAGTGGTGGGTTTACAACGATCAAATCGTCCAAGGATTCTTGTTCGCACCTACAATAGAGCCAGAGCACGAAAATGCCTTCATTTCTGAATCGATGTATGAAGCAGTGGAAAAAGGTCACATGAATCGTGCTCCCATGATTATTGGTATATGTTCTGAAGAAGGATTAACGATAAGGGTTTCCAGTAAGTCTTCAATCATTTCTAGCATAATATGTACACTGTGTCCCATTTTGGTTGAGACTGCACTGTATCTCAGCTGTTATTGAAGATGGGGACATGCGGTTATCGCGACCCTGTATCAATTGTTTCTAAAACTTTGAAAGTCACAAACAGAAATATTCCAACTACTATTGTTCCTGAAATACAGGGCGAAAACGGAAATGTTCACTTTTGGAGATGTTAATATTTCTCAGGCCCTGTATAAGATGAAAAAAAAATGAAAACTGCTTATAATAGATGTTTTTATAGTCAGTGGCGTATTCTGAATTTTTTTTCAAGAAACCGCATGTCTCTATCTTCAATAATAGCTGAGATACAGTTTAGTCTCAACCAAAATGGGACACAGTGTACATGTTAGGTACATTATTGAAATAAAAAATCTAAAGTCCCATTTTGAATAATGGTTACTATGCTGGGCCATAATACTGAATATTGTTACGTTATTCGGGTGCAGAAGCGAACACGACACTATTTATTATCGAAACTTATTTAATTCAACTTAAAGAACACTAATTTATATCGAACTTATAACAACTATCCATGTAAAACGATTTATATCACGCGGTATATGGCTGTCTCTCTGACACCCGCTGCTTGACTGACTGACTACAGTTGTCCGGCCGTCCATATACAGGGTGGCCCACGGTCGATGGTACCTTAGACGTATACGGAAAACGGTGAAAATTTGGTTACTCTAATGAGCGTTTGTGATCTAACGATTCAAAATATTTTCAGCGATGCAGCGTTGCCACTTTTACCAAAAAGTAGCATCATCTTTGTTATTTCAAATGGAACACGTTCTCACGTTTTAGGTTTGCCAGAGAATCGTAATAGTGTAGCAATCAGTGAAGAATTTTGGATTTTCCGGTCAAATATGAATATTTGGCAATAGCATCATTTGGATGTCCACTTCTTCTTCTATTTTTATTCAGTTTAATAAAAATACCGTTATTCTGAACTTCTCGAATTTTGACAATTGACTCACGACAGATGAAATTTTGATCATTACATAATTCTGTTAGACAGGTGTCCATGTTACTGTTCTGATTGTCAGCCATGTTGTAATAACGATCGTAGCAGGAATGATTTGCAAATTTCCTCTACAAAATTCAAGTAAAATGCAACAATTTTTATTAATCTCCAGAAATATTGATGTTTTCATGTTGTGAATATTCTTCTACTCATTATTGTCCACTTAACGGAACCCAGCTTCAACGAAACCTCATTTTCCGTAAGTGTTGAGTAATCGATAATAGCGATTGAATTTTCCTATCAATTTTGATGTTTTATGGAGTTCCTGATGAAGAGCCAATGAAGACTCGAAAGCTCTAACAGAAAACAAGATGTTTATTGTTCACTTATAATTCCAGTTCCACATCTGACACCAGTAGGGATTGTAGGGAATCATGTACAGGGTGATTGTCTCAATAGCTATCTTAGTTAATACTGGTCTTATAGAAACTTTCAAATCTATTACTAGAAAATGCAGAAAAGCATCGTTAACATGAAAATTTTACATAGACTGATACTTTTTGAACGGAACATCCTGTATTTCATTCTCCTGATTTCAAATATACGACCTGTCTCAGGAGATTCCTCAGAAATGGATAGTTTGGCTGAAAATGAATTTTTCTGCAAATTACACAGAAGTCGTCCATTTTAATACCAAAATTAGCTTTTGAGTTGACGTTTCTATTACTGACACAAACATAGGTATGTTGCTAGGCAACACTCTCAGTTCCTAGGACCTAAAGTTGAACTTAAGCTCCTAGGAACTAAAAAGGGTGTACTAGGTCATCAAGTACAAACAATAGTGTTATGGTTTCTTATTTGAGTTAGGACGCATACCAGATTTGTTCCCGATTTCGACAGATTTGGCATTTCGTACCCATGCTGGAGATATACAGTATTTTTGTCTCGATCAGCCTTCAAGATTCACATTCTTGCTTGATCTGTATTTCGTTCTTCCTCGGGATCTGATTTATTAGATAACTTATTTTTGAATAATCACAGCCAGCAATACATTGTTGTCTCACACAACGATATTGTTTACCTTCATTTGATTACATAGCCAAATACAGTGGAATATGGAGAGGAATACATAATCGCAATTAATATTGTTGATATGCTCACGAACCTAACATTTTCCACTTCTTTTTCCTATACCTGGCACTGGCGCTGTATTTGCTATTAGGGCAGACACCTTGTCCAAACGAATTCATTGATTCATCGATTAAATAGAATACACAAATGGGTTACTCTGTGGTTGTATTTATATTGAAACTACAATTCGAACATTCTTGAAAATTGAATAAACCTGATCTGTAAATGCACCACACGTATTATTTGTGCATAGCATACATTTAGCACGTCATTCACGTTCCGGGTATAGTATTGAATTCGTGTCTGTAGTATCTGATGTGAATTGTAACAAAGTCATCGTTAACCAATATTCTGATGTAACGTAGTCTGAGGTCTTGCTTCTATCAACCTACCTATACCATTATAATAAAGTTATTATAATAATCTGTCAAGTAAGTCACATTGGTGATTACTTCACATATTTATTTGAGTCAATTCTTTCGGTTGCAGACAAAATAGCATGTTCCAATCGGATCGAAAGTGACTTTGTTTGACTCGCAAAAATTTTGCATTCTCTCAGCTTCGCTCGAAAATTCACGAGCACTGTATCTTGAAAAGTCTCTATTGCTTATTTATTTCTCTGTGTTGTTATTTTCAGATGTGAATGATGTAAGCGAGTTCGAAAAATTGGCAAAAGAAATGGACAGCAACGCTTCTATCTTAGTTAACGACAACATGCACTTGACAGATCCGAACCAATTAGAGGCAGCAGGAGAGGCCATCCACAGGATTTATACCGACGGAGCATTTGTTGATGATTTGGGAAAATCCATCAGGGTAGGCATTTTTCAGAAGCTCATCTTGTCTCATATTCAGACGTTACCTGATACAAAAATAACTATTTAATTTCCAATAATGATTACCATACGCTTCTTGATATTTCAAACGTACTTCTGATCAAACCTTTCAAAATAAATGGAGTTACACAATATTTGAATCAAATAATTCATGATGGAAGAAGTGTCAAATTGACTTTCGTTCGAATGCTGTCAATTGTCCATGGCATACTATACCTTTGTAACGCATAATTATTTGGATCGAGAGATAGCCATATCCCGCCAGAAGCACAATCGAGAATCAAGGGAGCAAAAAAATCGAGACAGCTTGGTTTGACATAGGGTTGAACAATCGGGTCGATTCTGTTTGCAAATAGCAATATGGTTGTAGAGAAGATATATTGCTATCATAGCAAGATTCGAAAAAGTGGAATTCTAATCATCGATTTTTGGCAATATGATCTGTCAATTTCAATAACATCTGGTCAGCTTTGTTGCTATCTCGGCAACATCAATTTTGTGCTTGTTATTGTATAACAAGGTATAGTGGATTCTTTGTTTTTTCACTACAAAATTTTCCAACTGTATGAAAATTCAGAAAATAGTGATGAGAGTTCAGTTGTGTCACTGACTACTCTAAAACCTTTCCTCAAAGTTTCAATTCGTAGAAGAATTATTGAAAAACTTAGAATGGTGGTTATGAACATATAGGATAGGTTCACTACTGTGACCAACTACAATTTCGGCATATCAGAGAAATTCCAGTTGCCTGATTGATAGTTCATCGAGCTATTTTGCTAAAATATTTAAAAAAAAATCACGATTTGTTTCATCCGGCTTTTAGTTGTTCTCTCATTTTGGGGACATGATTGATTACTTGCACCAGTAGCACAACGACGACCAGACCAGATTCAGCAAATACAAAATCTCTCGATTTGAACAATATAATTTTGTAAATGGTCAGTGCACTTGCAGGACTGACTGATTTGAGAGGTTAGATAATCATGAAGTCTTCTTCTTCATGAAATAATGGCAAAATCGATACCTCTAACACTTAAACAATGAGTTGAAAACAGTGTTGTCAACTCATTGTTCGATTTTTCAACAATATTGCTATCACTTGAACTCATAACCAGTCTTGCAGTTACCCTGCCAACAGAATACAGAACTTCATAGCAATATTGTTATATGTTATGATCATAACAATATTATAATCTCAGCAATGTTATAACAAGATCCGAACAGAATCGACCCGATTATTTCATTCAAACCTTACATACATCTTGAATATAACGTTACGAATTCATTGATTTGATACGGTATCGCGCGACATTCCGATTGTTAATTCAATAATATTCAGATGTTCAGGAACACAACGTTCAATTTTGATATAACTCCTTGACTAGATGCACTTTCTTATTTTTATTTTCTGAAATTCATCAACCATCTTTCGGAGTATTCTCATCTACAATGATCAATTGATTCACTAGAAAATCCTCAAAAATAATTAAAATGCTTGATTATAAGTGCAGAGGATCATGTGTCGAATTTTATGTTGACCCAGTATCTAATATTGAATATATTTTTTTTAGTATCAGAGTGACAATTCATTCAACAGGGGAATAATTCGTTACGCTGAAATGCAGTCGAAATTCAGCGATATCTACTTCTACCAGTTCTCTCACTATGGCCCCATCTTTGGAGAAAGACCATACTTTGAAGGTATGTTTTGATTATTTATTTATACAAGGTGTGTCACTGGGTAACAAAAATACGTCAACAGTGGACAGGGGCTATCTAGATAGTTCTTGATCTAGGTACCGATAGGAGTCTTTATAAACGATAATGTAGAACCTGGCGATTCTCCAAGATTATTCACCCCTATAACTTTTTCAATATTGAACTGAAATTCATTTCGTCATTGAGTACAATTTACATAATAAATAAAAAATTCTGAATTCTCTTTCACCTATATAAATGTCATTTTGTTGCATTAAAGTGGTAGAGAATTTCTCAGTTGATATCCAACCATCCAATTTTATTTTCTTTTACATGCTTATCGTTTTGTGAATATTTTCTCATGTGTATTGTTGATGTTCTATCAATTGATCACAGATAAAATGTAATAATGTTCAAAGAGATTTTTTTCTAGAAAATATGTTTTCAGTTGAATATTCATCAACACACTATTATTATTTCATTTTCTACTTCTGCTTAGTTTGGCTATCTATAAAAGCCTTCTTGAATTCCCTAATTTTGACGAAATAATCATATAATCTCCGACCCCGAAAATCCCCAGATACCAATTTTGAAAAGAATCTTGAATAAGCTAATTTTATTGAAGGAATCTAATCTCCAACGCCGAAATCCTCTAGATACCAATTTTGAATTGAATCGGATCATAATTACAAAATTTCGCGAATCTCTGGCCCCGAAATCCCCCAGATACCAAAACTTGTCCGCCATATTGGATACGCCAACTTGAATTTCCAAATTTTGACAAAAGAATCATAATCTCCAACCCAGAAGACTCCCTCATACCAATTTTGAATAATCACAAAATCCGCCATATTGGATCCGTCATCTACCGGGATAAAAAGTATCCTATGTATGTCTCCTGGTTCTAAACTACCTCCCCACCAATGTTCACTTATAATTGCACGAGAGCTTCTTTTTTGTCAGAGTAAACAGACTGCCTCTGAAAAAATTTATTTTTCTGCAACCGACACAAAAGTCGTCCATTTTGATACCAAAATTAGCTCTTAAATTGACGTTTCTATTACTGACACAAAAATAGGTAAGTTGCTAGGCAACATATTTAGTTCCTAGGAGCTAAAGTTGAATTTTAGTTCCTAGGAGCTAAAGTTGATCTTTAGCTCCTAGGAACTAAAAAGGATGTACTGGACGTCATCAAGAATAAACAACATTGTGACGGTTGGTTATTTGGGTTGAGACGCATACCTGATTTGTTTCCGATTTCAGCAGATTTGGAATTTCATACCCATGCTGGTGATATAAATACACCTTATTATAGTTAAGTATTGAAATTATAAACATCTCAGCTAAGTATTTTTGTTTGATCAGGGAAGCCTTCAAGATTCAAATACTTGCTTGATCTGTATTTAATTCGTTATTCTCGGGATGGATAACTTGTTTTTGAATAATCACGGCAAGCAATAGTTTTTTGTCTCAAACAACGATATTGTTTAGCTTCATTTGATTATTAAGTGAAAAACATTGTATTGTAGAGAGGAGTAAATAATCGCCATTATCATTTTTGATATGCTCATTAACCTAACATTTTCCACGTCTTGTTCCTATAGCTGGCACTGGCGCGGTATTTGCTATTAGAGCACCTGGTCCATACACAAATATGTCACTCTGGGATTGTACTTATATTGAAACTACAATTCGAACATCCTTGAAAATTGAATGAACCTGCTGTTGATGCAGGTAGAATGTTCTCACTACACGGATTATTTGTCAATATTTGTTGCATTGCATACATATGTCACGGCATTGGTGGTAACTTCAAATATTTATTTGAGTTAATTGTTTCGGTTGCAGAAAAAATAGCATGTTTCATTCGGATCAAAAGTGACTTTGTTCGCCTCGCAAATGCAAAATTCGCTTGTCAAACAAAGTGTCACTTTTGATCCTAATAAAACAATCTACTATTTTTCTGGCAGTTATTTCAGTTGAATTACCTAATGGCAACAAAATTCGAATTGTAAATGACAAGTTTACAATAAGACAATTCAAGTTATCAATCTTTTATTTATGACTGGTTGTCATGCTTTCAAAAGTTATAATACGGATCATAACGGGTGCCAGGATGAAGCCAAAAATATGAAACAAATGATTTGGTGGCATGATACGCATGCGCCATGCGCTTTCATAATAGTCATCAAAGACATGCGTTTCGGTGGACAATGACGTTTACTAGCCTTTCAATCAAAGCAGTATGTGTCTGATCGTTTCAAAACGTTTCCTTATGGATAGTCATTTGTCTTCAAAAATCGGCTTCATGTTTCGCTATGGAAACAGATAGAGATTATCCGTATTGATTATTAATACGTATATGGTTATAGGTTCCGTTATTGTCGCTGGAAAAGTTAGGGCAAACTTTTTTCGCTGTCATAATGACAAAATCACTCGGCTTGTGGGATTTTTCATACAGGAATTAAATTGTCAGCCAAACTGGTCCAGTAGTCTCGGAGCCTATTCAATACAAACAAACAAACAAACTCAGCTTTCCTCTTTATAATAAACTGGTCAACATTGATAACGTCGTGCTCCAAAATATAGCCTGATTTCAAAGTAGAATAACTCACGAATTGCCTCACCAATTTGGAATCGGTTTTCACCGATGATTAGCCTAATCTCTTGACAGTTTGTTGTGGTAGTATGAAACTTCTGTGATTCCAGATAACATTGCTACAGGGTGATAATTTAATGGGTGTAAAATTGCATCGTGGTCGTCACCTTACCGTTTGAACAGATGATTTTTTAAATTTTTTCTCTCACCTGTATCCTCTTGATTGATGCTTTCTTACGAAAATGTTTTCGGAATTTTCGAATTCAGAGCTTTGATTATCGTGTTATGAATATTCATTCAGAAAGATGCATTTTTTCGACGATTATTTGAATGAAATTGAAAGTTGGAATTCCTCACCGAAGAATCAACGGTGTATGTATAGTCGTCGGATATGTGATCGCTTTCAAACACAGTCTATACAAAGTGATACAAGAAATACTGAATGATGGAATGGAGAATAACGTAGTCTTCAGTAGATGAAACATAATTTTCTGTGTTATTAGTGGAATGATGTAGTGTTACTTCGTCATGAGGATGTCTGGTGTCTGACCTCGAAATGGTTTTGTAATTTCTTGGATCGAAGGTCATATAATGAGAGTACACATTTTTAATCAAAATGATGCATTTCCGTTAAGATGAATTATAAAATTCAAAAAATTACGATTGTAGTTCCAGAAGTATGAAATTCATATTTAGTCTTGACGATGGATATACAAGGTGCGATAAAAAATATGTCCAGATTGTCCTGGGATGAAGAAGAATATGTTTGAACGTGATGTGAATTGTGAAATGTATAAATACAGTAACTTTTCATGTTGACCAGTTTATTAATATATGATATTAGTATAGATAGAGTATAGATTTCATCTCTTTATTCTGTTTTGTAAAGGTGCTTACAAAGTCGGCCATGCAAATGATGCAAATTTCTTATGGGTATATGGAAACTGGAGTACGATGGACACCCAAAGGGCCGATGATATTTTGACCTCCAGTCGTTATCTCACATTGCTCACAAACTTCGCCAAGTATTTGTAAGTATTAAGTACATACGAAGTTGTTCAAGGGCCACAAAGGTTGATCTTGAGGATGAAATAACATGAAGATGCTCCCAACTCACATGACATGAGTATATCTTGATGATGATGAGATATTTGCCCGCCCGACAGCACGAAATATTCTATGAATGTTCTCACAACGTTCACAACATACCTCCTCCAGAATATTCCGAAGAACGTTCATAGACTATGATGAAGATGTTCTGAATGTTCATAGAATGTTTTACGAGAATGTTCATAGAACATTTCATCCAAACATCCTAGGAACGTTCCTAGAATATTCTATTATATTTTATGAAGCTTATTCAGATATTATCATCGAATGTTCTATTCGAATAAACTAGGCATATTCGCCAGGTATGTTCACAGCATTCATTATTCAGGTATTCTGAGGAAGAGAATAATTTTTGTTTCCAATGAACAGACTATGTCCTGACTTGCTTCGTTTTTGGCTGATTTTGATAAAACTTGTCACGCTCATCTGCGGTAGCAATAGGGTTTATTGAATTACAATTACTTTCTTCCTACCCTACCCTAGTTAAAACTAAGAATTTTGGAGTTTTCATTTTCCTTCCAGAGCTTATATTTTCCTCCTTTATATCGATCCATAAAATGTTTTCCTCTATACTGACAATATTCCTAGATCATTCTGAGTGTTCTGAAAAATAAAATGAGAACGTTCTTGAAACGTGATTTTTTGTTCCATTTGCATGTTCTTAGGATATTCTGAGAACGTTCAGTGCACCTTGTGAGAACATTCAGAGAATATTCGAAGTCGTCCACGGGATTATTCTAAGAACGATTTCAGGATCACTTTGTGCTGTCTGGGTGTATAACTTGAATGGATAGATAATGAATTCTTTATATACTTGTTGATAAATAAATGAAGATTGGAAAATTCATGTCTCGACACATATAGATTATCAGTTCATGCTGGTTGAATTTTGGGGAAATAATACTTGACTGATACCTGGTCCCTTTCTTAATATGTACTTGGTTCTCACGATGTTATCTGAACATTACATGATATCCCTTCTCGTGGGAACCAGAACATAAAAAAAACATGGCTGTGAAGATAAACTCACGAGAGTTTCAAATATTATTATCCTCGTAGTAATTTGTTCGAGATGAAAAGTTGGGAAGACGATCTCCATTTTTCTTCGTTAATGAAGATGTCTATAGGCATCGAGAGACTGGATGGCTATGAAAAAAATTTTAAAAATTCAATCATTTATTTTGCAATATGTCGTAAATAACAAGTACGTCACATGTTTCAAAAGGAGTATATTAATATACCAGTTGGTTACACAATTTTTCCGTCGACTAAGTATATTTCTCCTGCAATGAAGAAAACCTGCGAATTCATCACTCCTCCGCAAACTACTTAAATTCACCCTGTATCTCTGAAGGTCAACTTGTCACATTTGAGGCATTCAACATTTGTCGAAATAATCAACATGAAGAATACATTACTTTCAACGACGAAATAGTCACTATGCTCAAAGTGGAATGAAATATTAAATTGAAATGAATACTTACCAATAGTTCAAAGTCATTTCCACACAATGTTCATAAAATTAACGACAATGGTGTATTTCAGATGAAAAAAATAACTACTTTCCTCGCTAATGCCACGCAGAACATTGAATAACATCCTCCTGAAATTCATGCATCGACTCGTATAAATACTGATACAAGTGATTCCTCGTTGAAATTACGCTAGTCGGGCAACCAGCCACTCCCGTATGGAAATTTTGGTTTTGGAGTGTTTCTTTCCTTCTTTTCTACTCAGATGGCGTTGCTCTCATATTGTCTATGGAGGACGTCTCTGAGGGAATATAATGCCGACTTGATTTCTGTTTGGCTAGGCTACGCTTAGTCGGCGGTCTAAGGACTGCTGGCTGGAGACTGCCCTGCACTGATGGGAGTCAAAGGGCTCGAAACCGGTCTGTAGGTGTCTATAGCGTGGCATGGTTAAATCGAAATCAATAGGCATTCAGGAAAGAATAACCTGTATCAGTATTTGTTTATACGAGTCGATGCATGAATTTCGAGAGGATGTAATTCAATGTTCTGCGTGGCATTAGCCAGGAAAGTAGTTTTTTCTCCCGAAATCTTCCATTGTTGTTCATTTCATGAACATCGTGTGGAAAAAGCGTAATATATCAATCAACGCTTGGAGCTATTCGTATTCATTCAATAAAATACTTTTGTTAAAAAAAGGGATTAAAATCGGTCCAGAAATTTCAAAATGCTAACCCGGTAACGAAAAATTTTCGATGAAATCCATATTTTCGATTTACAATGCAGATTCCGTATAAGTTATATAGCATAAACAGTGATTGGGGCGATTGATCATTAATAGGAGTCATTTACGAACAATTTCATAAATATTAAACACGAGGTCGACAAAAAAATGTGTTTCATAGCCTAAATAGAAGACATCATGTGAATTCAATCATTCTACTATATAAAAAGGATGCTTCAACAAGGACTTCGGGAATATATAATAAGTATGCATTGATTTTTTCAGAGATCCTACTCCAAATTCATCCAGTTTATTGAATGACGTTGACTGGCCCACAGTTAGTCCAGGTAATTTCCAGTACCTGGATATAAACGACACCTTGACTATCCAGAAGGATCCTAAGGCGGACACTTATTCGAAATGGGTAGACCTTTACGAACAAATGGCTATCAAGCCATACACTACTTTCTGATTATTGAATCAAATTGCACATTGAAATTAATAAACCAATTCGAAAACATGAGTATTTTTATTGTTCCTTTATCGTTCAAAAGTCATTTCTATATAAATAATGTTCAACTTGGTGATTATAAAAATTGTGTGGTAGAAGTGTGTTGTGTAGTATTGACATTTTTGATCTGTGGATCTGTCTAATAAACCAATTCGAAAACATGAGTATTTTTTTTGTTCCTTTATCGTTCAAAAGTCATTTCTATATAAATAATGTTCAACTTGGTGATTATAAAAATTGTGTGGTAGCAGTGTGTTGTGTAGTATTGACATTTTTGATCTGTGGATCTGTCTAATAAACCAATTCGAAAACATGAGTATTTTTTTTTGTTCCTTTATCGTTCAAAAGTCATTTCTACAAAAATAATGTTCATCTTGGTGATTATAAAAATTGTGTGGTAGAAGTGTGTTGTGTAGTATTGACATTTTTGATCTGTGGATCTGTTTATTTCATTTTCGTCGACATCTACAAAAAATCACATTTAACGTTCTAGTTTCACAACGAAAAACCGACTATTTCCGAAGGCAAGTATTTTTCGTCCGCAAACACTAACTTTTCGTCCACGAACACTTTTCGTCCGCTGCAGGGTTGCCAGTTCTCCTGAATTTTCAGTAGAGCTCCTGATTTGCATATTGATCTGCTGATCTACTGGAAAATTAAATTTGAACAAATTCACATATAGCTATACTGATGATTAGTATAAACCAGAAAGAAGACAATACTGATTCAGATCAAAAACAGTTTGTTCTAACGTTCAATTTTTTAATTGTTTTGTATTTTTGTTGTTTATTTTTACTATTCGTTCCTGTTTTTCATATACTCAAATCTCATGAGTACCTATGTAACTGTATTTTGTGATATTTCTGAGTATTGAAATTGAGGATTAGGAATATGATTATATTTTTATGAGAATGTTTGTTTCTCTTATTTTGTTGAAAATAGGTTACTCTTCTGTTTACTATAAGTGAATCAAGTGTTGACGTCCATATATGATTATCCCTCATCCTTTCTTGGAATTCGTATAGCATGAAATTGATCTGAATTTTTGACAAGGTATTTACTGATGAAATAAAAATCGAACTGGCAATCCTGGTCCGCGCGGAGAGTGAGTTGACATCAACTGTCGTCTGCTGTTGTCAAATTGATATTTTACGAAATCCGATAGATTTCACGTGTGAATAGGACAGAATTTAATAAGCAACTCGGCGGAAAACTGTCCATTGTCTCGCCTGATTGCTAGCCTCGGTTAAGGCCTCGTCTATCAATTTGCAGACTCGACCATAAAAGACAGTTTTTAGTCCTTGATACATAATAGTATATTATGTAACAAGTGTTATAAACGTCCTTTTAGTAACGAGTATTTTAAGCACGAGCGGAGCAGAGCGGAGCGAGTGTTTAATAAACGAGTGTCTAGAAGAGTTTATAAACGCGTTACATACTATGATTTTTCTACGAACTCCGAAAATTACATTAACATACCTGCTTTTCCTGCTAACCTACAAAATAATCCGAAAGAATTGAGAACATAATACATGCAACTGCATGCAACCAGTGAGACACGTATAAGTGATATTCGTTGTAGATGTGTCCAGTCCATTGCTTACTAACCTCTGTTTCACGTTTATTGTCATGCTTAGCGCAGAATAAATAAATTGTTCTCAAAGATGGATGCTTCATTTTTACACTTCTTGGAGATATGCAAGTACCAGAACATTCTCTTCGATTTCACTTTCGTCTACATTTCGCATATATTTTTAATGAAAAATTCTGATACAAACGAATATTGTTTGAAAAATTCTGATACAAAATTTGAAAATAACAGTTGACAGTTAATACAATTGACAGGCCAGACATGTCTCAAATTACGGAAGCTGTGTTTAATGAACTGTGTTGCCATGGTAATGTGTTTAAGAAATCGTGTTGCCATGGTAACGTATTTAATATTTTGAATAAATCACAGATCGACAATCCGTGATTAATCGATCATTTAGCATGGTACATATCCGTACGCTAAATGCCATTTTAGTTATGTGAGTAGAAAAATAACTTTTACTGTTATTTTTCATTGAATTATTGAATATTCACGTATTGATATTGATGTAGCATAGTTGGATTTTCAATTTGTTAAATGCGCCATTTTTTCACAGAATTATGAAATATTCGTGCTGGTTTTCCATAAATTACTTGATGATATGCCAAAATATGCTCGAACCGGATAAAAAACCATAATATATTATGTAGTACATCGTTAAAGTCAGAATGAAAAGGGCTATTCGAATCTGATATCAAAATATCAGGGCCATATTTGAAAAAATGAAGTTGATGATGGTTACTGAAAGACGAAACGTTGAATCAGTATATCGATTATGCCAAATTGAGCAGCATCAAGAGTTTTGCCATAACTCCATTATCAACGCCAGAAATAAAATTGATAATCAGAAAAATCAGTTTTTTGGAAATAACTCAAAAACGAAATGTCATATCAGATTTATGAAAGTCATTTTGTTGGTTCTTCACTCTCGCATTTAACCAAATCTGTATCTCTCTCAGTATCCGAGATACCCTCTTATCTTGGACACAGTGTATAATTTGTAGAAGAAAGTCAGTTATAAACGTTTATTTCAAATCGAGATGAGATTACAATCTCAATTTATTGATTATGACTTCAAATTTCTAACCAACTAGATAGTATAATTATGTATAAGTGAGAATAGGTTATTCATCAGGTATCCTATTCTTTGGTTGCTAATCGGGATCAAAATGTTTCTGAAAAATGTGATTCTCCTTTTTACTATCTACGTTTACGTGGTAAGTTTGTGAGGGTAAAAAGAAGTTTAGCGTTGAAAGACTATTGGAACGCAGTTGTTTTTAATATATAGAGTGTCTCAAGTTCAATTTGCCTAACTTATAGAAAAATTGTCAATGTACAGGGCACCATTAAAGATCGCTTCTTGGTTTTGTTTTTTCATGAGCACATTACTATTGGACTTATAGATGTTATATGAATATTGATAGATTCTTCAAAGCAATACTTGATGCCATTTTTTCAAATATGTTTAAGATGTTATAATTCAATACAAATCTTCTTATTACATTTCGATGATCAGAAGACAATTTGGTTTCCATTCGGATTTTCTTATAATGAATGTTTCTTAAATTTCAGAATGCAGAAGTGTTGGTTACGATACCAAATAAAGGAACTATCAGAGGAAGAAAGGAATATTCATTGAGAAAAATCTCATTCTACGCATATCAAGAAATACCTTTCGCGAAACCTCCTCTAGGAGAACTGCGATTTCGGGTGAGTGAGTGCGAGTGATAGTTTAAAATACTCAACCTGTATGTACAGTGTGGCCCAAATGAATCGTAACGACTTCTGTGAAAATCCCTTCGAATATTCGGTTTATTTCTTATGTGGTACGAGATAGTAAAGTGTATCTCTGAATATTTCTAAGATTCCGGGTTGATATTCATAGCGCTAGATTGAGATTTTCTGCTTCATCTAATGAAGCTGACTGAAAAAAACTTATCAAGCATTTATAGATTGGTAACCTTTTGTAGGACATGAAGTAAGAATTATAATTCAATTTTCATCTCATTCGTCAGTCTCTTTCGTTTTGTTCAGATGGATATTCTTAAGATTTCATAACTATATATAATTTCATGAATTGACTACTCATTCGAAAGCTTTTTTGTATATTCAAATTTGATTGGTGACGTCGTTGCATGTGAGCACACATTGATAATTGTCTAGGACAACTTGAAAACCCATGAAAATCATTACTCGGAAGTTGTATACATTGAAAAATCATTACAAAAAATCTCTCACTATCGGCCAGTCTAATAATAAAGCAGTTCAGATCAATTTCTATTCATTCAATTTATAGTTGCCAAAGAAGAACCATGTCATTGTTATTTTTCACGTTCGAATAATTATAACACCTCTGAGGACACCCTATGATACCTTTACAGCGAAGTAGGTCATTGAATGCTAATGAGGAAAACATAATTCGAATCTAGGAAATGTGCTTAGACAAAATTATTCGAATTCGACCAAGAGTCGTTGCGATATATTGTCACAACAAACGAGTTGAGTTTCCATTAGAATTAATATTAGTTAATAACACGATATAAAAGGGTGGTTAGTTCATCATGTCACAACAAAAGAGTTAAAGGGTTGTTTCCACCATATCGATTCATAGGGGTAAAGCTTGGCTTAATATTTTGCGAGAGGTAATATTTAAATAGGCACTAATAGCTTTAGGGGTAACTGAAAGTACGAGACTATATTCAAACATAATAATATTAAATGAAGCATGAAACATTATGGGTAGCGATAACAATTATGAATAAACAACAATGAATATAAAGACCTAATAACAACTTACATTATAGATACCATAACGACGAGCTCTTGTCAAGTCAAGAGTAGCCCCAGACCAGACTAACTTCGGAACCCTCACATCCAATATTTATATACAACATTTTATTAGATATGCACGTTTCTCATGAGAGTTCCTTGGTGAGTTTTTATAATTCAATGTCAACGGATGATTTGATTTAGTTTATGTTTATAAAACCCTCATGGTTCGAAATTACTGATATACCGTATGTTCTACTCGTGACAATATTTGGGTCGCACTGTACATTAATATTTCCACTTGGATGGTGTTCGAGAAAAGTCGAAATCCTGCTTTTCTTCATTTTCAACCCTCTCTGAAGTTAAAATCGGCATACAACCCTGCATGTAGTCGTGATATCAATTCACTATACAGGATATCTCACGACGAGCTCACACAATGGACGTGTACACCTTAATAGAACTTTCAACTCAAACCATGTTTATAATGATCCTTTCATACATAAATAATGATTGACGACATAATTCGATCAAAAAATTAACTGGAATGCTTTATTTTTGGACATATATAATAGTACCTTCTGAAAACGGACCCTCTTATGACGTAGAAACCTCATCTCGCCATAGTTAAAAGAAAATACCAACGCCCGACGGAGACTGAGGCAACTGATATATTAATTCTTTCAACTGTGATCTCGCGCTAATTCACTCTGTCAGAAATCATGTATCATTCATCTCTGTCTGGAATAGTTTTGTTTCAGTATTAGGGTTTTGACGTCACATCATCGCCTCGTTTCCAGAGGTCCGAAAAATCGGGGATTTCAATAATTTTTCATAAAACGTAGGGAGCTCACAGCAAGAAACGGTTTGTGGTGGTGAGCTAGTTTGGGTGAGTTCTATCGAATTATGAAATAATTTTTTTGTGATATAAGCCCATTATAACACCTCTGAGGACACCCTATGATACCTTTACAGCGAAGGAGGTCATTAAATGCTAATGAGGGAAACATAATTCGAATCTAGGCAATGCGCTTAGACAAAAATATTTGATTCGACCAATAGTCGTTACAATTTATTTGGGCCGCACTGTACATTATTATTTCCATTTGGATGGTGTTCGAGAAGAGTCGAAATCCTGCCTTTCTTCATTTTCAACCCTCTCTGAAGATAAAATCGGCAAACGACCCTGCGTGTACTCGTGATAATTTATATATCGAGAATCGGTCGGTCAGTCATTTAAAATATTTTCAGCATTGCAGTATTGCCGCTTCTATCAAAAAGTAGCAACAACTTTGTTATTCCAAATAGAATACCCTGTATTCTATTGGATTTTTGAATTTTCTCCCTGAACTTGGGGTCTATCGGAAATCATTACAGATGTGCTAAAAATCGAGATTTTTCAACTTCAGGACTTGTTTGTGTCGAAACTTATATTTAATCGGAACAGATACAGGGTGATCAGAATTCTGAATCATGAACCACCCTGTATCTGTGCCGATTAAATATCAGTAAATAGTGAACCAGAAGTTGAGATAGGGACATGTGAGCCGTTTTGACCGATAATGAATGGTTTCGACACAAAAAAATCCTTAAGTTGAAGAATCTCGATCCATATGCCAGCATCATCAGTATGACATTGAGAAGTGGCAAAGTGGAACAGAATTTTCGAACAAAAATATTTTGTTGTTGAGTACGGGAGCAGAATTCGTTCCTGAAACGTCCAAAGTTAAGTGAATGTTCGATATTTTTCCAATATATCTATGTTTCTTCTCTTTAAACTTTTTCCAAACAAAGTGTCACTGACAAGCTATTTTGTTTTAGGCTCCCTGATGAAAAAATTTGTGAACGCAGTAACATTTTGTGACAAAACATCTGATTTGTCCTACTACACTTATATTGAAATAATACTCATATTTACATTTTGTAGAAACGAGGAGAGAAAAGCTCAATCAATCAAGTAAAATGAATGTAACACCTCCTCGATTAACGTACAGACAGAAATTTTTTTTATTATTTCAGAAATAGAAGAAAATGTAAATTAGGTAACCCTTCAATCAAGATATTATTGGTCATCATATCTTGAAGGATCTACATTACAACTATCTATAGGCAATTTCCAACATGAAAACGTCAATTTTGTATCCACCAATGTAAAACCTCCAGTTTCCCCTTTTAGTGACAGGTTATGTCTTTTTTCTAATAACCCCTGTCAGACTCAACTCAAATGCTATTACAGTCCTAAAATCCGCAAGTTATTTTAAAAAAGTACGGTATGGATATCCTGGGGTAATATAACGTACCTACTTCAAGGAAAAAATTTAACAAAAACGTCGAAATATCTAGAATAAGAATATTCATTGAAGTTGAAAGAACACTCGGTACTCATTCCGATGAATGAGGAATATTATATTGGAAATCAAGATAAAACAGGAGTTATCATGACATACCTTGCTTATTTACTTTTTGCAAGCGTTCATAATCTCAAAGATAATCGCATCTCAAGTAGGTATAAGTAGTGTTTTCTCAGCTTGACATGGAAACTAATATCTTGATCAAGATATAGGTATACATAACAAGAACTCATACAGGGGGTAAAAAAATAACATAGGCCAACGCAGCAAATCATACGAGTGAGAGATTAGCATTCCGTGCGAGTTTAACACTATACTTTTCCTACGGCTGTCAGTGGCGGAACTAGCATGACAGTACCATCGATAAATTCGAAAGGAATTTCCAGTAATATTTTAAATTTTTTCATGTTTGTTTGTTGCGATATATAAAATATCTAAAGGTAGAAAAAATATCACAATATTTCTTCGTGTTGGAGATGCAGTCAAAATCTTGGCCTTAAGTGAGAACTCTTCGTTACATAGCCGAGCTTTCGGAAATGTTTATTTCCTTTATCAAGACATCTATAAAAAATGGTATAAATAAAACACTTGTATAAAAAACAGGTGACAAGTTTGATCAATACATAACAGGTACATCATTAGATTCTTTTTAACTATGCTAGTGAGGCATTCATTATTTTCACAAAGCAGTATCACTGTCTATTTGGGCAAAAACACCGGTAACTCTGATTTTACAACAACAACTGGAGATCAAAATGGAAGGTTGACGGTTGAGTTTGTTTTTTTCAAAGCTTCTAATCACATGATATACGAAGATATATCGTATTAGAAGCTTTGAAAAAAACAAACTCAAACGTCAAAGTGGCTTAAACTCATTTTTTGGCAAAAATTCTTCGGTTCCGTAAAAGCACTTCCAAAGCATGAAAATTGATCCTCAGGCACTGAAGTCAGTCACCATATACCTAGTTTCAAAATAGAACTTTTCCTCCAAGCGAAGAACAAATTATATTCTTGAACAAGATATAGGAATGCCGATTTCAGTGCCTCTGTAATGATTGTTATCACAAATTGAATGCTTCGCAGTTATTTTCATGAGAATATACATTTTGCCAAGAAAACATTATTTGTAGCTACTGTTCACAAACGTCCATTTTCGAAGAACACCTTGTTACTCCAAAATGAAGACAGATATCGATATGCGGTTTCCACCATTGAGTTTTGCATGAGAATCGACCATAAGGCACCGACATCAGTTTTCTTATACCTAGTTGGAGAATAGGACTTTCCCTTTAACTTTTTACCCTACCTCAAAATTCCACATTACAATGTACCATAGCTCATTTAGAAAATTAGGTTTTTTATCTATGGAAAGCCGTTTTACCATATTCAACCTTTTCAGGAACCACAACCAGATGAAGGATGGGAAGGTATCTTAGACGCAACAAAAAACACAAAAGTATGTTACCAGCAGAGTCGCAACATGTTAAGAGCAAATCTGACCCTTCTGGAAAATGAGGATTGTTTGTATTTGAATGTATACACACCGAAAGTGAGTAGACCTTATATTGGTGTATTTCTCGATGGTTGTTATAAAGAAAAGCGTACAAGTATTAGAGAGATAAATCAATTTCATCATATTTGCGTGAAAAGGGGTATCGGGACTGATTGCTAACCAAATGTTGACAGTTGTCATAGGTTGTCAAACATACAAAACATTGCTGAGCCGGTCTTACACAATTATAGAACTAGGATCTTTATGGGTATAGTTAAAATGGAATATTTGGTAATTTCAAGTTACCTATTAATCACCTAGCCTGATGAACAAAGGCCACGTTCATACCGTGTCTTGTTTACCTGACTTACGACTATATTTTAACTAAATGCTCTTGGTCAGTGTGGTATAAACTGTGTACTTGGTGGAGTTACCAGCTTGGTTTGGTACCGAAGTTTGTTGCGTACCAGTGACTTGAGTGGAGTGCAAGTGTCAGTTGTTTTATGATTCTTCAAAATAATATTTCATTCGAACTCAGCTAGTTTTCAATATTGCTGAAAGGTATCATTCATTATTCACGTATTCAAGATGAGTTCCACAACCTAACCTCTAAATAATGATCAAATCAAAATGAAGTGGGTAAGGTTAGTCAACTGAAGATACATGGTGTAAACATGCGTTAACCATAGATCTAAATACACTAAGATATTTGGTCTGAATTTGATCAGATCACCTTGGTAAGCATACCAAATATCCATACGGTATGAACGTGGCCAATGTGTCAAGCATGCGGTAGAGGTATAAAGGTTGCTTCAAGGACTCAAACTCCACACGTCTCTTGTGAAAACCAATTAGATTTCTTCAATTTCCTGAAACCGACCAATCACCAGGCACTTGTAGTGAAAAGAAGCTACCTATATAGGGCGTGTTTTTCATTCCATTGGAGAAAGTGCGCACTGATAGATGCGGTTTTTTGTCGTGACGTCACCAATTGTTCTGTTGGAATTTATGCTGGAAGGATTGAACAATGGTTTATACAACACATTGATGGAAACACGGATTTTGTTGTGTGTCAGTCATCATGTATATTGAGAATCAGAAAAGGCTAATTCGACTTTATTGATTAACACTGACTCTTTCTTCTAAAATCTCTCAAGAATCTCAAAAATCCTCAATATTAATTGTTTTCTATCAAATCAAAACAAAAAACAACACTAAAATGTGTCAACTGTCATGTCAATCTCCTCCAAACTGCTGGATTCTCGAAATGCGATTTAAAAGTGCGCATTTTATTACAACAGTTTGATGGAAGTTCATCAACATTCCAGCGGAATTTTGCAACAGTTTGATGGTTACTTCGATTCATGCGCATGATAAAATGTTGGAATGAAAAACGCACACTATATCTCCCCCAATAACCGATAAATGTGCACTTCGCTTTCTATCAACACACTTCTATTATACTTTGACAACAACTGTCACCGTCACTACCGTGAAATAATTTTCGAGTTTTCATATATAAGTAAAATCACCACATTCTGAATATTCGTGATAGTTCTGTCGCTTCATTCTTCATGAAATAAAGCAACACCACTCGTCCTACATGTTCACGTTCACTATAAGCATAAAAAGCACTTATTGTAAATGAGCGAGTCATTCTGACAAATACAACTATAATTGTTTGCTGCCAAACTGACAGACTTTGCTTCGTTATCCATGTTTACATCGTTGAAAACACCAACGCTAATAGACCAATCAGAAATGAGAGACGCAGCTATGAAGATTTCGCGATAACACAAGTTGTCTCTGGCTTGTGATTGGTCAGATTATGTGAATAATAAAATAGTCATAAGTAATATCACGATGTTCTGAATAATCAAGATAATTTTGTCGCTTCATTGTTCATGAAATTGTGTTGCCGAGCAACACCACAATTCTGTCAGGACGAGTGGTAGTGTTGTACGTCATTCATGGCTACATTCTTGAAAAGTCCAATCGTTCTCCAATGCTGATAGATTAATTGGAATTGGAAGACAGCTAGTATATTCTCGCGATAACACAGGATGTCCCTGGCTTGTGATTATTATGTCATACTACGTGATAAAAAGTCAACACAACGTCGTTTCTTCTTCCAGCCAATTTGTCTTCTTACTGTGTGTATTAAAATCCCTAAAATACATTCGAGAAATGTTTTTATTGATTGATACTTTTCAAATTGTATTGGAATTGTATTGTCGTTTGGCAAGAAATCTCGAATCAAGGGAAGTATAAAACATTGCTGGAACAAGCTCTTACGATTTTTTCACTCCCTTATTGTTTCTAGATTAATAATTGTTTGCTATAGAACAATAAAACTTTCATACAATGAAACATGTATTTATCAATGAAAACATTATCTCTTATTTATTTACCCCCGATTAGTATCATCTACCTTCCAATGCTATGTATAATTAGATTTTCTTGAATAAGAAGAATTTCAGTTTGTACTATACCTAATTCGATACTACGAAGTAATCTATTCATTTGTCCACTCCACATCTCACAATGACGAATGATGACACATGCACAAAAATACAGAGAAAACAAAATTAGAAACACATCAATTGTCCATTGTTGAAAAGATGATGTTAATGTCCATGGTGATTTCATATTGATGAACTTGACATTGATACATCGTTCAACCAATACTGTTTCAGTGATCTTTGGATCCTTGAGAAGTAGAAAATAGTGATGCCGTGAAAATGATGTACCTACTTGATATTTCATTTATAGAAATTCATAGAAAATATAATATTATACCTGTACAAAATCATCATCATTTGTTATAGCCAAGTATCTCGCGTTTGCTGATTGGTATGATCATATTTAATGCTTCAATATATCTGGAAATAATGTTAGACAAGGTCTGGATAAGACATTTTTCCAAGTCCTTATCCTAGTACTTTTTCACAGTCTTCAAATGTGTTCTTGTACATTTTAGTATCCCACATCCGACCAGGATTTACTACCCGTGATGTTCTACATCTACGGAGGAGGATTCGTCAGCGGAGCAGCCAATTTCGAATTCAAAGGGCCCCATTACTTCATGGAACACGATGTGATAGTCGTCACAGCGAATTATCGTTTAGGACCTTTTGGTAATGTTATTATAACGTGTGACACAGACCCGTGATACTCCCTACCCATCCCTACCTTATCTTATGACATATTTCTGAAATTTGGAACATTCGATATGCAGATTTTGACAGTTTTGACACATTTGTAGAAGAATCAATATACAGGGTATGTTACGACCAGCTTACACTATCTCTACATCGGGAATCAGTCGTTAGAAATACATGAAAAATACGCTTTCTTCATTTGAAATAATTTCAACAATTCAGTGTTGCCGATTCTATCAAAAAGTAGCAACAACGTTGTTATTTCGAATAGTATACCCTGTATTTTATTGCATTTCAAGATTTTCCCTGAAGAGCTGATTTCATCGATATATCAAACTGGGGGTCTATCGGAAATGATAACAGAGATATGAGGTGTTCAAAAACGAGATTTTTCAACTTTAGGTCTTGTTTGTGTTGAAACACTCGAAACTATTCATTATCGGTCAAAACGGCTCACATGTCCCCATCTCAACTTCTAATTTACTTCGTTATTTCTGATTTTTCTTCAAATTTTCTCTCTCGTCTCAATCAAATGGAAACATGAATACTATTTCAATATAATCGGGAACGAATCTGCTCCCGAAACGTCCAAAGATAAGTGAAAATTCGATATTTCTTCTATATACCTTCATTTCCCCTCTCCAAACCTTCATCAATACAAATTATTGTTACTGACAAGCTAGTGAATTTTTCTTTCAGGCTCTCTGCTAGGAAAATTCTTTAAACGCAGTGACATTTTGGGGCAAATCATCTGATTTGTCATCACTACACGTATATTGAAATAATATTCATATTTTCATTTTATATCAACGAGGAGAGAAAATCCCAAAAAATGTGGAAAAATGAATGTCCTCGATTAACCTATACAGACAGTACGGAACAGATACAGGGTGATCAGAATTCTGAATCTTGAACCACCCTGCTCTGTATCTGTTCCGATTGTGAATCTGAAGTTGAGATGGGGACATGTGACCGATAATGAATAGTTGCGACACAAAAAGCATCGTGAAGTTGAAAATCTGATAATTCCTTACATAATTTGTTCGTCAAAATTGGTCACAAAAAACCGGATTTCAGTGTTTCCTACCAATACGGAACATGAGCAAACTGTCTCAATCCGATTTCGGAGCCATTTTGAGTCGTGGGAAATAACGGTGATACATGTACGACATATTTTTTGAGAGGTACATGACACTCATCGAAAATTTTTTGACATCTGTCGATCGAATAGTTGATTTTGAAAATTTCGGAATTCCGAAAAATCGATAATGGCAACTGAAAGAGCAACCCGAAACTAGTTCAGAAAAAATTATTCGAGATATTTTGTGTGACACTGGAAGAAGTGCCAGTAGTGAAACAACAGCAATATTTGTGAAAAATCACTTTGACACCGAATGGAACGCTAGATAATGATGATAAAATATGTTATAGGCCTAATCTATCTTGTATACTCGAATAAATTGAACGTGAAAAGAATGTTTAATAAAAAGCTTTTCAACTCATAACCTCGTTATACACAAGTTATATGATCATAGAAGCTTGTCGCGATGATCAATATTTAATTGGATTGAAATTTTAAGAATTTTATTTCAGCAGACTTAACAAAATTAAATTAGTACTATAGGTTATTTACACAAGTAAATCGCGCAACAAGCTTTTATGATCATATCAATTGTATATAATGAGGTTATTAGTTGATAGTTGGAATTATAAAGCAACATTTTATTTCCTACTTTTAGAGCGTTTAATCAAAAGCTTTTTATTGAATTTATGTTTCACTCATGTTTCATTTTTTTATTCCTAGTTATCGCTGGCTAGGTTTCTCAGTCTCATTATATCATTCAATGCATCATTATTGCAAGGTCGTTTGCCGGTTGATTTCGAACAGTCCAGCTCTTCAAACTTTTTTCGGAAACTGGTTAATTTTCAAATTCGCTGAATTTTTTTTTAGTCGCTACGTATTTTCTTTCCGTATGAGAACCTATAGAAACTTGAACTTTTTGAACAATACGAGAGAACGGATACATGGATCTGTCGAAAAGTAGCTGATATACAGTGTGTCCCACTTTGAGCGCTCCCTGTATTCTGTATTCTCTTATTCGTTGCGATCTACCGTCTAGAGTTCTCTATTCTTTCATTGCAATACCTGGCAAATTATCATCGTTTTCGAATGCAAGAATTTTGTTTAGCGAAAAATCATATCGAGAAAATTCTTCGAAAAACGGAAGTTTTTATTTTCCTCGTTGTTTCGTCAGTTTTGAACCGAATTCGAATTTCTTGACGTCATTTTGTAGCTTAAAGGCTATTGTATTCAGTGCAATATTTGAAAATTCCACATAATCAAAAAAACAAAATGATGGAATATCTCATCACTGAAACCACCTCAACATCTTCTTTCTGGTTTTTCAGGTTTCCTGGCAACTGGTGATCAAGTGATTCCTGGCAACTACGGTTTGAAAGATCAAGTGATGGCCTTGAAATGGGTCCAAGATAACATCAAATATTTCGGGGGTGATCCAGAAAAAGTGACCATATTCGGTGAAAGCGCTGGTGGAGCGTCTGTCAATTTTCACTATATGAGCAAAAAATCTGAAGGTAAGGTCCATCTGTCGAAAAATTTCTACTGATACAGAAAATTTCAGTATATAAATCATTCATTTTGATTCTATATCTTCATATCGGAAGTATTTTTACACGTTTACATTAGGTCGCTATTTTCTGATGAAATTTCCACTCACTTCTCTTTGACTAATTGAGATGAAATTCAACATATGTATAGTATGAAAAGGAAGAGGAAAAGCTCAAAGTCATTCCCACTACTTAAGTAGTGAAGATGACTTCGAGCTTTTCTTCTTCGTTTGGAAAAATTCCACTCCACTTTCAGCAAACATGGACTTCTACCAGAGTTATGTTTAGTATGATAATCCAATTTGACACTCTCGTCAAAATAATATCCAAAATGGCGCCTCCAAGATGGCGGGCGAGTATTATTGAATTATTCATGTATTGCATATTGGGCTATTTCAGGTTTATTCAGAGCTGGTATTGCAGAAAGTGGATCGATTTTGAGTCCATGGGCTTACCAGAAGGATCACAAGAAAATAGCCTATAACCTCGCAACTTATATAGATAAAAACTTCCAAACGAATTCAAGCTCGAAAGAACTACTGGAATTCTTGTGGAACGTTCCTGCTGGTGATCTTAACAAGGTTGCAATTAGTAGTTATCCGGTGAGTTTCTTGTATATTTTGGGAAAGTCCTGAGAAGGTACAATGACAATCCATAGGAAAGAAGGAGAGCTCAAAGAAATCTCCACACTTTTTTAATTATGTGCTTATTCAAGGGGGCATGTTTCGGACTCAAAAAAGTTCATCTTCAGCCCGATTAAGAAGTTACTACAAGCCTAATTGGTCTGAAGATGGACTTTAAGTATGAGACATGTCCCCTTGAATAAGCACATAATAAAAAATAGTGGAGTTGACTTTGAGCTCACCTTCTTTCCAGAGATCACAATGACAATGTTAATAAATTTTCTTGTTTGAAAAATTGAGTATTAAGATGAGTGGATGAGGATTTTAAATCACATCAAATTTCATCGTTCCATATCAATTCTATCATTTCATCATTCAGCTATTATATGCTGAAGCCTAAGAAAAAGTATATTGCATAACTCACATTGAATGCTGACATCATTTTGTGCATCATTGGAAAATATTTGATTTCAGTATCATTTTTATAACGAACAAATAATACAAGGATTCTTGTTCGCACCAACAATAGAGCCAGAGCACGAAAATGCCTTTATTTCTGAGTCAATGTATGAAGCAGTGGAAAAAGGTCACATGAATCGAGCTCCCATGATGATTGGTATATGTTCTGAAGAAGGATTAACAATCAGGGTTTCTAGTAAGTCATCAAACATTTCTAGCATATTTGCAAATATCACCCTCGAAATAAAACAATTTTTAGTTTAGGAAAAAAACACGCTTTCAGAGAAGATAGCCAAACTAAAGAAAGGTAGAATATTAAATAAGTGGGTTGATGAATACACAACATGGAAAATTTTTGCTTTTCTGTTTTTGATGCAACACAGCACTTGGATTATTGCATTTTTTTCTTTTTTTTTCAGTATGTCAAACTACAAAAACTTGCTTTTAGTTTTTCCTATTTTTTGTAACTATATAGTACGAGAGCTCCTCTTTTATCCATAATATATGTAGATTCGCAAATCATTTTAATTCCCTTAGTGACTTAGATTAGACAGGCTCACAAAACCTTTTCCAAATATCGCAAATTATTCATTTATCATTTTAGTTCTGTCTCCTTTCGGTAACAATTCCTCCAGATCAGGTGATTATTTTTCTTTCAAGAATAAATACTTGGTTATGTAATACTATATTATCACTCGACTCGCCACATATAAGACACCGATTGTCTATCACTATGGCCGAGTCATCAGTGTTTGAATTTAATCCAGCAAATTCGTTGCTGATCCGGCCTGGTGACCGGCGTATAGATAATGTAGCACGTTTCACTTCAAGTATGGCCCCCTCATCCGATAAATCCGTCATCATCGGCCTCCATACCAGCGTAGAGATAAAAGAGCCTGATATCTCTCACACACACTCATTAAAATTCACATTCAATATCGGATTTCAATCCAGATCAGGTAATTAGAACATTTTGGACTTGCACACAGATTAACCTGACTTCTGGTGGAGTCGCCATGTTTCTCCTACCGTGACCAAAAGTCGAATCCTATTCATGTCAACAATTATTCTTCATATTGTATAGGCTCCAGTCTGATCTACTCCATCACCTAAGCCATATTATGTACAGGCTGTCCTATTTCGATGCCCTTACGGGATATATCACTTATTTTCAGAGAAAGAGATTTGCGGTTCTTGCGAACGTTGGCTACTTTTTTGTGAAACTGACGATACCGCAAACAAAATATTCATAGCCCACTTCGTTTTTGAGATGTATGGCGAAATCGCTTAAAGCGGTGTTCACAACCAAACTTTTAACGTTTTACTTTTAACGTTTCGTATTCTGATTGGAGAAGCAGCATCTGAAATGTAAACATGAATTGAACTAATGCAAATACCGGTTGACCAGTTATATTCTGACCCATTTCAAATGCTCATATCTCTGAAACCATTCAAGTTATCGTTGTGCGGTTTGGACTAGTCTATTTTGATGTTTTTCAAGTTTTTTTGACGTGTTCATCTTCTCATTTGAACTTCCGGTTCTACCGGAAACAAACAAGCAATAATCCAGGTATAGGGCAAATTTTTTATTTCATTGAATCACCCTGTATATTTTTGCACATTCAGAATGACTGGTCTTTTCTCTATCTAACAATGTATTACAAGTTATGTTCTCCTAGAAAACTATTGGAGTTATTACTCTTTGAAACAACTGCTGCTTGTGGAATGGTTTAATGAGATTATGCAATTTTATCAAAGTTGCCCTATACCGGAATAATGGCTTGTTTGTTTCCGGTAGAACCGGAGGTTCAGGTGAAAAGGTGAACCAGTGAAAAAACTCGAAGAATATCAAAATAGATAAGTCCAAACCGCACAATGATAATTTGAATAGTTTCGGAGTTATGAGCAGTTGAAATGGGTCAGAATATAACTGGTCACCCGGTATCATTCCCAACAAAAAACAACGTGTTTTTACGAAAATGTGAAATAACAATAAAATTGATTAGAAGATTAATGATATTCATGGAACTGGCGGAGACGTAAACTGGTGCTCATTCAATACTTGAAGAGAAAATTCAATCCTCAAGAAGATAATCATAAAATTGAACAGTATACCTATCTAGTATTTCCTGGATTCAGAGGAAAATCATTTAAAGGAATATAAACATATTTTTCTTCATGAATCAGAATACGAAACGTGAAAAGTTTGGTTGTAAACGCAGCTTCAGGTAATCTGATTGGTGACGCGTAATTGAGAATTGCTTCACTGTTCTTTCAATACTATGTTTAGTTCTCAATTAAATCACATTGCCGGGAATTGCATTCAAAAGACATGAGGATATCTGAGAAAACTTGGAATGTGGAATAAAAAACCATTATTTGAGACGTAAAATCAGATCCTATTGATATTAGAGACATCACGTACAGTTGCGTTCAGATTTCTTTGTGAGGTAGGCAAAAACGCTGTATTGGGAATCCACCTTTAGTTATTATACTGGGCGGTGCTAAATATGTTTTTCGTTTACCTCCATTATCAAGAAACTCCAGAGGTGATCAAACGATTCGTGATTGTCGCGAATCACGGTAATTGTTAAAAAGTTTGTGATCTTCATTTCCATTTCTGTGTTTTTCTTAGATATAAGTGATATAAGCAGGTTCGAACAGTTGGCAAAACGAATGGACGACAATCCTTCCTCATTGGTTAACAACAACATGCACTTGACTGATCCGAAGCAAATAGAGGCAGCAGGAGAGGCTATTCACAGGATTTATACTGACGGAGCATTCGCTGATAATTTGGGAAAATCCATCAGGGTAGGCATTTTTCTTGTCACTTATCCAAACACGTTACCTACCTGCTGAGTTTTTATCGCTGTAATGTTGATTATTTCAATCACCTAGGATCAATAACATTCAAAATTATCTATCAACACTTCGTTGATAAATCTAAACTAATTAAATCCATACTAATCTGTTGAATATTGTTAAGATACGTCCATGTTCACTTGAAATAATTCATTTAACAAACATTACACTAGGTACTACAGGAAACACAATACAAAATGAAAATTCTGATTGAAGAGGAATATTCTCAGATATAATTATGAACATGAAATAATGGATATACAGGGTGCCTGTAAAAGGTTGGGACATGGCTCGGTTGTGGACTCCTGGGAAGAAAGCAAGTTGATTTAGGCCAACTTACCTATATCCAAAATCGTCTCGTTGAGTTGGTACAAGGCGTTGAAGTATTTTTCGAAAAAAATAATTTTACTCATGGAAAGAGTAGGCTGAGATCGATTCTCATCATTTTTGGCATAATCTGTGACTATAAGTCAACAAATACCTACTTTCCTAGCTATTTCCACGTCGAACATCCAAAAAGAGAGCATGGAAAATGAAAATCCTCTGAAATTGAGAATTCACATCATCTCTCAAATAAGATAAAATTTATATTATGATCAGTATTGAAATGAAAATTGAAATGTATAGGAGAAATACTTGTATAAACTCTGATCTTGATGAGCTTGGAACTTCCAAAAAAAATCATTAGTATCAGTGATATGGGAATCATATCTCTCACAAACAGTCTATATGACTTCACTGGAATAAACTCATTTCGGATATCAAAATACTCATCAGTAACCTGAAGTACAGTTATTCTTTCAGTCATTCTTCATGATACACAAAATTCATCTCCCTATAATATAACTGAAACTATAACGAACTAATTTCTGTTTATGTTCGGTGGTAAAACATATATTTTTATTGTAACGTTACAAATTTATTCAAATGATACGGTGAAGTTCAAACATTTCAATTGCTGATATAATGAAATACCTATGTTCGGAAACACGACGATTAGATTCAATAATAATCTTTATTTCCAGAAACATATTTTTCTTATTTATTTTGAAATTTCGTGCAACCGTTTCTCGAAGTATTTTCAACGTTTGAGAGACTACTTATTAGTGGGCATACTCAATCAAATAATTCAGTACATAGATAATTAACAGTTACTATCGAATAATTATAATGTTTGATTCGATTTTGAGGATCATGTGTCGGATTATATACCCACCTGCTTATACTAAATCGATTTTTGATTTCAGTTTCACAGTGACAATTCATTCAATCGGGGAATAATTCGTTATGTTGAAATGCAGTCGAATTTCAGCGAAATCTACTTCTTCCAGTTCTCTCATTATGGCCCCATGATTGGAAAGAGACCATACTTTGAAGGTATGTTTTGAACATTCACTTTCACAATTTTGGTTTGTTGTTAGATATCTCGAAAACTAAGGGAAATCATGAAACAGTTCAGTTACAAAGAAGTTTGAAATATCGAAATATGGTCACCGGTGTACCCAAAAAAATGTTCATCAGAGATAATGTGAAATAGCCATCTCCAGTTCAGGATATTGCTGGAATATTTCCAATTAGTAATGAAACACCTTGTACAACAGACTCAAAAAACCCAGAACATTTTTATGAAATTTGGTACACATGCTTTTTCTATTCCATTGTCCAAACCACTGATGTATATAAGTCTGATTATAATACAGGTAGTTTAACCATATGTTGTTCCCTACGCTAAATGGCCAGAAAATTCAATTATTGAATTATTTCTACGCTCCAAACATTTTTGTTGCATTATGGTATCAAATGAATGAATTTTATACATTCGTATGCACCTAGAACACTGTGAGCTCATTAACAGATCCGTTCTTCGATTGATTGATGTGTTTGTCCATTTTATACAGGGTATCTCCGAAATTGAGGCAATAAATGAAATAGAAGCCGAAAAAACAAAATGAATTAAAAGAATCAATTCTTGTCGAGAAAAAAATATTTTGGAAGATATTGAAATTCCTTAGATCACAAGCCCCTTGAGTATCAATGACTTTTGCAATGTTGCCGGACGGTCAATAATATTCGAAAGATGTAGAATGGTGGGAGCGCGCACGTTTTGAAAAATGTTTTGAAAAATGTTTTTTTTTGTGATTCATCGTGTGATTAGGTTTCATAGAACACCTTATTTTATTCATTGCCCCAATTTCGGGAACACCCTGTATAATCTTTCATCTCTTCATTTCGTTTTGTTAAGGTGCTTACAAAGTCGGCCATGCGAGTGACTCAAAGTATCTATGGACATATGGGAACTGGAGTGGGATGGACTATCAATCGCCAGACGATATTTTGGCGGCTAACCGTTATATGACGTTGTTTACAAATTTCGCCAAGTATTTGTAAGTATGAAGTACCTAGCCTACAGCCTACAGAAATAAAATGAGTACGCCACAGTATTATACGTACAAAGTTATTCCTACTAGCACGCAACGTCCTAGGGACGTCCCTATTTGGTACAATTTAAGTCCGAAGGTCCCGGACCTGAAATAATTGTCCTTGGGACGTCCTATCCCGTACATCTCTTGTAATGTTCGAGCAAGAACGTCCATGGAATGTCCCAGCATTATTTCAAATGTCCTTGTACTAGCATTATTGAGACGTCCTATGTGGTACATATCCATCGAATGTCCCAAATAGTAAATTTCCTGCTATGACTTCAGATCTTATATATTATGTTCCTTCTAGAACAACCATGAAATATCCCAGACGGTAGATTTCTTCAAATATTTTTGCACAGACGCCCTTAATATTTCCAGGATCATATAAAATTTCAAATCTCCCTTGGGGACATCCGTTGGATGTTCTAATTGGTACATGAACTAATATGACTTCGGAAGGAATTCCAATAGATAATCTATATGTTCATCTAAGTAATAAGTACAAGAATATTCTTCAGGAAATATAATTTCAGAAGATCTCATGAGTTCAACTTCTTATGGACATCCCAAGGACGACCTCAGAATGTCCTGAATACGATTTGTAATGTGTCCGAAAGGACATACATCGGTGAAATAAATCAGTACTTCAGATAGACAATTTATATAAATGTTCTTCACGAGAGCGAATAATTTTTGCTTCCAATGTCCTAGAAATAACGTTCTACGGACGTCCCAGTCGGTACATTGAATATATTGTCCCTGCGAGGACGTTTACTTACACCTCGCTCACGATCGACTCCTCTTCAATGTCCTTTACTTATGACTGTTGGACATCCTTGGAAACCCTCTTCAGGATCTATTGGGGACCTTCTACGGACCATCAACTCAACCGGATGTTCTCATCAGTTATGCAAAATATGCTCCTAGGGAGACGTAAATAAATTCGAATTCAAGAATAATTCGTCCTTGGGACATCCTATGGGCATTCCAGACGACGTCCTATGATCGTTCCAGAGGACGTCCTATGGACATTCTAGAGGAAAAATAGATGTCAAGTGTGATAGGACCGTGATGTAGATATATGTGTTTGAGGTCGACGATTAAATTTAACATGCACCTCGGCGAAAAACTGTCTTTTATCTCGCCTGATTGCAAGCCTCGGCTAAGGCCTCGGCTTTCAATTTGCAGACTCGACTATAATAGACAGTTTTTCGTCCTTGGTACATAAATAACTATTTCTTCCAGAGATCCTACTCCAGAATCATCCAGTTTGTTGAATGATGTTCACTGGCCCACAGTTAGTCCAGATAATTTCCAGTATCTAGATATAAACGACACCTTAACTATCAAGAGGAATCCTAAAAGCGAATTTTATCAAAAATGGGTAGAAGTTTACGAACAAATGGCCATCAAGCCATATACTACATTCTAATCGATTTCATTTGTACATACGAAATAATAAGATCATTTCAGTTCATGAGTATTTTAATTATACCTCTCTCCAATAGCTCCATCTCTCCATGAGATATTATTACAGGGTGAGTCATGAGGAACTGTATACATGCGGCCCACTACGAATAGAGATCCCTGAGGGCAATATTAAATGACCATCAGAAATTGTCTTTTCCTCTTCTTTGCTAATACATAGGGTGCAATTCTTGCAAAAACAGGTTTCAAAATTCTGAGATGTGATATCTGATATTATTCCTGGAATATCCTGAGGAAAAAAGGAATAGATTTATGTTTTTTCTGTTGATATACCTTACTCTAGGAATGTCTAACTTTCAAGTAAAGTATTATTGATTTCCGATTGATATGAATTAAACTTATATTATGGTATACCTTTTTAAGAATAACAAATCATATACAAGGTGAATCTGAAAGTAGGGTTTTTCATTCAAAAAGTTATATATCTCGCCAAATTGAGTTGTTCGGCCTATAATGCTTCATTTCCCTACTAAAGCGTTTTTTTTTTTTCGAGAAAATGTAGACAAAATGTTTCATAGCTGGAGTCTTCTTTCAACCATTAAATACCTGTACCGCCAGGAAAGCTTGCATAAATAGGCAATGTACAGATTATACACTTGGGGGAAGATTCCTTCCGATGAAATTTCATAAAATAAGTACGGAACTCTCCAGTTTTATGTCCACGCTGTATAGAATAGCGACCGATAAAGTCCAAGTCGTTTTCATTTTCTAATTAAAGCAATTTCTAATTGTCGGGGCGGCAAACTGTGACGTACATGCTGAATCTAGTCTGAAAATAGCTGATGGTGAAGAATATAACTAGCGAATAACGAAAAATAGAAGAAGAAGTAAAGCTGGTATACAAAAACATACCTAACCACAAATGCACTAGGAGCAAGAATGCAGAGGGTAGTTGGCTTCATTCTGACAGGTTTAGGTTTTGTTACTTATGCATTGAAGTATTTCGAATAGAGCTCGATCCAAAACGAAAATATCATTGAATCAATGAATCACTATCGGCTACATTCAATGATACTATCCTTCCTAATTCACTGTCATCGGTCAGAACAGAATTAAGCCGACACCCATGGCTTCTCCCTCTTGTTGTGCCCATCAGTATTTTGAGTGGTGTGGACGGACTCGAAGAATAAGGCGCTGTTGCAGGATATAATCTGCAACTTTCCTAGAAAAAAGATCCAATTTAATTAAGGACGAAATCATTGGCACAAAAATGATGTGCTTCCGAACTAACACCTATTCTCTGCAAGTTGTTCAACTACTCTTACAAGTTCGGGATATTCCCGTCCAAATGGAAAATTGCAAGAGTCAACCAGTTCTGAAAAAGGCAAAAAGACCCTACCTAGCAGGTACAGACCGATCGCACTGCAATCTATAATTTCAAAGATCAAGGAGGAAGCTATCAACATCGAGCTCATGAAATACCTGGAACATTCTGGTATTATCAACGATAGACAATATGGCTGCCGTCATCAGAGGTCAACTGGTGACCTGCTCGCTTACGTCTCACATATATGGCAGCAATCTATTGAAAAATATGGTGAAACCTTAGCCGTGGCACTTGATATCTCCAAGGCAATCGATCGAATCTGGCATCACGGACTCCTCGCCAAGGTTCCATCTTATGGCTTGCCTCCCCAGCCATGTTCTCTGCTAGCTAGTTTTCTCTCAAACAGGTCTCCCCATGTAGTGGTCGACGGAGTTTCATCTGACTCTCTTATCATAAATGCTGGTGTTCCGCAAGGATCAATTCTAGCACCAACACTATTTCTACTCCATATCAACGATTTGTTGGGAGCAAACTTTATGTCCAGTGCACAGCTCCGCGGGTGATAGTACCCTCCAGACCGCCTTCTCTTCTAGGGCTCCAAGTCCAGCCAAGCAAATCAGAAACGAACGAGGGAGAAATGTGGACAACATAAATATGGACTTGGCAACAATTCTCGAATGGGGATCCAATAACTTGGTAGATTTCAATGTAAACAAAACAAGAGCATACCTTTTCTCTAGAAAAGCCGATCTCAATGTGCCCAACATAAGCTTGTCAGGAGTAACCATGAAGACATCCATTTCGATGCTCGGGATTAGTATCAGCAATGACCTTTCTTGAGAAAATCACGTGAGATCAATTGCTAAAAGTGCATCCCAAAAACTTGGTTTTCTGTTTCGGGCCAGGAGCTATTCCACTTCCAGTCAGCTGCTTATGATCTATAAGGCACAGATCCGACTTGCCCTGGAATACTGTTCCCATATTTGGAGAGCAGCACCCAAACATACCCTGAAACTGTTGGATTATGTCCAAAAAAGGGCAATTCGGCTCGTGGGTGATGCCTCGCTCACAAACTCACTCACTTCTCTGGGACACCGTAGAAAAGTTGGCATTCTGGCTCAATTTCATAGATTTTCTCCTTCCTTGGCAGTCCTCGCGAGCATATTTACGTTTCCTATACAGCCAGCGCGATTGGTCGCTCTCACGAGATAGGGAATGGAGTGTATCCTGGAGCACTCCGTTTCCTAGCTGATATGCGCGACCAACGATAAACGACCATCGGCTGCTCTGTGGTGCATGGGTCAGGATTATTTGCAGATTTTGTTTTCCACACTAATTTTCAGTATGAAGAAGATACAATTTGACAATGAATCGGAAGTTTATTCATGCGGAATATTCAACTATACGAAAAATATAAACAAAATATATCGTCGAACCATTAGAAATGTACGAAGGCGCTGAAGGGCCACCTATACTTTTTTTTTTCGAAGATTAAAGTCGGGGGTCCGACTTTAAAGTCGGGGGTCCGACTTTAAAGTCGGGGGTCCGAGATTAAAGTCGGGGGTCCGACTTTAAAGTCAGGGGTCCGAGATTAAAGTCGGGGGTCCGACTTTAAAGTCGGGGGTCCGAGATTAAAGTCGGGGGTGTTCAAAATCTAGAATTTTGAATTTCAGGATTTTTTGTGTCGAAACTATTCATTATCGATCAAAACGGCTCACATGTCCCTATCTTTACTTTTGATTCACTATCTACTGACATTTAATTGGAACAGATACAGGGTGATCAGAATTCTGAATCTTGAAGCACCCTGTATTTGTTCCAATTAAATTCCAGTATTTAGTGAATCAAAAGTTAAGATAGGGACATGTTAGTCGTTTCGATCGATAATGAATAGTTTCGACACAAAAAAATCTTGAAATTGAAAAATCTCGATTTTGAACATCATATACCTCTGTAATCATTCCTGCTAGATCCCAAGATTGATGAAATCAGCTCTTCAGGAAGAATCTAATAATGCAATAGAATACAGGGTGCTTCATTCAAAATAGCGAAGTTGATAGTTGTTTCTTATAGAAGTGGCAACACTGTATCGATGAAAATATTCTAGTGGTATAGAGAATGTTCAATTATCAAAGTATCCCAATTTTCAGAATGTTCTGTTTTTTCGTTCTCCAGATACTTCTAATAGGCCATCCACCTTGGACCACCCTGTATAATCAGTTAATTCATAATGAAAACTGCGCATTGAAAACTTGATTCTCAACGTTTTCATAAGGCTTTGAAATTTGGCTATTCATTGAAGAAGATTATGAAAATAGTCCGGAAGGGGTGATCTCATACCTACAAATGTAATCATATATCATTAAACTCATCTTTCTGAGCTCTACCCAAGGACGGAATGACATTCAGGGTAGTTCATTTGTGAAAATATATGTTTTGTATTGTAATCTTTTTGCACCCTTTAAACAAACAAATGAGATTCTCAGCTATGAAGTGGAATATATACAATCACCCTATACGTACGATAATGATCGTACAGGTGTGATCCATTATTTGACATTCAGTGTACATCCAAAAGGGAGGATTTTGACTGATCCTCATGTGATGATTATCCAATGGATGTAAAATTATTGTTTGTACATAAACGTATAGGGTGTTTCTCGAGTACATGTAGAAAATTCAGGAGCATGTTGCTGACATCAAACTGATGAGTAACGATGGAAAATATTCATTTCTGTCCACATATTTAAAGAATATAATCTAGCTCCTAACTTCAGTTTCGGACTCCCGACTTTAATCTCGGACCCCCGACTTTAATCTCGGACCCCCGACTTTAATCTCGGACTCCCGACTTTAAAGTCGGACCCCCGACTTTAATCTCGGACCCCCGACTTTAAAGTCGGACCCCCGACTTTAATCTCGGACCCCCGACTTTAAAGTCGGACCCCCGACTTTAATCTCGGACCCCCGACTTTAAAGTCGGACCCCCGACTTTAATCTCGGACCCCCCGACTTTAAAGTCGGACCCCCGACTTTAATCTCGGACCCCCGACTTTAAAGTCGGGGGTCCGACTTTAAAGTCGGGATTCGAAAAAAAAAAGTATAGGTGGCCCTTCAGCGCCTTCGTAGAAATGCTTTTCAGTTTCAGATTACTTTGTTTTTCTAACTGGATATCAAGATCATGCAAGTAATCGAAAATGATCATTAGTGCGCACTACCATGACTTACAGCGTTCGTGGTATTTTGTAGGATGTTTAGTATTAATGAACGCTTTTTGGGAGGTCTCTTTTTCGAACTTATTCCGCTGCTAGATGGCCGACCCGCTTGTATAGATTTGGCACCTCTGTAAGCAGATGTTCTTCTAGCAATAGAGGTAGGTTGAACATTAATTCTGTGAGACTTTTTCTGACTAGTAAACGAGGATTATAGAGCATAGAACGAAGCTTCGCTGTCCATTTTCTTCATCTGCCTATTGAACTTCGCCACAATAGGCAATATTGCTGGATGAGATTCCACGAAGCTGCTAATCTTTTTCAAGTTGTCTTTGAATTCTTTGAGTTCGACTGATCCATCAGTTTTAGTTTCGTTCACTTCAACCTAAAAATTATTTTCTTCATCAGGAGTCGTCTCATTAAGGCCATCTTCCGTTTCCAACATCATGGGTTCGCCAAAATCTACAGTAATTTCGTTATCTTTTTCTTTATCCATATCTTTGAAG